GGTTCTGGTGCCGACACACAAAGATTGGAAGGCAAATGTGCTTCCCGAGGGAAGAGGGCTGTGACAGAGTGCTTGCATCATCAGTCAGACACACAGACACAAAGACACACAGACACACAGGATTTTCCCCTTTTCTTTCAGTTCCTCTTACCAGCTCCCTGCTGTACTCTCTCCCCCAGCCCTCAACTACAGGTAGAGGGGAAAAAAGGGCAAAGTGAGAGAGAGTCTCCAAACACAGGCCCTGGATTTGGAAGTCGACTGGCCGCAGAGCTGGGGACGCGCCTCCCTCCCCCTCCGCGAGGCCATGGGTGTGCCCTGGAATGTCACTTCCTGAGCTCAGACCCCAGCTTGGCCACATGGATGACCCTGGGAACGACTTAGAGGGAAGGATACAAAGGGCATCTGGACAGTGCCTGCTGCCTCAGACATAGTAAAAAAAAAAAAGGCCTCAGCTGTCACTGTCTGTGGTTTGAAAGCTAAGAGGCCGGGTAATCCTGAAGAAGGGCGTCCTTTCAGACGAGGGGTCCCCAGGAAGGGTTGAGCGGGATTATTTCTGGCGGCTCGCAGGACACAGGTTTGGGAAGTATCTCGTCACCTGCCCTGTTCCAGTACCCAGCAGACCTCCCCATATTACTAAGTTTTCAGCGAAATGTCACAAGGCGGGGGAGATTCTGCTGCTCTTGCACCACGCCAAGCTGCTTTCCTGAGTCATCGCTCTGTCCTTCTCTGGAGGCAGCTCTCCTCCCTTGCCCTCCTTAACTCCTTCAGAACCAGACTTATTTTGGGGGAGCAGGGGTGGGAGGCGGGGGGCCACCGGTGGGCCCCAATCCTGCTACCTCCAAGAGAGCCCTTTCAGATCAAAGGCACATCATTTCCCCTGCTGTTCAGTCTCCAGCGGCTGTCTGTCGTCGTTTCAAATTGATAGCGATACAGCCTTGTCAGAATTAAATCATTAGGCAAGGGAAAAAAGCAACTCTGACTCAGCTTTCTGGAAATGGTCCTTCAGGCCTTGTCACCAGGGCGACAGCAAGGTCCACCCACAGCCACCCTGCTGTCACCATCTGCCGCCCAGCCCCCACTGGACTGGGGAGGGTCTGCAGTCCAGACACTGACCTACTCTGGCACCCAGTGGGGCGCCGGTCCGCAGGCCTTCTCCCAGGGAACCTTCTCCCAGGGAACCTTCGTTGAAAGCCTTGTTGACCGTGTGCCTGTTGTTTGGAGCCTGTTACATTTCTGCTCTAGGATCTAGTCTCAGCTCTGCCGGGAGTCCCTGTGGTCGTCCCTGGGAACAGATTTGGGGTTTTTGTGTTCTGCGAAGACCAAAGGGGTTGGAACTCTGTTGGTGCAGGCAGCCTTGGGTCTGAACCCTTTTCTGAGTGCGACACGATTCTCCATTTTGTTCCCTGGTGGACTCCAACAGAACTCTCTCCCAATCTAAATGGTTCCGATGAGTATTCATTTCTGGTTGCCTTTTCTCTTTCCCATGGAATTCAGACATTTTAGCGTTTGCGACCCGCTGGCCCTGTAGTCTTTCATCTGTAGAGCTGGTGACACCTTTGAGAAGGTGCGGTGGGCATGGCTGCTCTTGCGGGAAACTGCATCCGCACACCGGCTGTGGGGTGCGGATTCTGGGCCCCTGAAGGCCTTCGTGGACTCCAGGTAAGGACGCCTGGTCTGGCTCATTTCTCCACCACCGTCCCCCCCCCACATTACAGACACTGGGGCCCTGAGTAGTGGGGAGACTTGCCTGGGGTTGTCTCCTGTTGAACTTCTCTCCATTTGCCCCCTTGCTTGGCTTCTAACTCCTCAGCTTGGGGACCAAGCCCACAGGCAGCGGTGGGAAGGAAAAGAGATGGGCTTACCAGCGTGGCAGTCAGACTCCCCCAAACACATGCCAGAGCATCTCAACTAGTGGGCACCAGAATCTTCCTCCCGAGGGTTTGCTAAAACCACAAGTGGCTGGGCCTCACCCCAGGATTTCTGACTCTAGCTCTGATGTGGGGCCTGAGACTGTGCATTTCTAACAAACCACAGGTGCTGCTGCTACTAACTTGGGGACATTTTGAAAATTGGCATCCTGGGGGATCTGAGCCTCAGGGAAGCTTAGATTGCTAGGGGACGCTAGTGCCCATTCTTGCTAGGTGGGGGTGGGGACGCTCTGCTGTTCACCCACCGGCCTTGCTCCTGCTCAGCTGCCCCTCATGAGGGCAGACCTTTCCTGGGGGCGCTTGGGCGGTATGCAGGGATGCTTTTTGCTGTCACAGTGTTTAGGAATACTGATGGCGTTGAGTGGGAGGGTGCCAAGGGTGTCCTTGACACGAGGAAGAGTTGTCCTCCCCAAATCCAGTAACATTCTATCCAGAAACATCAGACACTGCCTGTGTTCCCCACCCACGAACACGCCCCTGAGTTTCTCGTGGCTGTGTCTTTGCTCAGGTATTTCTTTGAAAATCTTTCAAACTGAAGAAAATACACAAAACCAATTTTGCCCAATTGCTCTCAATGATTTCCTGGCCAGGATGCCTTTTCTGGCGTGCATCTCCTCTGAACCCCTAAAATACCTTCCTTAAACACCCACACTGCAATACTCAAGCAGTTATTTAGGTCTATCAGATCCTAAATAGAAGATCCATGTAGACGAAACCCAAGCTTCTTCCTGTGGTCTGTCCCAGCTTTGCCCACCTGGTGACGTTTCTGGTCTGGCCTCTCTCCTTTGTTCCTTGCTGGCTTCGCACCTGCTGCTTTTTGATGTGTGACTGAACCTCAGAAATACTGCATTTATGGTTTTCTTTTGAGCCAGTAGTTCAGGGCATGTGATAAAATTAGTACACAAGGGTCCACTGTGGAACATAGTGCAAACCTGGATGTACGTATGTACCCATGTCCAGGTGACATTTGCACTAGATAGAAAGCATCCTTCTGAGGGAATGTGTGTTGATCTGTTAATGGTATTAGATCAGTGTAGCTTTTTATTCTTTATTTTTATTTTATTTCATTTTTAAAAAAGATTTATTTATGCATGAAAGAGCTGGGATGCAGGTCAGAGGTGCGGGGGGTGAGAGGACTCACCAGAGACAGAGTGGGGAGCAGAACAGGCAGATCTATGGAAATACACTGCTGAGGGGAGCAGCGGGTAGACAGGAGAGGTCTGCTGTGCCGTGTGGGTCAGCTCTCTAGCTGGGGATCGAACTCGTGCTGTATGTAGTGGCTGTGGATAGCTTCATAGTGCTGCGTCTTAACCCCTTGCGCCACAAGGGAGGCCCTAGCGTAGCTTTTTAAACCTGACACGCAAGCTTGGAAATGGTCGGGTGTGGGCTGGGGTCAAGGTTCCTTGTTACTTACCCGTAAGGTCGGGTACTCCTTGGTGTGGCTCCAGCACGGTGTCACCAGGTCTCAGTTGGTGACGTTGAAGTGGCTCTACTTGGGGTGTGGCTCACAGCACAGCATGGAACCCACATGTGTGTGCTCTGCTTCCCTTCGACTACGTCCAGAGAATGTGTTCCCAGGAGGAGATTGTTGGTCACAAGCCAAATTGAGAGTTCACCTGTGATGGCAGGTGGTGCCGGGGTACCAGGACCCCCGAGGAACGAGAGGAGGTTCCTGGGGAGATGGTGCCAATCCCCGGCTGCACCTAGTCAGTGAGTTTTCTCACTCACTAGTTGTCATGGGCCCTTTGTCTCTCCGGGCCCCCGTTTTGATGTCTGTGGGATGATCCCCCACCTCTTGGGTCTGATCCCCCTCCAGCTGCCTGTGGTCAGCTCTTGCTCCCTCCAGGCTGTGTCTCGGGGCCGCACCCTCAGCACTTGTCTAGGAGGGTTCAGTGTGTGGATTGGATTTGGCGAAAACAGTTCATTTTTTTTTTTCCCTGCTGGCTTCGCCCTTCAGTCGGAAGTAACCTCCAGGAGGCCTTGCTTGTGGCCATCTTGGACCCTGCTCATCCAGCCCCGGCAGCTCCTGTCCAGACAGGAGGACGGGACACGGCGGCCTGCGTGCCGGAGCCTGCCCGGGAGTGGAGGCTGGCGGAGACACGTCGCGGGCTATCTTGGGGATAGTCATCTTTCCGGATTCCACCTCCCACCCATCACCTATGCTCTCGGCACAGCTCTCTGCTCTTCCGGAGCCGGGAGCTCTCATTCCTCGGGATGTCAGGTGCTCCGGGCTGGGCCCTTCTCTCACCCCCAAGCTAACAAGTCGCCGTAAGGCATGGACTGGACTCCGGTCCTTGCAGGTGAAGACCAGATGGTGGTAAAATGTGTGTAAATGAGATGCTGGCAGAGTAAAAATAGAGAAGAGAGGGGCAACGAGGGTGGGATTGGCATTTTCCTGAGAGTTCCAAACACGATGCCTGCTTCTGACTGGGTCCTGAGAGCTTTCCAGTGGGTGGGGTATGTTCTTTATGCAGTTAAACTTAGCCTAATAAACAGGAGTAAATGTTGTTGTTCACTATGGTGTCTGTCTGCCTTCATTCTCTTGAAACGTGGCTGCATTTCTGGCATACCTTTCATGGTTTCCTGCTTTTGCCATCAGGCACAAGTGTGGAGAAGAAATAATTCTTTGGGATACGGTAATTGAATGATAAGCTCATGGCAGCTGGGTTTAGGCCTCGGCAATCGGGACACAGTAGGGAAGGGTGGGGGACTGTGGCAAAACAGCGGGCATATTCCCATCAAAAAGTAGCTTTCTGGCATTCAGTTCTGTTTGGTGCCATAATGCCCTATAGACCCTGATCTGTGTTTTTTTTTTTTAAAATGAGAAGCCAAAAATCTGGGTTATTGTATTTTGGCAGTGAATTAAAGGCTTTTACAACAGTGTTACATAGGCTGAAGGAAGAATGTCTGAGACAGGCAATGAAGGAAGGCAGGGGGTGTCTTCTAGGAAGAAGAAAGCTACAGTGGCATTGGATTTGAAGATAAAATGCCTTGTGTCCCACATGTCCTTCTCTGAGAGGCCCAGGCCTCCTGAACTGCTTTAAAATACCTGGTCCTGTGTGTCTCTTTCAGATCCTGGCTCCTCAGAGAGAACAGCTCAGAAAAGAAAGTTCCCCAGCCCTCCACATTCTTCCAATGGCCACTCGCCACAGGACACATCAACAAGCCCCATTAAGAAGAAAAAGAAACCTGGCTTACTGAACAATAACAATAAGGAGCAGGTAAAGGGCCGCCGGGAACGTGTCCCTGCAGCGGGACAAGGCTGTGGCGAGACGTGCGGCCGCTCCCGGGTCTTCTTGTGGCCTGTGTCCTTGACATTTAACAAGCTGCCTTGCGCAGGCTGCGTTTGCATGGGGCAGCCAGGACAGCTCAGAGGGGGCCTGTATAGGAGCTTCCTGTGGGTTTGCAGAGCTTCTGGGGACAGGATCCTGATGCAGTGAATATGCAGTGTTAGGACTTGGGGTGCTGCCTTGGATTTCAGTTCTTGTGCTTTGGGCCAGTTTGCCCAGGCGGCCTCCTTGACCTGTGGGTCCAACTCCAGGCTCTACCTGGGTGTGGGTGCCAGAGGAGGCCTGCTCCTCCCTGTCTCTGTTTTCTCATCTGTAAAATAACAGGTTTAGGTCTGTGGTGAGGGGCAGCCGCTTGCCATGCCCAGTGCCTGGGTTCCTCCTCAGGGAGCACAGACCCCAGACACCACAGACTCTCCCTCCTCAGCAGCCCAAGACCAATCAATTCAATAAGAAAAATCTTTATGCCACCGAGGGTCTTGTCTCAGGAACTTGCTAGTTTTAAGATTCTCTTAACTGGGATAGATAATTGAGATCTAAAAATGAGAGGTGCTTTAGTGGCCTGTGAGTTCATGTCTCCTAGCCCCGGATTCAGGCTGCCCCAGCAGGGGCTGTGGGCATTTTTCCCTTCTGTGCCTCGTGGAGGACAGAAGCAGTGGGCCCCGGGGGGATGAAGTTGGAAAAAACAAGAGCATGCTGGCATGGGAGAGATGCACCAAGGGTTAAGTGCCAGGGCCGTGAGAGGCACACGTTTCTGCACACTGATCTATTTTCACTCTCCAAATTACACAGCTGACTGCCAGCTCTGCTCGTGCTTTGTGGCTGTGGGCAAGTTAACCTCTTGGTGCCGAATTTTCTCATCTACTGAAGTAGGATGACGATCTGATCCCTATGGTTTTCCGGGGTGGGTTGTGAAGGTGAATGGAGCCAGATGACATCAATAATCATAGGAGACATTAAGCCAGACTCTACGTGAAGGCGGTGCAGACACACAAATGCCATGTGAGTTAGTGAAACAGCAGCTCTAGCAGCATCTAGACCTGCGCAGTTTAGTGTGACAGCCACCAGCCGTCTGTGTGGCCTCAGAGCAAGTTGCAAACGTGACTGCGGAGCTGAATTTTTAATTTTAACGAGTGACCCGTGGCTTGTAGCTTCTGTGTCAGGCAGCACAGGTATGACATTGGCCACCCCACGTTAACAGGAGAATTGGTGGGTCCCCCATACATCTTGCAAGGAGTATTGATTTGAAAAACAGATTAAATGGTGTGGATGACAGTGGCACAAAGGGCAGGGCTCATAGTCAGCTGTGTTCTGTTGTCAGCAGTTTTCTGCATTAATCTCACTGTTGCACGTGGCCCTGTGTGGAAGGACTTTACAGAGGACATCACAGAGGCTTAGAGAGGTTAAGTTGCCTCCTCAAGACCTCAGAGCAAACTAGAAGCTGCCCATCTGGCTTGAAGCTGGGGACAGTTCACCCCTGTTACCCAGGGGCCATCCCATAGCTGGGGATTGATGTAAAAAAGCATGAAGGCCACAGAAAATCCCCAAAGCCATTCTGTAGCTTTCTGGGGAGATCCTGGATCCCACAAGGCATATACTGGCCCATCCACCCCCCATGCAGAAATGGTCTTCCACACCTGCTCTCAGCATGCCCACGTGCACACACATTTTGTGCGCACACCCAGTTCTCAGCTGTCCTTTGAGAGTTGCCTCCCATCTCTTGGGGAGCTTATCAACTTGGGTCACTCATGCATTTCTTTGCTCTCCCTTCATCTGTGTGTTAATATTGGCTCTCTAACACTTGCCTCATGCCCACAGTGATGTGCTTGTGAATCTGTGTCCACTCTGTATCAGCAACACATGGCAGTGTCTGGGGACTGCCGACCCCCCAGAGTTTGACACAGGGTGGGAGCTCCTGAGGGCTGACGCCCTTAGTCTCTGGACAGTAGCACAGCATGGGTGACTGGACACAGGGTTGGTTGTGCTCTGAAGAATTAGTCTTTACTTTTGACAGTCAAGTTCAGGGAGCCAGGGCACTGGAGGGAAAGTTCCAGGCCTGGGGACCTGGTCCTTTCTAGCCCCACTGGGGAAACTCTCTGTGTGGCCTTGTCAGTTGTTTTCCCATCGGAGCTTCAGTGACCTTGGAAAATAGAGGTTTGGACTAAGGAACATTGTAAGGTTGATTATAGTTTGTTTTTTCAGGTCTGAAACCCCCGTGAGCTGAGCGGCCAGGAGTTGGCAGAAGAGAATAGCCTGAAATGTAGAGGAGGGCCTTCCTAATTGTGGCCTCACAATCCACTCTAGCATAAAAAGTTGCATCATAGGGGTAACCACCCTCATGCACAGTCTTTCCCTCCAGGGAAAAGTTAATCCTTACAAAAAGTTTTCTTTGGGCACTTCTCTTTCCCATTTTCTTTTCTCTCTTCCTTCTTTTAGAATTCTGGAATGAAAAGCAAATTGTAGGTCCGTTTGACCAACATAATTTCTTTTGGTCACTGACATTTAAAGATCATGAGGTTTCAAATAAAAATTTGTATTTCTGAATCCAACAAAATCTCAGAAAAATCCAGCAACAGTGGGAGTTGAGTCGTCTGTCTCTTTAGGCGCAAGGCCTGGCTACTCTAGTTTGCTGCACTCTCCACTCCTCTCTGTAGTGTACCACTCGGCCTGCTTTGTTTCTTCTGCCTCTGGAGCTCTTAGGTGGTTGAGTACTTTAGATTTTTGGTATATATCCAGATTTGCCAGCTCCTTATTTTCTTCACTCTTAATTTCTGTGTTCCAGTGTCCCAAAAAGAAAGCCATTTTGGCTTTACACAAACAAAAACAAGTATTTTTCCATTTTGATAGAGACCTTATATTACTAAGTGAAGTTGAGGGTCGAATTTTAAGATTGGGAACCATTACACCCATTTTTCATATGGGCTTCTTTTAAGAATAACTTTTAAACAAGTTAATTTTAGGGGAGAAAAAACCTATTCTAAGGCTTATAATTAATTTTGAAAGCTTTTTGGTCCAGTGGTTTCACCCCTGAGGACAGGCTTAAAAACATGTAGGTATTTTCTTCTTGGGGTTTCAAGCAGGGAGGAACCCCTAAGCATGGAAGGTGGCCCTGGCATTTTGTTGAGCAGGAGGGTTAGGTTGCTGAACACCCTGCAGCAGATGGGGTGAGAGGGATCTTGCCCCAAGTAACATTAAGGCCTTCACTGAAAAATATTCACTCTAATCTTTAGTTCTTGGGACATTAGAGTTCAAAGAGTTCTAGAGGTTTTCTTTTTTTCCTCATTAAAGGATTGAGAAATAATCTGCTCGTAGATTTGTACTAAATGGCCTTAGGTGTACCTTTGATCAACTATGGCAAAAAAGGAGGCCCCTCCTCTGAGTACAGGTGGGTCAGGATCGACTTCTTTAGGCTTGTGCTTTACCCTAAAAACCGGGACATTTCATAGAAGCCCTTTGTTGTTGGCAGAGTCAGTTGCTAACAGTTGAGACCATCCAGCCAATGGCTGGGTTGACATCTCCCTGAGCTCTGGCAGCGCAGTGCGTGTGTGCCTGGGCATGTGTGGCTCAGGACACCCAGCTCAGTGAGTGCTGCCTCCTTAGGGGGGCAGGAGCTCCACCCCTCCCGCTGTCCCACCAGCTGAATGTGAAGGCTGAATGTCGGTGTCATTCCCTTCACTCCTTAGAGTAGAGATACATCTTACAGTATTCAAGCTCTTATCTGAGGCAGGAGAATGAAAAATCAGCACAGGCACCATCTTTATTCCTGTACGTTACCTGTATGACCCCTGCAGGCATTTGAATTTGTGTGACCCTGCAGGCATTTGAATTTGTGATCCCTGGCTACTGGCAAGTACTCTGTGCTCACACCCAGCCAGTACACCTTCTCTCTGCTTCATGCAGACCAGGTGTCAGCAGACTGCAGCCTATCAGCCAGATGCAGCTGGGGCCTAAGTTTTAAATGAAGTTTTATTGACATCTAACCACATTCATTCATTCACTTACAGTATCTGTGGTTGCCTTTGCTCTACCACACAGCTTGCAAAGCCTCAACTATTTTTCATCTTCACTAAACCCTTTGGAAACAGTGAGCTGGCCCCTGATGTAGACAAATGTCTTCCAGAGTGAACAAGTTAAGCCAGCCTGTGAAAGACGCAGGGAAATAAGACCATTTGCTCTCAGAGCCTGCAATTATCCTGGAACAACACAGGTTGCAACCTGTTGCCTTCCTAGCAGGCTGGTAACACACCTTCTCGTACCTGTGGGGGAGAAAAACCATAACTCATTTGACCTGAAATGAGTTGCTTTTACTTTTTTTAATGTTCTGTATTTGTTATCAGATTATTTTTATGGAAAAGGAAACACTTACAAGCAGCAGATAAGGCAGGTACCCGATAGACAAGATTAGCAGTCTCCTAGTTTTCAGGCACAAAGTGCTACTTAAGAAAAGGAGGAAATCTGCTAAGTGTGGTGCTGCCCAGCGCTCCTTGTCATCCTGCCGGGAACGCCCACCTGGGCCAGGTGGGCCTGGGGCAGGACATGGGGAAACCTAGCTTCTGAGGTGGTAAGACCTGGCTTCTGGTAGGTGGGCAGGACTTGCTGCTGAGGGGGAATGGCTGTCGTCTTCCAACCTTCCAGTTTCATGTAGATCTCAGTGACGCTTCCTGTCCTATTAATAACTTACTGAACGGAAGTTGGGCTCTGACAAATGGCTTACTAGTATCTTGCAAAAGCCACAGAGCATCCTGGAAGACCCTGGTCAGGTTAGAAATGGTTCTGCTTTGCTAGGCATAGTTTAATTTCAGTAGGAATTTCTCCTTCATCACCTACCCTTCCTTCTCCTTTCTCCCTTAGCCCCGTGTAAATCCTCATCACAAAGAAACTCAAAGCACCATTTCCCTAGAGCAGACCCTCTATATTGGTGTTCTCAGTCACAGGCAGGGGACATTAGGCAATATCTGGGGACACTTTTAGCTGTCACTGTGCATGGTGGGTGCTGCTGGTCTCAAGCCAAGGACACTGCTGTGCATCCCCCAGAGCATAGCACAACTCCCCCGGTGAAGAATGTTCTGGCCCCCAAGGTCTCTGGTGCTGGGGTAGAGAAGCCAGGCTCTGCTTGTGCTAACTTTGCAGGGTCCCTTCTATTGTGTTTCTATTTGTCTTCCTGATTTTCAGAATTCTCCCCCTGCAGCTTTTTTGCATTAAGCAAGAGTTATTTTGAATTACAGAGAATGTTCTCTGAGGGGGTTACTGAATCATCAGCCTCTCTTCTGCATCTAGTGTCATTTCATATGGGGTACAGGGGCCAGAGAAAAGGCTGGGACACTCAGGTTTGAGTCCTTGCTCTGGGCAGGGAGAGGCACATGAGTCTTTTTAAATAACTTTGTCACCTGTCAAATAAGATCGTAATATCTACCCTGGTCACCTTTCTGGGTGGTTGTGAGGATAAAATGCGCATGGTATGTGTGAACAATATGCATTGAAAATGGAAGGTGGAAAGAATATAGTAACAATATGATAACAATAGTTATCCCCTGGAAACCAAGTGGAGTTCTGTCTTCAGCACTGAACTGAAACAGGGCAGTGACTGGGCTCAGGAATTATGTAACCACCCTGTAGATCTTTGCTGTTTTCCTAGTAGCAACGAGAGCAGAGAGGCTTGGAAGGATTGTTAACACAGATCTGCTAAATAAGCATCTGTGAGGCTCTTTATTAAGGAGGGTAGATGTCATGGGCATTTTGAGAACATTAAAATTTCATCATAAAAACCAGGAATGAGACGAGGTGCCTGCAGTCTTGACCACTTTCTCTTTATTCTGGGGACCTAGCCATTGAAATAAGGAAAACAACAAGAGTCATGTAAAAATATTAGACATGAACAGACAAAACCCGTGTTCCTTAGAAGTGATAAGACTTTTTGAATCAATAAGCTATTAGAATTGTTTACAGGTGAGGTCACTGTTAAAAATCGAACAGCTTTTCTATGTACCAAACATTAGCTCTTTAGAAAATAAAATAGAAAAGATCCTCATTCACAATATCAACTGAAATTGTTGTTTTCTTGAAGGACAAAAACCACTTTTTCTACTATGAGGTGTATTCATAGGTAGGTCCTGTGGCTGCAGCTAAGCTGTTAACCCTGGCTCTTTGGCTGCTGGATTGTGTAACCTTCAAGGTCACATAGTCAGTTACCAGGTCATTGTGGTGCTTATTACCAGGCTCTCTTCTCTTCTCAGACAGGATTTCTTAGTGGTCTCTGATAGAAGTCTCACTAATGGGTAATTTTACATGTTTAGAGTTGGCTGCTGGATTCAGAGCAGAATCATCGGGTACATGTTTCTCCTGATGATGTAGTAGAGGGAAGGGGTGGCTGCCGTGAACTGGCCTCCCATCTCGTCTTTCTGCTCTCTTTGGTCCTAAACTGGAGACGAGACTACTTCGCAAATATGAGAACCTACCCTCATTCAAGAATCATGACTTCAAGAGGCTCTCGTTGGCTCATCAGTACTTTATGCTTTGGGGGTAGACTTAAAAAAACCGGTGACCCGTTTTCGGTGGCTCAAATCCAAATGCCTGCTGTTGAAAGAATCCCAGGGCAGATTTCCATATTTATGTTGACATTGTACATTGAACCCTCTGCATGGTGGCTTTTTAACCTCACTAAGAGCTCTGTTGTCACAGTACTGTGTTCAGTGCATTTAATCTCAACCAGGATGCCAAAGCTACATGTTTTTATCCCCATTTTACAGATGAGAAAATTGAAACCGAGAGGTTAAGAGCTCGCCCAAGCAGCTGAGAGAGTGAAAATTTGAATGCATGTATCTGGGTGGTGGTGGTTGTGCAGCCCTGCTTGGGTGCCTGCTAATTCTTAGATGCTAGTTTTTAACCCAGCACCTCTTAAGAAACACAAGAAAAAGAATCTTAATCTCTGACAACCTGCAAATTCTGTATTTAATCGAGTAACCCAAGATGGCTTTTTTAAAAAAAGATTTATTTATTTATGCATACAAGAGCTGGGGTAAAGACCAGAGGTGTGGGGGTTGAGAGGATTCACCAGAGACAGAGTAGAGAACAGAACAGGCAGATTGACAGAAATACACTGCTGAGGGGAGTAGTGGGCGAGTCCGGAGAGGTCTGCTGCGCCATGTGGGTAGCTCCCTGGCAGGCTGGGGATTGAACTCGTGCTGCAGAGGCTGCGGATAGGTTCATAGGTTGAAGTCTTAACCCCTTGTGCCACTAGGGAGGCCCCCAGATGGCTTTTTAATGAATGTGTGAAATGCTATACTTGTGTTGTGTTGATGTATTTGTTCAACTTCCTTTTGAGAATGCACATTTGTTTTGAAACCAAACCTGTCTTTCTTGCCTACATTTCAGTCAGAACTAAGACATGGTCCGTTTTACTATATGAAGCAGCCACTCACCACAGACCCTGTTGATGTTGTACCGCAGGATGGACGAAATGATTTCTACTGCTGGGTTTGTCACCGGGAAGGCCAAGTCCTTTGCTGTGAGCTCTGTCCCCGGGTTTATCACGCTAAGTGTCTGAGACTGACATCGGAACCAGAGGGGGACTGGTTTTGTCCTGAATGTGAGGTTAGTTCCTGATGATGAATGCATGACCTGCCTCGTTTCCTCTCCTTTCTCTTTCCCCTTTATTTTTAATTGTCCAAATCGTCTGGATGCAGCTCCTTCCATCTGCTTGATCTGGGAGGCCTCTTTCTGGACCAGCATCGGCACAGCCTCAGCACTGCAGCTGTTGGAAAGAGTTGCACTGAATATTATTTTTGCTTCTTCGCGGGTCTGGATCGTGTTGAGATCTGCAGCCTTCTATGATTTTCTTAGGATGAATTTTTCAGAAATTTTCATGGACTCAGTCTCTTGAACCTCCAGCAGCGGCCAACCTGGGAAGACCAGTGTCTGTGTGGCTTCCGTGGGGTTGCCAAGGTTCTCATGCTGCCCGTCTCTCCAGGGGCTCCGTTAGGTGCCAGGGGGAGTCCAAAGTGATAGAAAAGAGACGTGAGCCACATTCCTTGCAGAAGAAAAGGACAAAGAGCCAAAATAAAGTCATCTACAGTGTGTTAGAAGAAGAGTATTCCAGGGAACACGAAGATGAGGAATAGAGAGTGTGTGGGATGTAGGATGTTTCCATTTTAAACGAAGTGGATGGGAGTCCTTGCTTGGATCTGAGAATGACCTGGAGAAGGTGAAGAGGGAGCCGCGGGGAAGACCTTCTGCTCTCCCTGCAGAGGGCGCTACAGGCACAGGACCCAGGAAGCACCTGCAGAAGCCCAATGCCCTGGCGGAGGGGCCCATGCATTTCATTCTTGGTAGTCTGAATCCTCTTTGTTCAACTGCAGATCAAGGGTGCCCGCTGTTCTAACGTGGCTTCTGTTCCCAGCAACTCCCAACAAGGACATTTTTCCAAAATCTCAGACGTAAGAATGTCATCGACACAATCATTTAATCATGGAATCTCATTTGGAGTCTGAGTTTTATTGGCATTCGTTGTCAAATGAGGAAGCTTTCTCTCCGTGAAATGGGGAGCGTCTCCCAGACTTCTGTGATATGGTATCTATGGCATTGCTTTTGTGCAGGGAAAAAAATTAGATGTCAGGTCAGTGTGATCATGATATTTTAATGGTGTTCAGCACCTAAACTTGCCAAACATGGCTGGTTGTGGTGTTTGGTTTACTGTAGAAGGATTTGTGGGCACCTTGCTCAGCGGTGTCCTCAGGAGAAGCTGGCCTCCGGGTGCCACGTGAAGTGTGTGGATTGGAACCTTGGTCTTGAGCGATGCTTCTTTATTTAATATTGCAATGAGATAGATGCTCAAACATAGGATGCTTTTGTTTTGAACAATGGTTTTTGAGGGAAGGTTGCTAAGACGAGGGATTTGCTATTAACATGTGTGGAAAGAACCCAGCAGCAGGGCCAGGCCAGAGTTTTTCAGTGGTAGACCTTCCATCTCTTCCATGGGTCCATCAGATGCCTGTGGATTTAGCTCATTCCCTGCACAAAGCCTCCCTCAGAAGAGTGTCTGTTTTGGTCCAGCCGAGCACGTTGCCTGCAGCCTCCAGCTGACGCGCCCTGGGCTCATTGGTGAGGATAGGGCCTCCGGATCTGGTGCAGAAAAGACTGGAAATGCGTATCTGGTGCCTTCAGTCTGTATTGTGGGGACCAGACATTCCCGTCAGGACCAAGGACCTGGGGTGCAGGGAGAGGAGGTGAGCAGGCTGCCGAGGGGTTCACCATGGGTAGTTACCTGGAAATGGACTTGAATGCAAACACAGGTGTTGTGTGTCTGATATCTGAGCTGTAAGGTCCCCAGGTCTCTCGGGGGTGAATTGTTGATGCATCCGCTGGATTCTGGTGGCTCAGCCATTGGATTTGTGTGTCTTGGAGCAACTCACACAATGCCCTTTTCCTCGATGACCAAACAGGTTCATGAAGAGTTCCTTTTGGAGCATCTAGAGATATGAGGAATGGGAACTAAATCCAAATGAATTGGGGACAACTTTTCTCAGCTCTCCCTGCACAGATGGTGGAAGAGTGTTTCCTGACATCATCAGAATTGGCTATTTTTGTTGTTGCTGCTACCTAAGGATTTTGAAGCCCTGAAATAGCACCAGATTTGCATAGCAGAATGCGGTTTCAGACATTTCTCTGGGTCTCTTTAAGGAGAATTTCCCATACACGATGACATTTATGGCCTGAGTGGGTACACGTTGGTGACGGAGAACAAAGTCGTGTTTAGAGACTTCAGAATTAGCAGGAGACTAATTCTACAGGGAAGGCTGTCCCTTTTTCATCGCTGATGTCAGTGAGTTGATGCCTTGTCAGTTTCCTGAAAGATCACAGTAGCAGAATGCAGAACCTTAAGAGCTCAAATTAAGGGGCTGACTCATTGTTAGGTGTGAGCACCCCGAAACCATCAGTGGCCTTTCCTTTCACATCCCATTCCTGAAACCCAAGGTCACAGTAATGACGAGTTTTCAGGGCCCTGCTTCCTTCTCAGAGTAGGGCATCCTCCTGAGCTCAAACCTCGTGCTGATAATGTAGTCTGTGGATCAACGGCCTTCTCCATTTTGCACTGATGCCGGTACCCATTGGTCAAGTGGACTGAGGTCCTTGTCGGACAAAGCAGCAGATCTCAATTAGGTGGGAATGATGACTTCAGGGTTAGCTGATTGGATAGGCAGGAGGGAAGGGAAGTGAGTACATTGGCAGTGCCTTTTTCCCTAACTGGATGTTTATGTGATCTTGGCTTGCAGAAGATCACAGTAGCAGAATGCATCGAGACCCAGAGCAAAGCCATGACCATGCTCACCATTGAACAGCTGTCCTACCTGCTCAAGTTTGCCATTCAGAAAATGAAGCAGCCAGGGGTAAGAAGAAAGTTCCTTTTGGTCTCGGTGTCTGTGGACTTGGTGAATCTTGTTGGGTTAACAGTCTTATTCCTTATTGTCTTAGCTTTTCAGACACCTGTGCATATCTTTGGACCATCTTGCTTGAATTCAAATATCTGTAAATGAAATCGAAGGTGTCATGGCCTTAAGATACTTCTCTCTACCGAGCACTCTGTCCCAGAAGAGTTTAATCGGGAAATAATGTACAGTCAGAAGTCGGCGGGTATTTAAAATTCTGATTGGTTTTGAAGGGGGAATTTTGTGTTCCTTCCCGGGGGAATTAGTAAAACTTTATCTCCGTGAGAGAGCTGAGTACAACCAGCTTCTTGACAACCATGTTCTGGTTGATGATGGGACCTTCAAGTCAAACTCAACCCGGGGAGATTCCCATAAAGAGTGAGAATTTGGCTTGTTCTTCACTTTTGAAGTGAGATTGATGTACAGCTGTGGCCTTTGAAGGAAAATCTGGATGTGACAGCCTGGTTGCCACACGTACCTGGCAAATTCTGTACACTCTGGTTTCCTCCTGAGAGTTGTAGACATCTTACATGTTGTAGCTGTATGTTGGTTGCAGTTTTTGGTGACAGTCTTCAAAAAGGTGGCAGGAAAACATTGTTTTTTAAAAACACTGTGTTATTACAATATAATCAACATTGTCACTTTCCCAAAGGGTGAATCTAAAGATATTTGGAGGGGGAGGTGTGTCTCTTTCTGATTTGCACCATCTGTTGGCAGGTGACCTTTGTGAAACTCTTCAAGGTTTGTTTTCTAAGTTAGGTGAAAATACAGGAAGGTAGAACCTTGGGGGCTTTTAATAGCCACTGTGGTTTAATTTCTTAAAAAAAAAAAAATCAACACACTTCAGTTTTGAGTTTCTACTCTGAAATTGGATATGATGAAAACAGTTCTTCGTGCTGATTGGTTGTTGCTAAATTGGGGATCTGTTTGTCTCTTCACAAAAATCTCAGTCCATGAAAGCAAAGTTTTTAGCCTCAGTTTGGTAAAAAAAGAAAAAAAAGTTGTCTTACTGTAGAGTCTTTTTCATGTTGAGTGACAAAGAATTACTTCCTGCTTTTCACAGGTTAAATTATATCTGCCGAAGACTGTTTACAAAAAGAATAGATTCATGTAGACTTGTCAACACAAAAGAATTACAAGCCAAAAGGAAACATCAAAGAAAGCGTTGCTTTCTCACATACTTTGTTTGATATGAAACCAGTCAGGGCAGAAAGTTACTGATTTTGTTGAAGCATCTCTTCAACTTTAAAATGGCCAAACAGGGGCCTCCTGGTGGCGCAGCAGTTGCGTGCTGGGCTGCGAAGCTGCCTGCAGCCTCTGCAGCGCCGGTTCGATCCCTGGCTGCTGGTGAGGGTCCCACATGGCGCGCAGACCTCTCCTGCCGCCCGCTGCTCCCCTCAGCAGTGTACTTCATCAGTCTGCCTGTTCTGCTCCCCACTCTGGCTCTGGTGAATTCTCCCACCCTCCCACTCTTCTGACTGTACCCAGTGCTTGTATGAATAAATAAATAAATCTTAAAAAAAAAAAAATAAAATGGCCAAACATCCCTTTTCTGTGAAAGAGGACTCAAGTGACTGCTTGTGGTGACCCGTTCACATGCTTGCTGGAGTATAATTGGGTATTTAATTCAATTAAAATCTTTTTATTGATAAACACAAACACCCATGAACAAACGAGGCCTTGCATTTTGAGCTGGTTCCAGTGAGGCTTGAGTAAATGACCGAGAAGGAAACCTTGAACGCACAGCCCCTTTGTTGAAAGCAGTCTGACTTTTCATTCTTTTTTAAAAAAACACTCATTTGTTTTTGTGTAGAAGAACTTGGGTATAAGCTAGAGGTGTGGTGTATGTGTGTGTGGGGCCGGGGGTGGGGTGAGAGAATTCACCAGAGACAGAGTGGGGAGCAGAGCAGGGGGATCTACTGAAATAAACTGCTGAGGGGAGCAGCGAGCTAGACAGGAGAGGTCTTCTGTGCCATGTGGGTTAGTTCCCTGGCCAGGGATCGAACTCAGGCTGTCAACGGCGATAGTGCTGAGACTCAACCTCTAGGCCCCCAGCCTGCATTTTCAAAGGAGCTGCACCATTTCACTATCCAGGAGTCCCCATCTGTAAAGTATCTGTTGACATTTAAGAGCACGGTATTGGTGTGCTAGGTCTGGGTGTGGCAAGGTTTCATCTGCTGTCAGTTTTAATTGTGGGCATTTGCAGTGTGCAGATCAGCTCACCTCGAATCCAGGTCTTGGTAACAGACAGCATGTCTCTTGTCACTCCTAATACAAGAGGACAGGACCTGTCATTTGGGTATAGAGTGAAAATAAAACAAATAAGAAACCATCACACAAGTGAGCCTATGATTATTGATCACCAGGCAGGATTAGAAGGTGAACCAATTTAGAGATCCTCAAGGCCATCTTCCTGGAAACCTTTCTGTGTTGTCTGCAAAGTGGTTTCCTTTTTCAAGTGCTCACTAACATTCATGCTGGGATCCTGCAGCTGTGACGGATTGTGTCAGTGTGTCTCCTTTCTTTTTCTTATAGACAGATGCATTCCAGAAGCCTGTTCCATTGGAACAGCATCCAGACTACGCAGAGTATATCTTCCATCCCATGGACCTTTGTACATTGGAAAAGGTTGGCTCCATCACAGAACCTCTCCACGGTAGTCCGTGCTTGTTGAGATGACCAAAGGTTCTCCCTTACATCCCGTGCGCCATCTCAAGTTAGCTGTTCCTCTGCATTTTCCCTGCTCCGTTTGTATTTGGATGGAAGAACTCTTGATCCGTGAACCTCATCTATAACTTTCTTCCAAGGATTGCAGCGGAGTGTTGAAATCCGCTGATTAGCTCCAAACATTACTTCTGCTAGTGATTCCAACTTTCAACCTGAAAAAGCCGCAGCTTCTGAAAATTGGTGATTTGATTGAGTCTTAACTCCTCTTTCTTTTGGAGGTGCTAATGAGAGCAGCAGGAGGCAAGAAGAGAAAATTAAGTGTCTGGGAAACTTCCAGATTAGCATTAAAGATGTGGCTTCTTAGAACTTGAATTATTCTACCAATAGGGATATTTCTTTAATGCCTAAAGGTGTTTGTAAAAGGCTCACACTCAAATTCCAGGCTGAAAATTACACTTGTAACACTTGAGATTGTACCCGCCATTCTGGGGTTGATTTTCATACTGGGGGCAACAAAATGTGGGTAAAGAAAAATCATGGATGAGGAGAAATTGATGACCCTCCCCTACTCCCACTCCAGCAGTAAATCCAGCTCTAGAAAATTCTGTGTATCCTCATGGTATTCAAAAAACATGGGGTTGGAATCCTAGCTTCATACAGTAATAACTTGGGAACTCTTGATAATCCTTAACAGACCTCAGTTTCCCTGTCTCTGAAATGGGGATCATAGTAATTGCTCCATTGAGTTCTCAGTCCTGAGACTGTACAATGAATAACAGGTACATAATTCTATAAAGGATCCTGGTTCATAAGAAGAAGCTGCTTGAGAAATGACAGCTATTACGAGAAAATTCAAGTTAGTGTCCTGAATTTAATGACATTTTTTTAGTTAGATATCTCAAATACAATAGCATCTTGGAAATGAGTAACAGCATTAATTAATTTGGCAAATGACTGCTCAGAAAATTACGTGGGGACACAGGTGTTATTGGTGGCAGCGTGTTAAGACTCCCCAATGACCTTGCACCCTGCTTTTCTCCCCAGAACGCTAAAAAGAAAATGTATGGCTGCACAGAGGCCTTCCTGGCGGATGCAAAGTGGATTCTGCATAACTGCATCATTTATAACGGGGGTGAGTGACTTAGATGACTCCAACGGAGGAGCGTATGCTGCGTGTGTTGCTCATTTACCATCTTTCATGCAAAAAATCAGGTGCTTGGTTCATGCATCAGGGCAGTAGCTGAGACTGCGTGCATATAGATAACTAATATGTGTGATAAGAGGGGGCGGTGATGACATGCATTTTAAGGTGTGAGCTGACATCCAAAGTGGCTCGTGACCATAGGATGCTGATCCCTGTCCTTTTGAAAAGCCTTATTTTACAACATAGTGCTTAGAATTTCCATGTACATTCCATAAATTTGATAAATGTGTAGGTACAACCTCAGGTAAGACTCGGAATATTTCCATTACTTTATTATATTCCCATTTGCCCCTTTCCAGTAAATCGAACCTCCTCGAAGGGAACTACTGTTCTGTTTTCTGTCACGATAGATTAGTTTTGCATAGAATTGCCTGTCAGTGGTGTCAAGAGATTCAATTCTTGTGTCTTGGTACTTTCATACAGTGGAATATTTTGGGGTCAGCCATGCTGTCGTGTGTACCAATGGCTCATTTCTTTTGATTGTTGAATGATTTTTAAAAATTTTTATTTATTTATTTATTTTTAATTTTTTAAAAAAAGATTTATTTATACAAGCACTGGGTACAGTCAGAAGCGTGGAGGGTGGGAGAATTCACCAGAGTCAGAGCGGGGAACAGAACAGGCAGATTGACGAAATACACTGCTGAGGGGAGCAGCGGGAGCGGTCTGTCGCACCATGTGGGACCTCACCGGCACCCGGGGATCAAACCAGCACTGCAGAGGCTGCGGGCAGCTTCGCAACCCAGCGCTCAACCACTGCGCCACCAGGGGAGGCCCTGATTTTTTTTTAAAGATTTATTTATTTATATAAGAACTGGGGTATAGTCAGAGGCGCCACATGGTGAGAGATTTCACCAGAGACAGAGTGGGGAGCAGAACAGGCAGACGGACCGAAGACACTGCTGAGGGGAGCAGCAGGCAAGGAAGGAGAGGTCTGCGTTTCTCCCTGGCTGGCCGGGAATTGAACCCGTGCTGCAGAGGCTGCGGACAGCTTCACAGTGCGGTGCTCAACCCACTGTGCCACCTGGGAGGCCCTGTTGCGTGATTTTTTTTTTCATTTATCAAAATACCATTTATCCATTCACCCTGGTGATGTTGATGAATATTGGGCTTGTTTTCAACTTTTGACTGTAGAATAAAGCCACTCGGCATTCTTGTACTAGTCCTCGTGTGGACATACAGTTCTTTTTCTCTTGGATACATACTGAGGAGTGATATCGCTGCATCATGGAAAGGTTTCCATCTAACTTTACAAGACTTTTGCCTGCTTGCAAAGCAGTGGTCTCATTTATACTTCTAGCTGTGAATGTGAGCGACTTAATTGCTCCACCATTGGCAACACTTGGTATTAGCTGTCTTTAATTTTAGTCATTCTTGAGGGTGTGAAATATGTCATGGCAGTTTTAATTTCCTTTCTAGAATGATTAATGGTACTAAGTATCATTTCATGTACACATTAGTCATTTGTGTGTGTATATATATTTATAAAGTAACTTTATATCTTTTGCTCATTGAGAAACTCAATTATTCTTTTATTGTTGAATGTAGGAGTTTTTTATATTATGGATCAGGTTTTGTTTGTTGTCTTTTCATGGGTTTAGAACACTCTTCTCTGTGCCTTGATGGCTTCCCCTTGTGCTCAGACTCTGTTCTCTGTGCTCTGAGGACCCTCAATACGCAGAGCACACAAGGGGCTCTCGTAGCACCTCTTGCTTCTTCACACTGTCCGACTGGTGCTGTTTTCGTTTGTGTTGCTCACAGGGATATGAACTCCATGGGCAGATGCTCCCTGTGTAGCCCTGGGCCCCGCAGAGACTGGTAGCTAATGTTTCAGGGAAGATACACAAATGAGTGTCAGCTCAAAGCACATGATGGTCATTTACTCCTAGCTGGGCTGGGGTTCCGGCAAGGGGAGGGTGTCACTAGGTGTCGGGAATTCGAGTAAGTCTATAAACTCATGTAAACAAGTGAGTGAGGTCAGGTGGCTGGAAACGGCGACACGGCAGGTGGCCAGTGGCTGTGGGGAGAGAGCTCTGAACAAGAAAACTCCTGCCTGACCTGTTGCCACCGGACACTTAAGTGGCTTGTTGGATACAGAGTTAACAGACTTCTGAGCCACTTATATCCGAGTTATCCTGCGTGCCTGTATGGGTATATGAAATCTTTTTGAGTAATAAGTTACGCTATAAAGTTTGAGGAAAACATGGCTTTTTGATCATCCTTGGCCTCTGGTTTTGTGCAAAGGGGAGGGATTTAGAGTGAGATCCTGTTCCCTAACTTACTGGATAAATGTCTCGTCTCACAGACATTCCTGTGAGCCTTGACTTAACTCATGAATGAAATGGGAACCTTTGCGTTGGCTTCCTGTTGAGGCTGATTGAAGAGTTAATATAAAAAGGACTTTCAAAAGCTCGGGTGCCCCAGAGCTACTCATTTCAATGCCTTCCTTCCCCCAGAGCCTTCTAAGGATGGGTTCTGGGACAACGCATGGAATAAGACCCCTTGCCACTAATATGAACCTTTAGAAGACAAAAACCCCACTGCAGTGTCAGTCCCTGGATGCTAGGACACCCCACACAAGTCGCCAGTTGCAGATAAGGCGACATCGAGATTCCCAAGATTGGTCACTGTCCATGGGAAAAGTCACATCACTTGAATTATGTTACAAGCCAGAAACTTTAGATTTTTAACTTTGCAAAGCTTTATCCTGGGGGAAAGCAGAAGGTTGTGAGTGGAAATGCTATCCCAACGGCAGGTATTACGGTGTTTCCAGTGGGATTAATCCTATTTTTTTATTCCCTTAGGAAATCACAAATTGACGCAAATAGCGAAAGTGGTCATCAAAATCTGTGAGCACGAGGTATGTGTGTGTCTCTTGTCCCGTGTCCGCGTGCCCAGCGTGAGCGGGGGGGTGGCTCAGGTTTGCATTTGCAGAATCTCCTGGAGGGGTAGCTGTGGGGATTTGGGGATTTGTTTGTGGTGTGGACAGCGGCTCCCCTCTCTCTTTAAGGAAAATAAGAGCAACGCGTGTTACATATCACCCTCACCTCAGCCTGACGTAGGCAGGGAGATGGAAATGATCTTTCCGTTCCCAGCCTTGAGTCAAGAGTCCTGAGGGTGGTTACACAGTGTTCCGAATTCCTTTGTCCCACGGTCTGTGGCCTTGAGTGAGGTCCCTTTCGGTGTCCTTGTTGAGGATGTTTGGGGACAGGTCCTGCTGGTTTTTAGAGAGTGGCCCAGGTGTCCAGGAGAGTTTTGAGGGTGTGGATGAGAGACCCTGCGGGCTCGTGCGCCCTGAGGTTCTGGTGGTGGTATGACAGGCTGGGGGTGGCAATCTTACGGTGGAACAACCTCCACCCTGTCTCTGCGTTTCATTTGTTCACTCGCTGCCTTGTAAGGCAGCCTTGTGATAAGTTAGGATTTGTCCCTAACGTGTGTTCGTAGAGAGTGTTAGAATCTGCATTTTTCTCTTAGCGTGCGTGTTTTCCTTGTAATGGAACAACAGGGAGAACAAGAGTTTTCCTTGCTGCCCTGATGATTTCCCCAGTGTAATTTTTAGAAGTGCTGTAGCCCTGACAGAGCTCTGGGTGGAGAGTTCCCGGTCCAGCAACCTGGAGCGGAGGTGTGGTATGCTGTGTGCTTTCCAGAGGGATGTCTGTGTCTCTCTCTGGGGTGATCTGTGAAAACAGTGGCATTTCACTGTAATTTAGGTCCCCCCCCTTTTAGTATTTATTTATTTATTTAGCATAGAAGATATAAGCAAATCCCCGAATCCCTACAGCTACCCCTCCAGGAGAGTCTGCAAAATAAATAAAAAAGCCAGAGAGGTGCAGGGTATAAGCCAGAGGTGTGGAGGGTGAGAGGATTCACCAGAGACAGAGTGGGGAGCAGAACAGGCGGATCTACTGAAACACACTGCTGAGGGGAGCAGCGGGCGAGAGAGGAGAGGTCTGCTGTGCCATATGGGTCAGCTGCCTGGCTGGAGATCGAACTCAGGTCGTGGCAGTGATAGCTTGATAACACTGAGACTTAACCCTTAGGCCTCCAGGGAGGCCCTGGTTTGCATTTCTTTGGTGACAAATGATGTACGATTTATAAGTTCACTGTGATTTGAGGTTCTTGTGGGCATGTCTAGTTGCTCTCCCCCATGGGTTCATCTCTTTCCCTGCATTTGGGATCATAAGCTGAGGCGTTTAATGGGTAGACTGCCTGATGGTAAAATTTACTGACACCGCCTCCCCATCTTTACCTGCCATTTCTGAATCAGCTTGTTGGTCACACATGGCTGCTTTGTGAACTCCAAGGTCAGGGCTGACCTGGCCTGATGTTACCACTTATTTTCCCTATCAGTGCTTCTGGAATAGCCCAGAAGTTGAGTGGGTGAAAGGTAGAAATATGATCTACTGTTCATTCGTTTATTCATTCATTCACTCATTTATTCATTGACCTGTTAAGTCAGAAAATAAGTTAATACCAAATGAGAAATTGTGTAATATATACGCAGTGGAGTATTATATAGCTGTGAAGAGGAAATGATTGCCATCAGGACAATGGATGGACCTTGAGGTGATTATATTGAGTGAAATGAATCAAACAGTAAAAGACAGATATTGGATGGCTTCACTCATCTGTGGAATATAAACATATATGAATATATTTCATCATAAATAACTGTTGAGCATCTGCTATGTATCTGACACTTTTCATGATGTAAGAGACACAGAAACAAGCTTGAGGACCAGAAGCTACTAGTAACTCACAGGGCCGTGGTGAAGTGTGTGGGCTTGAGCCCAATGCTTGGTTCAATTCCAGGTCCTTCCAGTTTGCCGTGGTGAGACCTGGGGCAGCTTAATAATCTCATCTTGGGGTTTGTGAGGAATAAGTGAGTTAATACCCGTAGGATACTTAGAGTGACACCAGCCCACTTTAAACCTTTGCTAAATATATTGATTACTATGTCACTTGAAGGCTTATATAATTTTTATGAGCCTGTTTGACAGGTGCTGCTCTCGCACCCATCCTGTTGATGAGGAAATAGGGGCTTAGAACACCGTTTCCTACAGTTTCAGAGCTAGCAGATGGTTGTCTGCATTCAGATGAAGTATGGGGCTTGCAGGCCCTGATTCTAAGTGATAGTGATGGCTGTAGGGGACACTGCTCAGGAGGGAGGAGACCATTACATCATAGAATGATCAGGTTGTTGTGAATGGAAATAAACTAGGGCAGTGAGGTATTAATGAACCACTTTAGAGAGTGTGATTAGAGACGCATAGGAATGGAGTGTGGCATGGGAGAGGCTGGGGGACTCATAGGTATGCCGAGATCAGGTCACAGATGGCCTGGAAGGAACCAATTAGGTATTTTAGATTCCTTGTTAGTTTCTCAGCCTTGGCTGGAGAATTCTTGTCTTTCAAGACTCTCTCATTCATCATCATCATTTCTAATTGCAAACTCCCCCAACTGTGATGAGCAAAATCGCCTCTGGACATTGTCAGATGTCCCTGCGGGGTGGAGCTGCCCGAGTAGAGAAGAGAACCATGGTTAAGGATAGGGACAGGATCAGACCTGTGTGTGGAGGTGGCTCTGGCTGCTGTGTCTGTGAGAATGAACCCCAGTGCAAGCACGTGTGGAAGCTGGGCCATGTGGGCCGGGAGAGAGGATGGAGGCTTGGGTGAGGTGGAAGTCTTGGGCTGGTGACAAGGACTTGGACGCATCCCACTCTGGGCTCACCTGCTGAGCTCATCGTGCGTTTCTGGAAGACCACCGCATGCGAGGGCCCTGGGGTGACTCGTTCTAACATATTTTTGCTTTACAGATGAATGAGATTGAAGTATGTCCAGAGTGTTACCTAGCTGCTTGCCAAAAACGAGATAACTGGTTCTGCGAGCCTTGTGTAAGTTGGATTTCCTTTCTTTGTTTCTGAATTCTGTGCCTTGACATGACTGGCCAGGACGGCTTTCTGCAGGTGGCGTATTGGATGAAACCTTGGCTGAAGTTTTTCAGTAATTTTTTGTTGATGACATTACGGGAGAGTGAACGTAAGCCAGGGAGCATCGTGATTTACTATGCTTGCTACCCTGGGTAGACGGCAGCCTGCAGAGCAATGGGGAGCTCATCAGAGAGGGGGTGTCCGGCTGATGCAGAGCTTGGGATGTGCATGAAGCCAGCGTGGTATGACTAATCGTGCGGGGTCTGTTCTAAGAGGCATGGACGTGCCTCTCTGGATTTAACTCCATGGCCTCCCCAAACCATGATGCTCAGGAGGGTTGGGGGGTAGACCATCACCCTCGCTTTCCTCATCCAGTCTGCATTTTCCAGACTGGTGAACTGCAGAGGGAAGGGCATTGTTGGGGTGGCCTGTTGGGAGGGTGGGGGTGGGGCTTGGGTATACTGGGGACAAGATTGAGCAGGTAAAGTTGAGAATCAAAACACTGTTATTGTTTCTTCCTGCCTTGGAGATGAACACCTGCACAGTACAGAATTAAGGCGGATGTTGCTGCCCCATAATATATGCAGGATTAATGTACTGCTGACCCTCCAACTTAACAGCATGCAGGAATCATCTCTGTGTTGTACAGAAAGTGGACTCTCTTGTCCACAGCCACCCAGATAATGGGATGCAGCCGGATTCCAGCCTTGTGTTGTCTGCTCAGCAGCCATTTCTTCTTCTTCTTCTTCTGTTTTTAAAAAGATTCATTTTATTTATGCATACAAGAACTGGGGTACAGGCCAGAGATACTGGGGGGTGAGAGAATTCACCAGAGACAGTGGGGAACAGAACAGGCAGATTGACCAAAGTACACTGCTGAGGGGACCAGGGGTGAGATAGGAGAGGTCTGTTGTGCCTCGTGGGTTGCTTCCTGGCCGGCTGGGAATCGAACTCGTGCTGCAGAGGCTGCGGATTGCTTCATAGTGTGGTGCTTAACCTCTTGCGCCACCAGGGAGGCCCCCATTTCTTCTTGTGGGTTCATCCCATTCCTAGCTTCACTCACATTCTAGGGAGCACTATTGGGGAGCATCTACTTTAATCTGGTCAGTGTGTAGCCTGGTTCACCTCTGCCTTTACCCTGTTTAATCATCACACACACCAGCCTTCATATGTGATTCTTGTTGTCAACTGCATCCAAACCCTGCATTTTTTTTTTCTTTTCCTAGAGCAATCCACATCCTTTGGTCTGGGCAAAACTGAAGGGGTTTCCATTCTGGCCTGCAAAAGCCCTGAGGGATAAAGATGGGCAGGTTGATGCCCGTTTCTTTGGACAACACGACAGGTGGGAGTTAAAAATTAGCTTTGAACATGTCACTTGAACTGAACCTTTGATACTGTAGGCAGATGTGAGAAGGGGGGTTGCTGTTGTTTTGTTTATTGTCACACTACCATGATAGAGGGTGCCTTTGCTGTGTTAAGCCTGATAATTCATCAAATTTGGATTTTTTTTCTACCTGTTAGAAAGGTGTCTTCCTCTTGCTTTTGTGGTTTGGTTGATGCTGTTCTTTTTCCTTTTTTTTCTAATGTAAATTAAACCCCCATGCAAATTACTTTTCAATAACGCTCCTAGGTATCAGAGGTATTTTCCCAGATTGCCAGTAAATGACTCTTCTGTCATTGTACTGGGTCATTCCCTCCTGTTCCCTTTTCTCTGAAGCTAAAATGGGAAATTAGAAGGGGTTGCTGTTTTGACAGGTCTGAGCCCTCCCTCCCCTCCGTTCACCGTGAAGTGAATTATTCCAGCTAATTGCAGTTCCCTTTAGAGAGTAGCCCCTGCGTGCCCAGCACAACAGGTAGGCAGAGATGAGCAGCAGTTAATATCTGGGTTCCCTTTTAACAAGTTACATTATGATTAAATGAGGCAAAACCCTTCTCAGAACCCAGCCAAGCCATTAGAGAAAGTGTGTGACTATGTCGGGGAGAATATATAAAATACAGGGTTTAAAAATCATCCCCAACCCCCCAGAATATACAGAAAATGCTGTTTATGTTTTTAAACAATGCCAGCATCTGAAACATTGCATCTCTTTGTAAAAGTTGGCATCTTGGAAATCACAGAAAAGAGTGAATTTCAGTATAATCTGCAGAATCCTTTATTAGGAGTCTTGGTATTCCATTTTCAGGAGATCAGGTGGGGAGGTGACTGGGATGGTCTGCTGGTTTCGATAGCAAATAATACAGTTTATTTGATTTTGGCCACTTCTGTTGGAAATCTTCCTAAAATTCATTTATTCATTCATGCAAAGAAACATGACTTTGGTGCCTGTGTGTGCTAGGCTGGGGCTACGGGAGGGAGTGGACAACTGTCTCCCCATGTGTCAAGGCTGGCATCTTAGTGTGAAGACGAGGAACACACAGATGAACAAGTGTGCACGATGACCTCGGGCCAGAGGGAATGGCAGTGCTGAGGAAAGTCTGAGGAGAGCAGAGAAGCTCCAAGGCAGTGTGCCCAGAAAGAGCAGGGGCACTGGTGGTTTGAACAGTGAGGTGGCGGGGGTGGGAAGAGAAGGGCCCAGGGCCCATCCCAGGGATGTGGCCAGGAGTCTGGGTTTCGAAGGGCCAGAGGAATCGGTAGCTGGCTTTAGGTCTGTCTTACTGAGAGCATGCCAGTTGTTAACTTTCTCCATGATTTAGGCTGTTCTCATTCTAATAGTGAAGCACAGTGTGGGTGTACTTAGGATGTGGGTGAGTGGGGGAAATGCTTGCCCCATGTGCCAAGGATGCACAGATCCTGAGAATCTGCTCTCCGCTTTGCTAGACTGGGTTACTGGGGGGCTGTTCCCTGAGCTTGAAGGTTGGGGTGGTTCTGGGCAGGGACTGCCAAGGAAGCCAGGCCAGCAGCACAGTCTTATGCCCTTGAGATTATCCTAACTCCTGCCTCCCCCCAGTGTCCTCTGACCCCTCAGAGGGACTATGCTGAGCTGCTGCCTGTGCATTTGCATGGACATCCCGGATGTCCACGTGGCAGGTGTTCAGGGAATGTTTCAGGGATGGGACAGGGAGTCCCAGTGGGGGACTCGCCTAGAGGCGTTTCCCTCGCAGAGTCTCTCTTCCTTGGATGGCACTGAGTGGGCTGGGTTTGCCGACAGCCTATCCAGGGTCCTCCGCCCCTTCCTCAGGGAGCTCGCTTGGGGCTGTAGAGCTCAAACATCAGTCTGGACCAGGTGTGAGCGCAGTGGGTCAGCCAGCAGATTAGGGAATGTCCTGGACCATTTTATGTTTCCGGGAAAGTCTGTAAATGCTGGAGAGAGCCTGGGGAGGCCCTTGCACAGATGAAGGGCATGTTTCAAGCGGTCTCAGCATGTACTTTCTGTCTGCTACAAGATTTTGCGTCCTTCGGTTTTATTTCTGAGACACACACACACAAACAGTGTTATATGAAAATACAGAAAATACTTTATTAAAATATTATCAAATGTCTGTGGAACTACAAAAGAGCTGGCATTCATTGAGTGCCTCTTATACAGCAGGTATGATTGTTAAGTGCTCTTGGTAGAAGTTTAGAAAAAAATTTTGGGCACTTATTTATTGACTGAGGTAGCATTGGTTTACAACACTGCAGAAGAGAGAATCTTTTCTCTTCAGATGATTGGCACCATGTCACCCCTGCCACCAAGGTACTTGGCCTCCTCCACCAGAGCCCCTTGGGCCATGCACTTTGCTCTCACACTTGAAACAATACATAGCTTTTAGGGTTATCACTTCCCCAACGTTCCCTTTAGTCCTGTGGAGAATCCTAATTTTATTTTATTTTTTAAAAAAAGATTTATTTATTCATGCATACAAGAACCTGGTCACAGGTCCTGACGCACAGATGTGCGGGAGGGTGAGAGGATTCACCAGAGACAGATCAGGGAACAGAATAGGCAGACCGACTGAAATACACTGCTGAGGGAAGCAGCAGGCGAGACTGGAGAGGTCTGCCATGCCATGTGGGTATCTCACCGGCCAGCCGGGATCAAACTCGCGCTGCAGAGGCTGCGGACAGAATCTACTGAAAGCAGATTCTCAGGATCTGTGCATCCTTGGTACATGGGACAAGCATTTCCCCCACCCACCCTCAACTGCCTGCGCCACTAGGGATGCCCAAATCCTAATTTTAAAGATTGATTTATTTATTTATACAAGAACTGGGGTACAGGCCAGATGCGTGGGAGAGTGAGAGGATTCACCAGAGACAGAGCGGGGAACAGAACAGACAGACTGATGAAATACACTGCTGAGGGGAGCAGCGGGCGCGACAGGAGAGGTCTGCTGCGCCATGTAGGACCCTCGCCTGCCGGCCGGGATTGAGCCAACATTACAGAGGCTGCTGACAGCTTCACAGCGCGGTGCTTAACCGTCCGCGCCACCAGGGGAGGCCCAAATCCTAATTTTAAAAGAAAAAAAAAAGCTCTTTTGCCTCAGTGCAGAAGAGTGAGATTTGGGAATGAATTCTCTTTCAGAGGTGTAGTCTGGGAGGTTTTCTCATTCTACTAAACCAAAGCCAAAGAGTTTTACTATATTTTTTCTTTATTGCGTTAAAAGCACTAAGTCTATTGAATGTCTTAATATTTTAGCCAAGTTTGTTTATATTCTGTCCTTTATGACAGAATGTGACTGACTATTCAATGGATCTTTTATTTCCCCCTTCAATCCAAGTCATTTTAAAGAACGGGATAGGTATTTAGAATCTTAGCAGACATACTAGACTAATTTGGTTTACATTAAGGAGAAAATCCTGGAAACATTCTAAATGTCCACAGACACATGAATGGATAAGGAAATGTGTGCGCATGACATGGAGTACTGCTCAGCCCTGAAAAGGGAGAACGTTTTGTTGTATGTGACAACACTGCAAAACCTTGCGGACATTGTGCTGAATGAAATAAGCACATCATAGAAGGAAAAATACTGTAGGATTCCATGTATTTGGAGCATCAGAAGCAGTCTAAATTCATAATCAGGTGGAATGGTGGTTGCCGGGGCTGGGGAGATAATATGTCGTACACTTAGACATTTGTTAAGTGAGAACTTGGGTTAAGTGTTCTTAGTACAGTCCATTTTTTGAAGCTTAAAAAAAAAAAGAGAATCTTAGATATGGCTGAAATTGACAAATACTCTCTCTTTTGCACCCCTAGGGCTTGGGTTCCAATCAATAACTGCTACCTCATGTCTAAAGAAATTCCTTTTTCTGTGAAAAAGACTAAAAGCATCTTCAATAGTGCAATGCAAGAGATGGAAGTTTATGTGGAGAACATCCGCAGGAAGTTTGGGGTTTTTAATTACTCTCCATTCAGGACACCCTACACACCCAACAGCCAGTACCAAATGCTGCTTGACCCCACCAACCCCAGTGCCGGGGCTGCCAAGGTAGACAAGCAGGAGAAGGTCAAGCTCAACTTTGACATGACGGCCTCCCCCAAGATCCTGATGAGCAAGCCCATGCTGAGTGGGGGTGCTGGTCGCAGGATCTCCTTGTCGGATATGCCGAGGTCCCCCATGAGCACAAACTCCTCTGTGCACACCGGCTCCGACGTGGAGCAGGACCCAGAGAAGAAAGCCACCTCCAGCCACTTCAGCGCCAGTGAGGAGTCCATGGACTTCCTTGACAAGAGCACAGGTCAGCTGCGGGCTCGAGAGGGGGACATGGGGCACGGGCTCCTTTGGGGCCACACCCGACAAGCCCACACTGACTGTTGTCCTAGAACCATGTTCTGCCCAGAGGAGCACAGTTTAAGTGAGTGACCCATGGAATTCTGGCCGTTAGGAAGCAGAAAACGAGATTATTTCCCACAGGCCAGCTGCGGGTCATTCCCAGAAGTCGGATGGCCAGAAACCCTTCAGAGTTTAGTTCAAATGTCTCTTGGATGAATCACAGCAGTTGTTTCTTTCCTAAGAGTTTTATCTTAATGGTACACGGGTTTTTCTCTTAAAGTTAAACATTCACTTTACTTTAAAGGCACAGTTGTTAGAGCAACATGTGAGGTAAACAAGAACCCTTCTCCCCAGAGCACATCTGCTTGGTAAAGGGCACCTCATTTAACAGTTCTGTTGCAGTTTTGGACTTGGTAGAGGTAGAATGGCTAAGAAGGAGGAGGCTGGCTCATACCTGTGGCTTTAGGCCTGGTGCTTAACCTTAACCTCTTGGACTTTAGTTTCCTCATCTGTAACATGACCTTAGTATTAGGACCGACCTGCTAGGTTCTGGCAAAGGCCAGAATATTTCAGGACAGTGCTTGAAATATTAAACATCACAAATATTGGACTTCATAGTGTTTCTTCTGGTTCTTGCTATAAGCAGATTGCCTGTGTGAATCAGAGAGGGCGAGTCGAAGGAGGGATGCTGGCTGAGCGTGAGGAAAGTGACCCTCATGGGTCATAGAAACTGAAGTGGGTCATAGAAACTGAAGTGCCTGCGCTTAAATTGCTTGTAGTTTTTTTTTTTTTTTTAAAGATTTTATTTATTTATTTTTGCATAGAAGAACTGGGGTGTAGGCCAGAGATGCAAGGGGTGAAAAAATCCACCAGAGACACAGTGGGGAGCAGAACAGGCAGATCAGTATATTTCATTCTGCTGAGAGGAGAAGCAGGTGAGACAGGAGAGACAGGAGAGGTCTGCTGTGCCATGTGGGTCAGCTCCCTGGCTAGGGATCAAATTGAGGCTGTTGAACTCAGGTGATAGGGCTGAGACTTAACCCCTAGGCGACCAGGGAGGCCTGCTTGTAGTTTGTGCTACTAGACATGCAGTTAGCACATGGCTTGTGAACCACCATTGTTTTTTTCTGCCCCACATTTCAGGAAATGGTTGTAGAGTAATATAACACATACCATGTGTTTAATTAAGAGCTGCTTCTCTCTTCCACATGAGGTATGGAGTTTGAAATGACATGAGAATGCCTGATAAAATTTCTCATCATGGGAGTGAGAAGTGACTGTTAGGTGGTGAGTGGGTAGACTAGCCCGCCTTAGTAGAATCTCTTTGCCAGCACGTGCTTAGGTCATTTTGCTAATCCTAATTCAGACAGTGGACAGTAGAGAAGGAACAGGTGATACTCAGAATTGCTTTCCATCTTGCAAGTTGGCCTTTTGTCTTGCAACAGTGAAATAATGTCTAAGGTTTCGTGGGTCTCGGTCCCAATAATGAAACTGTCCACTTCTTGTCATTACTAAATTCATGTGTTTTGCTAGAACAGCCATATGTAATATGTGGCTGGGATCCCTGGAATTTGAATGACATATAATTTGTATGTTCTGTGAATTGTTAATCCTTTTTTTTTTTTTTTTTTAAATAATCTGAAAATGGTCAGTACCCTTCTTAGCTTGTGGGTTATACAAGAACAGGGGGTGTACCAGATTTGACCCATAGGTCGACTTACCCACCCCTGTCTACATTGAGGAAGTTAGAGGAAGCTGAGTCAGTCTTCCCATTCCACAGAAGGTAAGTGGAGGTGCTGGTGGATGGTGCAGGGAAGTGCTGGGGTTCCCACACCCTCTTCCTGAATCCAGCCTGGCTGCTTTTCCCTGCACCTCACTGCCCTCTGCTGTTAGCAATGATCACAGCATTTAATGGAAGAGGAAGTGGGATATCTATGGCAGTGCCCCTACCACTGGGGGGGAGTGTCTGAGACTGATTTACCCAAAATTGAGTAAAGAAATAATTGTCATAGGATAATAGCAAAAACACAGTTTCAGCAATGGGAATTTTGTAACCAGCGGCATAAAGCTACCAATGGAAATAAGCCGACAAGTAAAACTTCCATGAGAGCTTAGAAACCTGCCCCTGTTTGTTTGGGAGATGAGGAGCTGAGAATCCTGCCACCATAATCCTTGGGCCTGGACTCAGCTTGCCCAGGAGCTCTTGGCTTGCCCCCACCTTTCACCCACGCTGTCCTGGGGACCTGCACCGGAGTTGTTCATATTCTTGGTGATTTTCCTACTCCCCTTTATTTAGACCTCCTGGCCAATTTGATACCTTTGCCAATATTTGCTTTTGGGATCCTGAGTTGTCAGGATTTATATGTTTAGGGCAGGAGTCTGTGGGTCCCGGCTTTTACCCCATCCTGAACTGATGGTGCTTTCGTCTTCTAGCCCCTTCTGGGTTACAAATGAGCCAGAAGGGAAGACAGTTGTCTACCCCTCCCCCCTTTAAAAAAATATATAAACTTAATACATACCCATCATAGAACAATTACTAATTTTAAGAACTGAAATCAGATTATCCCCCCTCTCATGGTCAGCCTTTAGGCTTTGTTTCCAGAATTTTCTCTAGGTTGGCTTATAAGTCACACTGTTAAGTTGAAAATTCAAATGCTTCCAGGGATCAGGTGGATAAGGAAGTAGGTGAGGCTGGAAAGCAGCAGGGATGTGGTGAGTGAAGCAGGAGTGTGGCCACTTGTGTGCCTGTTGCTTCCAGATCCTTCTGTGATGTGCTCAGCTAGGGAGGGTCCTTTGCCTTTTGCTCCTGCTGCTTCTCAGTGGGCATGTGGGCTCAGTGTTGCCAGATTTCAGATTGTTGAGAAGTCTCAAATGTGTTTTCCAAATGTGAACTACTCTTTTACTTAATGAGTCAAATTAAAAAAAAAAAAAAGGAAATCTGCATACTGCTTCAAGTGTAGGTGTGAACGATTCGGTTCCTGGATGGCCTGTTGGCAGTGTCTGGTGTGGACATTTTTGGCTTTACCTGTGTTCTGAATCCTTTCCCCTTCAGTGCAGTGGTTTTGCTGGTCGCTCCTCTGCAAGATGCAGCCCTTTGAACCCATAGGTTGTTTCCAAGGTTTTAGAAGTAGAGAAAATGTAGCATGAATCATTAACTCCTCCACCCCCACCCCACCCAGAGCTCTGGGGTGTGTGGGAGGGAAGGGACCTTTTTTCCATTTTAATTCTGAAACTCATGTTTCATGTAGTCAGAATAGCATTTAGCCCAGGCTAGTATTTTGTAAATGTAGAGAATAAATGATGTGTTTTAGCCCACACTCCTGAGCTGTACATCAAAGTCTAAAGTCTGATTCAATTATTTGTGACTTCAAAGGCAATTAGTTCTTCCTTTGAGCAAGATTTATGGCTTTATAAAAGAATTGGCATCTGTTTCAAAGCATAATTGAAATGAGCATTTCCAAATGTCCTTTTGCTTTTGAAAATGTCCGTGGAGTGATTTAAAGTGGGGTTTCTCAATCTAGGTACTGTTGACATTTTTGGCCTGATAATCCTGGGTCGTGAGGCTGTCCTGTTTCCTGTCACAGCATTTGTGGTCCCCACCATGAGATGCCAGGACATAGCCCTGCCCAGTGATGCAGCCAGAAATGTCTCCAGATACCCCAGGACCCCCTGGGGTTTGTTATCACCCCTCCATACTGAGAACCATCAATTGAATGGACCATACTTTGGAAGTTTACTACTGAGACCAAAATTCTGATTGCTTTACCTTGATCTTTGAAGCTTTTCACTATTAACATTTAATTCTGTATCTTCCTGAGCATTTGGATTTTAATATTACAGATAAATAAGATGTAATCCCACCCCAAGAGGTAACAACTGTTAAGAATTGGGTGTTCAGGTTCTTAAATGTGTAGAATTACATGGATAGAGTACTTTTTTGTGGCGGAATGGGGTCATCTAAACTTTCAATTCTGCAGCAGTTGACATTTTTCTAAGTATCTACAGTTCTCATTGTCAGTGATGTATAGACAGTACATGAAAATGACAAGAAATGGGGGCATATGAATGAACTTGGGGAAACATTTCTTGAAGAAACCTGGTTTTATTAAGGAAAGTGAATGTGAATGTTTTAAATGGATACATTGGTTTGTCTTCTTTTTTTCCTTTTTTTTAAAATTATTGAACTATTGTTATTTTACATCTTTGATCATTAGTTACATAATAAAGAATTTCTCCCCTCAGGTGTGGTCACCACAGTGCTCCCACCACCAGGTCACTCATAGTCCACCACAGTGGACTCCACCAGGGTCTGTGGTCTGCTTTCAAGGGTTGGTTTTAAAGTTGGTCTTTGGTCCTTTGTTTGGTTTCTCAATATTCCACATATAAGTGAAATGATCTGATGTTTATCTTTCGCGTTCTGGCTCATTTCAATTAGGATAATCCCATCCAGTTCCATCCAGGTTGCCTCAAATGGCATGATCTTTTTGATCGCTGAGTAGTATTCCATTGTGTATATATACCCCATCTTCTGGATCCACTCTTCTGTCTCTATATCTTGGCTATTGTAAATAGCTCTGATTTGTCATCTTAATGTAAATTTTATGTCCCTGCTCACTCTCTCAGGAGCCTCAAGCCATAGGCATTTTGACCTGCCTGCTATTTCACATGAACCCTTGATGGCCACAGGGGAAGCCAGAATAAAAGCTTTTAAGAACGTGTAATAGTCATACAGTCACAGAATTCCTTACATTTTTCTGTGTCAACAAATAAATTTTTGTGCTGACCTTAAAATATTTTCCTCCCAACAAAAGTATGGTTAAAAGTATTTTTATAAAGAGTAAAATATGGCCCATAATCAAAATACCTCTAATTGACTTTTTGTACTGATGAAAGTACTACAGGCACATGGTAAAAATTCAAACCCAAACTGCAGCAATGTGAAAACAGTATAGCAAGGTATTAAAAATATAGGAAAAGATCTTTTACCCCCATATTCTCAGTTCCATATTTTCTCTAAACTTTACCACTACTAGTAATAGTTTATGGAATGTGCTTCTAAAAATACTGATATGTATCCACTTATGTAGTGGTGTGGGTTAGCTTTAAAAAGCATTTATACATAGGGGGCCTTTATACACACTTGGTTTTTCCTTTCTCTTCCACCCACCGTTTTTTGAGGACACAGGTCGGTATCAGTCATTCTAGGGGTTGCATAGTATTTGTACCTTCGTGTACTTAGCTAATTTCAAGCAGATTCCTATAAACCATCAAACTTCTTGTCCACTTTACCTGCACATCATAATATATTTTGCATAGACACCTGTGGGGTGACTTCCTAGCAGTGGTACTTTGGGGTTCATGTGTTGTACACATTTAGATTTTGGATAATGGTCAGTATCCCCTAAAAATCCTAAATGATTTTTTTATGAGCTGCCTTTTTTACGCTCAACACAAGGTGCTGTTTTTGAAACAAATATACCTTGCAGGTGTAAAGCACTGAGGCTGGAGAGATGTACTGTTTCTACTTTTCACCTATTTTGCATGATTTATGTTGAGCTTAGTGATCGCTCCTCAGATGTCTCTTGATCTTTTGTATTTTTCTGTGAGTTGCCTGTTAACTGATGTGGGAGGTTGATGTCGGGACAGGCCTCACACAGATTGGAAGGTGGGGCATGTGGCCCCCCTCCCTTCCTGCTGGCATGAACAAAGCCTTGCAGGAGGGGTGGCCCCTGCCCTTTCTTTGCTGGAGGGGGAGAACAGACACGGCACCCCCGGGAAGCCACCCTTACTCTCGCCCCACCCAAGTGCTAACTTGAAAATTTATTGTAGCTTGTTTCTTAAACCTTAATATGTATGCTTAAGTTCTGTTAACAAAGGATTCTTCATGTCTATGATTTAAGACAGTATTTTAAAAAACTTAATTCTGGAAATGGTTTCTGATGTTTATTGAACACTTGCTAAGAATCCATTCACATGGGGCCTCCCTGGTGGCACAGGGGTTGAAGTCTTAGTACTGTCAACCTATTGCCAGCCACTGCAGCGCTGAATTCAATCCCCAGCCAGGGAGCTGACCCACATGGTGCAGCAGACCTCTCCTGTCTCGCCCACTGCTCCCCTCAGCAGTGTATTTCAGTAGATCTGCCTGCTCTGCTCCCCACTCTGTCTCTGGTGAATCATCTCCCCACCCCATACCTCTGGCCTACCTCCCAGCTCTTGAATGCATAAATAAATAAAAATAAATCTTAAAGAAAAATCCATTTGCATGGACGAGCTGATCTGAGCTCCACCTCCATTCCCAGACCCATGCTTGCTACTTCCCTGTTAAGTGGATTTATCAATCTCAGCTCTGTTGACTCTTGGGGCCAGAGATAATTCTGTGTTGTACGGGGCTGTGCTGTGTACTGTAGGATGTTTGACAGGACCCCTGGTCTCTACCCACTGGATGCCAGTGGCACCCCTTCCCCAGTGAGACTCCCAAATGTCCGCAGACATTGCCCCATGCACCCTGGAGGGCAAACTCACTCCTGGCTGAAAGCACCACTGGTTCAGATGATCAAAACCAAAGCCACACGCAGCGGTTGAGCGCTGAGTTGCTAGGCTGCCCGCGGCCTCTGCGGCGCCGGTTCGATCCCCGGCTGTTCCCCTGCCACCGGAGGAGGGTCCCACATGGCACGCAGACCTCTCCTGCCGCCCGCTGCTCCCCTCAGCAGTGTACTTCGGTTCTTCTGCCTGCTCTGCTCCCCGCTCTGGCTCTGGTGAATTCTCTCACCCTCCTGCGCTTCTGACTGTACCCAGTGCATGTATAAACAAAACAAACAAACAAACAAATAAATAAATAAAACATGCCTCTATTTAAAAAAAAAAAAAAAAGAACAAAACCAAAGCCACAGAGGTTAATGGGAAATAACAAATAACATTACACCAATAGCAGGCAATAATGTACTTCATAGATGCCAGGCATTGTTCAGATGGTTGATTAATTAATTTGTTTCTTACTATTTGATGAGAGAGGTACTTTCATCAACCCCTTTGTATCATATTATTAGTATCTCTTTTGGCTATTGCTTAGAAAGGAGGTTCAGAGATGTCAGGTAACTTGCCCAAGGTCACACAGCAAATCCGTCACAGTGCTCAGATTTGAATCCTGACACCTGACCCCTGTCTTAGACCCGTGTTAGGTTTAGAGTCTTCCCACTCTATTATGTTACAAATAGCGTTCACAGATCCTGGCACTGGAGGTGAGGATAGTACATGTATCTTGACGGGCTGAGCTGGATGCAGGTTTAACCCAGTGAATCCTCACTCTAAATATCGCCATGGCGGATGACGAAATTGAGGCAAGTGCCTCTGAAACTATCCAAGCACTTCTGGAATCCCCAGGGGTGTCTGGATTCCTAACCCTTTGGCTGTCACAGCTTTATCTGGGGGAACAGGTGGCTCCACAGCTGAAGTCTGGTGCACGTGCGGGTGGCCTTCACATGGTAGTGATGTGGAGCATGTGGGCAAAGGGCAGAGTCTGAAGGGGGTGTGGGGCTCTCATTGTCCCATCTGAGGCCTTCATTTTGTTAAGATAAAGGGCCTGGTTTCTGTTCTCCCTTCTCCAGTGGACGAAATTCGGAGGTGCAGGATGTTGATAGTTTTAAGATACTTTTGAAAGCCTCAGGCATAGCCCCGCCACTTCGTGCTCCATGAAAGTTGAAACTCATAAGTAAGGAGGGAGATAATATACCAACGTCTCCCGCCTCCATCTGGGGCCACATTTGGCTTCATTCGGCAAAACCTTTGAAAGGGAAGCCCGCGCTCTCCCCAGAGGTCAGGTTGGCCTCCGGCAGGTGCGACGGCTGTGGGAGCCGGCCCTGTGTCTCCCACAAACGGACAGCACACCATTTGTAAGCCTAGCTCCCGTCCCTGCATCTGGACTGGGGTGGGTGTTGGTTTAATCGCTATTTATTTTGAGATTTACACCCCTGAATGGGCCAAAACAATTTCAGTGGCAGCTTAGCCGATTTGTCTTAGAGCTTTGTGTTTAACACAATATCTGGGGGGCCTGCTTCCTCTGTGGCTCTAACGGCTTGACATTGGGTTAAAGTCCTTCGCTCTCCCATCTGTGGTGCTCTGGGGCCTGGTGGAAATCAAATGCAATGTCTCCTCTCGCCATCTACCTACACCAAGAGTTTTCTTTGTCTAGTGGTTAGTAAATCTGCCTTTTAACAATGACCAAACTTTTCCAGCTTCACCAGCTTCCACGAAGACAGGACAAGCAGGGAGCTCATCCGGCAGCCCAAAACCCTTCTCTCCTCAAGCGTCCACGCCTATCGCCACCAAGACAGACAAGACTCCCACCACCGGAAGCATCCTGAACCTTAACCTGGGTCAGTTTGGGTTTTGGGATGGCTTATTCTATGGCGGCTCTTTTGCAAGTTGTGTGTGGTTCTTGAACTCTGAGCATATGTAAATCATTTAAAAGGTGCCATAGATGGGGATGAAGAGAGGTCAAATAAAATGACAAGGAGGGGATTTCCTGGGACTGGTTGATGTGCTGAGTTGTTTTATGATCAAGTACCTTAAACCAGTGTTTACAGTAAATTTGCCCTTGACACACACAGTCGCCCAGTTCTCAAATTTGTGGATCTATGTATATTTAAAGCACAAACTCGATAGTTTCAAATCTTCATCTTCCCTAAGTGCAGTATAATCTGGTACAGAGTTGCCTTAACTATCTTATGATTTTTTATTTATTTACTTTTTTTTTTAAGTTACTTTGAATCTTTTTTTTTTTTTAATAGAGGCATGTTTTATTTATTTATTTGTTTGTTTGTTTTTGTTTATACATGCACTGGGTCAGAAGCGCGGGAGGGTGAGAGAATTCACCAGAGCCAGAGCGGGGAGCAGAGCAGGCAGAAGGATGGAAGTACACTGCTGAGGGGAGCAGCGGGCGGCAGGAGAGGTCTGCGCGCCACGTGGGACCCTCCTCCGGTGGCCAGGGAGCAGCCGGGGATTGAACCGGCGCCGCAGAGGCTGCGGGCAGCTTTGCAACCCAGCGCTCAACCGCTGCGCCACCGGGGAGGCCCTATTTATTTACTTTTTTAAAGATTTATTTGCATAGAAGAACTGGGTGTAGGCCAGACGTATAGTGCAGAGAATGTGAGGGGACTCACCAGAGACAGAGTGGGGAACAGAACAGGCAGATGTACTGAAATACACTGCTGAGGGGAGCAGCGGGCGAGACAGGAGAGGTCTGCTGTGCCATATGTGGGTCAGCTCCCAGGCCAGGGATTGAACTCAGGCAGCAGTAGTGATAGCACTGGGACTCAACCCCTAGGCCACTAGGGAGGCCCTGCATATGATTATTTAAAATGCTGGCCTTTATCCTCTGACTTGGTAGATTTTTTTAAAATTTATTTTTTTTGGCCAATTGGGTTTCAGTTCTAAAAGCACTACCTTAGGCCAAAGTCTTTAGCAAAAATTGGCACCAGCAATGCTAAATACGTAAGTGTGAAATTTATTTTACTGATTGATTCCATCATGACTCCTGGTTTTTATTGAGCTGCTATTGTGTGCTATTTATTGTGTTAGGCTTGGGGCAGAGAGTGGTGAATAAGACCCTGCTGCAGTGGAGTCTAGGTTCTAGAGAGGGAGCTACAGTACTCCAGGCACATGAACAAGACAGTTCATGCCATTCAAGGAGGTAAAATATGTTCATATGATAAGGAGAGAGCCGGGTAGAATGGGGGTGTGCAGTGGGCGGGCAAGGTCAGTGGTCTCTGGTGGTGGGTTGGAAGGAACTTTTTGAGGAGGTGACTTAAATACTGATTTGCACAACAAGAAAAACCAGCCATCCCTGTATCTGGAGGAAGAAGTTTGTAGAAGGAACAAGGAATTTACAAACCCTGGGGTAAGGATGACCTGGGTGTGTCACAGGAGTGGCTGGGAGGCCCAGGGGGGGTGGCTTGTGGGGAGGGAGGTTGGGGAGAGGTCAGAGGACAAGGGACCTTGTGTGCCTGCTGTGGAGGGGTTTGAGCAGGGAAGCACTGTGGCTGAATTGGTACGTTTAAAGGACAGCTCTGGGTGTTGTATTGAGACTCCCGTGTCCACCATTCTCAACCAAGGGCACGTCCTCCCTCCCCGTTGGATACATGGTAGGATCTGGAGGGAGGAGATTTTGGTTTGTCACGACTGCAGGGTGGGGGTTAGCAACTGTCACAGGTGGGTAGACTCCCTGGATGCTGCCAAACACCCTGTAATGCACAGAGCTGGCCTGCACACCCAGGAGTTACTGCGTTATGCTAATAACTGTGCTAATAGCTTCAGTCGTGGCAGGAGAAACAGGAAACCAAGAGTTCAGTTTTAGATGCCTGCTAGACTTCCAGGTGGAGAGGTCGAGAGTGTGATTGGAGCAAGGGTGCCCTGAGGCCAGGGCAGGAGTTACAATTCCTGATTTATGCGTGGGATTGGGTTAGGACCCTGGTTCTCACAGGGTGAGGAGGCAGAGACGGGAGGTGCTATTGCCACCTAGTGGCTGGAGGCCAGAAATGCCGACCACCCTGCTCTGCACAGGACTGGCCCTAATGGCCATAGTGCTGAGGCCAGGAGACCCTGATCTAGAACCCAAGGAAACAAGAGGGTCTTGGGTGCTTAATCGTGTAGACTTTGGGGAAGAGAAGTGAGCAGAGGAGGCTGGAAAGGAGCAGAGGACAAGCAGAAAGCAGCACCAGGTGAGTGTGTGGTGCCAGTGGCCTCAGGTATAGATGGCCTCAGGAGGGAGGGGCCGCCTGTATGGAGTGTAGCCCCCGCATGAATTGCAGCCTCAGTGGCCAGTGCCCTCTGGCTCATCTTGCCCTGCAGGGCCATTTTCAGGTGGAGAAACTGAGCCCTGGGGAGAGGAGACTCTGTGGCCAGGATCACCTGGTGACAGGATGGGAGCTGAGCGGTTCCAGGTCAGCTCGGCTGGTGAGAATTCCTCACTGAACGAAAGAGGACCTCTTTGCTGCCCGGGAACATTCATTTTCTGCAACAGCCTGGCTTCCTTTCTCACACCCGCCTCCCACCCCCAAGAAACCTTGCTTGAGGCATTCTCACGGCTGGTTCCCCTCTGCCGGTCATGAGCGCCAGGACCGGCTCCCTCCCTAGGCTGGGTGGGCCTTGTGTCATGGGGCGGTCAGCTCCACTTGACCCCTCTTGGGAGTGCAAGGCCATTTCCTGTTGGGTGTCACGGTGGGTGGGCACAGCCCCCGGCCCCTGCCTGCGGGAAGGAAAGCACCGAAATGAGAATGTTTAATGGGCTGGGATTTCAGTGATGTGAAGGGAAGAGGGTCAGATGGGCACAAGTGAAGGTGCTGTGGATGGGAAGGGAAAGGCGGAGAATGGAGGGAAGTGCTGAATAATTCTCCGTGGTGGTCCGGGGTCGGGGCAGATGCTTTTTAGGGGCTTGATTATGTCTTTCATCTCTAATGAATCAACAGGAACGGACACAACAGACGATGATATTGCTACCTCTGACAAAGCTATCATTAAAAGTAATGAGGGCCTCCCCTGGTGGTGCAGCAGTTAAGCCCTGGGCTGCAAAGCTGCCCGCAGCCTCTGCAGCGCTGGTTCGATCCCTGGCCGCTGGGCGAGGGTCTCACATGGCGCGGCAGACCTCTCCTGCCACGCCCGCTGCTCCCCTCAGCAGTGTATTTGTTGGTCTGCCTGCTCTGTTCCCCGCTCTGGCTCTGGCGAATCCTGTCACCCTCCCGCGCTTCTGACTGTACCCAGTGCTTGTATAAGTAAATACATAAATCTTAAAAAAAAAAAAAAAAAAAACCTGGAAAAGGCAAAATTATATAGAGCTAGAAAATATCCATGTTAGGGTTAACAGAGGGTTTGGCTGCAGCTCTCACAGGGATTCTTCTGGAGATGGAATTCTGCCTCCTGTCTGTGGGTGTGGCAGCACTGTATGTCCCTGAGTTTTACTCTGTAAATTAAAGCCATTAAAAGAATACAACAGCCTCTAAGGTAGGGACCAGCCTCATTTCACAGAAGAGGACACTGAGGCACTGAAAAGCAGCTAGCTCTCCAGGATAGCTCCGGTCAAATTTGGCCTTTAGACTTGAGGCCTGTCTGCTGTGTAGCTGGCTCTTAACCCAGACACAATTTGGGTGGTGTTTTGACTTTTGTGAGCCCTGGGCTGTTGGGTCAGTTACCCCAGCCATAAGAGTCAGAGGCAAGGTCAAGATTTGGAATGGGAGATCATAGAAGATGAAGGTGCTTTTCTGAAGGAAGCCCCACCATTTCAACTGTCTTGCCAGTTGTCTGAATTTCCAAGAAAAATAGAAATCAGATTTTATGGGAACTCTTCTAGATTGTAAATATGAACAGTAAATTTCATTAAAAACAAAAACTCAGGGTCTCCCTGGTGGTACAAGGGGCTAAGTCTCAGCACTATGAAGCTATCTGCAGCCACTGCAGCATGAGTTTGAGCCCCGGCCAGGGAGATACCCACATGGCACAGCAGACCTTTCCTGTCTTGCCCGCTGCTCCCCTCAGCAGTGTATCTCAGTCAGTCTGCCTGTTCTGTTTCCCATTCTGTCTCTGGTGAATCCTCTCACCCCTGAACCTCTGGCCTATACCCCAGGTCTTGTACATATAAATAAATAAATCTTAAAAAAAAAAAAAAAAAAAAAAAGAAAACTCTACTTTGGCCAAACAAATGCAATAAAAATACAAAAACCGGGTCACCAGTTGCTTATTACCTGGATGACTATGAATTGTGCTGGACAGAGGGGCTGGTCTATGCAGAGACTGGTTCTCTCCCTGCTTGCTGTCGCCCGGGCCCCGCATTGGGTGTCTTGGGCTTCTTTCTCTCTAAACGAAGGAGCCGATTCCTGGTGGGTTGTTCCAGCCCCCTCCTGTGACTCCATGTGATTATAAATAAATCATAAAGGAGGAGAATGTGAGACTAGGGAAGAGGAGGAAGACCTGATTCTTTCTGGTAATCTTCTCTCCTCTCATAGAGGGTTTGCTTTGGGTCAAGCAAAACACAGCTAGTCGTGTTCATGACAAAAATGTCTTGGTGCTCTGTGGAAGATGATGGGGGGAGGGTTGTCAGGCTGGAGCCTCCCAGCTGGGGTGCCACTGTCACTGGTGGGGCCCCTTTTCATAAAGAGGCACCGAGTCCATCAGGCAGCCTTTGAGAGCCAGGGATCCTGCTTTCTCAGATGTTGTCTTCATTTTTTCCTCTTTTACACGGAATGAGGTGATGATCTCTGCTTGACTTTGATTGATAAGAGAGCCCCTGACTGGGTCAGTGTCAGAACAAACACTTCCCTGGCAGGTGCCGCCATCCTGTGGCTCTGGAAGTCCATTTCTCACACTTGGCCCACCGCTTACCAACAAAGGAGACCTGTTTTGTTTTTTTAAACTGAAATTTCTTATATTTTTCTTTTTAAAAGTTTATTCTGTTTTTGTAAGTAAATAATGCACATGGTAACAGATTTAAAAGTACGGAAAGAAATTTAAGTGAAAAGACACCCTGTTCACAGTCTCTGGTCTCCTGCTCTGTGTCCCTCCCCCACAGGTGACCTCTGTGGCCTGTTAGTCTCCTTGGAGAATCTTCTAGAGAGACACAGTTTCTCCACCTGGGCGGTTTTGTCCCCCAGGGGACATTTGGCAATGCTGGGAGACATTGTTGCCATAACTGGGATGCAGTTGCTATTGGCATCTGGTGGGGAGAGACCAGGGTTGCTGCTTATTACCACACAAGGCCTGGGTAGCCCCAACCCCTTCATCTCACAGCAGAGACACTTCTCACCCGGGTAAGGGGTGGGGTGCCCGTGCTGAGGACCTCAGGGCACTCACAGCCGTGTCTATGCCTTTCCCCGCACCTGCACGCTCTGCTGACCTCGCTTCCTGTTCCTCATCGGCTCATAAGCTCTGCTGCAGCTTCAGTTCACACTTGTATTTTATCCCATTTCAAGGTGAACTCCAACTTGCTCATTCAGGCTCCTTATTTATTGACTCTGGTTTGTTTTCCATTTTTTTGCTATTGAAGCAGCTGCTGCAAAGATCCTTTTGCCCAGATGGGACGTATCCGTAGGCTAAATTCCTAGAAGTGGAGTTGCGGGGTCAGAGGCCACGTGCGCTTGACATTTTGGGAGATGCTGCCAATTGCCCCCTAAAGGGGTGATTCTGATGTGAGCTCCCTCCAGAAATGTAAGATCGTGCCTCTTTTTCAAGCAAGGATATTTTTTATCCCTGCTTTCCATTTATAGCCTAAGCTGTCTTCGTATCAGCTGAAAAGTTCAAAATGTTGGCAGCAAGGGTGGATTCTGAAGATATTCCTGATATAGAAGGGCAGGGGTAGAAGAAGTGCTGATAAGCTACTATGAGCTAAATGAGAAACAGCTCTTCTTTCTGCCTGCGGAGGAGAGGAAGGCACAGCACGGCCCAAAGTTGGAGAAAGATAATTACATCTGGCTACCGCTCCTGAGCCTGGCGCCCAGGGACCTGATCCCAGCCCTGGCTTTTGCTGGGTAATTGTTTGAATCAACACTACGGTGGCTTCGTAACCAGGGGAACGTGATTTTGTAAAATGAGGTGCTTTACCTACTTTTCATTCCTTTTGATTATGAATATGCCAGAGTTTAGTCTTTTTAAGCTGAAGTTGAAAGATTACTGTTCTCGTTCTTTCTTATACAGACACACACACACACACACACACACACACATTTGGTGAGGTCTCTGGTCATGAATCCTAAGATTTGCAAGAGCATTGCTGTTAACACAGATACACAAGGGGTAAGGGGAATCGAGAATTTTCTTTACTCACATGGGGTTTTCAGCCTTGGCTGCTGATGGAAATCACCTGGGAAACTTGAGAAAAGGCCAATGCTCAGACCTTATCCTCCCCCAGGCCAGATAATTCAGAATCTAGGGAGGTGTGAGAAGGTGTTAAGTAAAAAGGATTTTTTAAAGCTCTAAAGGAGATAACAGTATGGAGTCAAGGTTCGCTGTTGCTGATTGATGAGCAGTACAGGGAAACAAGAATTTTACGGCCTGTGTTCCAGGGCTGTTCCCCTGCCCCCACCCATTTTTTGTAAATAAAGTTTTATTGGGACACAACCACTTAAACATTGATGGCCATTTTTGCACCAGAGGTTGTGGGGCCTGTAAGAACCTCATTTACTGTTCGGCCTTGACAGAAAAAAACCCTTGATGACCCAGGCACAGTGGGTTGTGTTTTCCGTAATTGCCGTGTAGCGTGTTAGCCACAATGGGGCACCAATGAGCACATTACTTGGGGAGCACCCCCTTCCCACGTCTCTCACGGAAAGTACTTCTGTGAGATACTTGTTTTTCTAACTTAATGCTTAATAATTGTCTTTTCTCTCTGGAAATCCACCCTGCCCCCTCATTTCTAAAAGCAGGAATTTCGAGAGACTTCACATCCTTCCCCATAGTGGTCATGTGTGCAGTCCGACTCCCGGGGTCCTTAAAACTTAAAGCCAATGTGTGTTCTTTCCCTGGATCTTTCTGCTTCCCTGTCCTTCCTCCCCTGCCTTTGCATTTTATTATTTCACTTTAGATTTTCCTTGTGTGTGTATTTCTCTGGGAAACGAGATGGAAATTCTTCTATCACAAGTGGCTGCACGTTCTCTGTTTTCTCTGTGAGCCCGATGGCCTCTCTGCATCTGCACATGCATGAACACCCCTAGAATCACATGCACAAGCATGCAGTGCACAAGACGATCATGTACACACAAGCACATGTATACTCACCATGCACACACGTACAAACATGCAGTGCACAAATATGTTCATGATCCACCTGTGCATGCAGACACACAAAGGTGCACAAGTATGACCACAGTACAAACACACATGCATACTAACATGCACAAAAACACACGCAAATGCACAGATGTTTTTAGAGCCTTTCTTGAGTGACGGTATCTCAGGGGGGCTCTCCCTTGGGGACTGACCCTGAATGTGTTTTTAGGGCAAAGATCCTTCCCAGTCTTAGATTGGTGGGGATGTTGTTAGGGTGGTAAAGTCATGTTGCCTGTGAGTTGCTGGTGGGGCCTTCAGGCCCTCATATCACCTTGAAGGAGCATATCTCTGGGCTTGCAGCCTAAGAGGACGTGCCCTTCCTGGGTGAGGGTGTCGGAGAGCAAAACCCAAAGGTGGTGGGAGAGTGAAGGCTCCCAGGACCCTCGCCGGCAGCCACCAGCCTGTACCAGCTCTATGGTCTGGTGGACGGGGTGGAGGTGTCGGGAGGTGCAGGAAGTCGGGGAGCAGGCCCACAGCTGGTGGGAATGAGCTGAGTGGCCTTTTCTCCTGGACAGATGCCACCTATTTTCTGACCTTTATTTTCTGGGATTGGTGTGGGACAAGGGATATGGTGGGGCTTGGGGAAAGATGCCCACGTTTTCTGTTTTGGGTGTTTGGAGGGGATGCCAGAGAGTGACAGGCAGGTGAACGATCATGCTTCTGCCTGCAAAATCTCATTACTTTCTGGGCCTTTGCAGCTACCTTGATGTTGTCTCATTTTTAATGTCTTGGGGGTACTAGAGGGGCCAGTGAGGGTGGGGGAGGAATACGAGAAATGCAAGCCCATAGACCGCTTGGCATCTGGTGTAGTCGGACTTATAAAGACCTGACCCTGGGGCAAAAGTGGGGCATGAGGGGACAGGACCTCTGGGCCTAAGTGGGTTCATAGGCCTTTACGTGGGATTAGGGATGAGCTGAGCGAGGATACTTGTAGGAGGCAGACTTCAATCCAGGTCCAGTCTCTCCACCTTTCCTCCGAAGTGCTCTGTGAGCCAAGGGGGACAGCCCAGCAGACTGACTGCAAGGTCTGCGGAGCCTCTACCTTCCCTCTGTTTCTAATTTGTGCTCTGGACTAGGTCAACTAAAAAAGGAAAAATGAAGGGTCCATGGTAACTGAGGAGCTGGGGCTCCCCATTACCAGTGTGTTCTCTGAGAGACCCAGACTTTTTACTTGATCTGCTGGTGACAACTTGAAATTATTGCTTTTGACCTTGAAGGGACCCTACTGATGCTGAGTCCCACAGACAGCCGTCAGTCTGGATTGTATATTTTATTATTTATTTATTTTTAACGATTGATTTATGCATACAAGAACTGGGGTACAGGCCAGAGGTGCAGGGGTGAGAGGATTCACCAAAGACAGAGTGGGGAGTAGAACAGGTGGATCTACTGAAATACACTGCTGAGGGGAGCAGCGGGCGAGTCAGGAGAGGTCTGCTGCGCCATGTGGGTAGCTTCCTGGCGGGGATCGGACTTTTAGGCTGCGGACAGCTTCATAGGTTGTGTTTTACCCCCTTGTGCCACCAGGGAGGCCCTGGGATTATATATTTTAAAGAGTGAAAGCACCCCAGATAGTTGTTGGGTGGGCTGAAGGAACCTGCTCCTGAATGAACCTCCGCGGGTTGTTCTTTCCCAGGCAGATGGTATTGTTGGGAAAAATGACAAACAACTTTTACGTCTCTCTATACCTCTCCCTCTAGCCCCAGCTCCCCCAACTCCCCACTGTAAAACGTGGCAAGGAGGAAGTATGCGTGTGGTTGATTCATTCCTCCAGCGCCTGGTCTCACGTGGTGTGATGATGTCTTCCAGATCGAAGCAAGGCCGAGATGGATTTGAAGGAGCTAAGTGAGTCTGTCCAGCAGCAGTCGGCCCCTGTTCCTCTCATCTCTCCCAAGCGGCAGATTCGCAGCAGGTTCCAACTAAACCTTGACAAGACGATAGAGAGTTGCAAAGCACAATTAGGTATGTCTTCTGGTCAGCTTGCATCATCGTCATCATTATCACTTGTTAGGGATACCACCTAGATGAAACCAGAGGTGGATCCTGTCCTGTCTGCTTTCGGCAGCTGCTTTAACCTTGAATTATTGGTTCAACTAAAGGGTATTTCCACTCGTGGCAAAATGTTTCTGATTTGCCAGTTAATTGTTCAGAAGGGCTCTTTGGATTCCTCAGTTTATTCTTTGGTTGCAGCAGTCTGCAGAGAAAGTTTGGAAGCAGAAAGATCCTCCTGAGTTTGCCTCTGTGCTTCCTCTCAGAACAAGTCTGTGTTTCAGCACCAGGACCCAGTGTGTCCTGCACATACCCCTTCCCCTCCAGACTGGGCTGCTCACCTCCTGGCAAACTCATCCTGCTTCTTTACCTGTTGCCTCCCTTCTTTTCCCCCATGCTGCCTGCCTTCACCCTGCCTACCTGAATCCTGTCCCAAAGGCTGAGCTTGGGTGTCACCTTCTCCAGGAAGTCTCCTCTTGACTGCCCATCCCATCTGCCTGCCTGCCTTCTTTGATACTTTACTGCCCCAAAGCATCAGTGGTCCCTTGGTGAGGGGGTATCCCTGCCAACCTAGATTGGAAGCTCCTTGAGGGCAGGGAGGTTGCCTTGTAAGGATTTGCCTTCTCCAAGGTCTTGTGCGCATAGTAGATGCTTTGGAGTATTTGTTGAATAAGTAAATAAAGCCAGGAGTCAATGAGTAGACTTTGGGAGACCTTGGGAGAGCATCCCCAAGGTCAGGTTTCACATGTCAGTGGGTGCTCTGGATCTGTAGGAGAGAAAAACACTATAGTTAAGGGTTGTCTGGGGCTGTCCAGAGAAGTGCATTCCTTGTGGGGCTGTGTGTTGGTGGACATTGGGTGCCATGAATGGCGTTTTGAGAGCATTTAAATCTCTCTTGGGTCCTTCCATGCAGCTGCTTGACCTCGTTGATTTATTATTATTGTCAACTAGAATTTTAATACTACTCCTCAAGTATTCTGTATGTATTCTGCACTGTTTAAATACTGTGCGTAGATTGGCCTGCAAGGTCAATACTGTTAACAGTCCCATTTTGCAGATGGAGAAACTAAGGCTCAGAGAAGTAGGTCTCTTGTTCAGGGTCACACAGCTCATAAAAGCTGGATTTGAACTCCCATCCTCCTGGCTGCAGTCAGGACCCAAGCCCTTCCTGGTGGTGAGTGGTCCTGTTGTCCTTTTGTGTGCAGGCATTCGCTGGCATGCTCAAGCCCAGGCCCCAGGGATGATGCTAGATCTGGGTTTTTGTGTTTTGAATTCTCCTGTTTTTGATTGAGCCCAGCTGGAGGGCTGGTGCTGGTGTCCAGTGCCCGAGTGGCACATGGTTCTTGCCCTTGGGTCAGTTTCATGTCCGTGCATCTGGGTCAGAATGACCCAGCTCTTGGTGACAATGAAGACTGTGCCAAGAACTGAGTGGGTTTTCCTCATTACAGGATTTTAGGATATAGGATTACTTACCCCCATGATGCTCGTGGCACAAGCAGGAAACATAAATGGGTTAAATAGAACAGTTGTTAGGAATCTGCTTTTGCCCACATTTGTGTGTGTGTGTGTGTGTGTGTGTGTGTGTGTGTGAGAGAGAGAGAGAGAGAACGAGAGCGAGACATGCTATTTTGTCTTTTTCCCCTTTGATAGAGATGTGGAAATAGGAGACTTTACTCTTGACCCCTTTGTAAATGGAAGAACAAGGCAAATCCTATGACAGTTGACCGCAACAGGGCAGAGAGCAAGAGAGGATATCCAGGCACCAGTCACCTGGAGATGGTACTGCCCCACTTGAAAGGGCTGGTGGCTTCCAGGCCAGCATCGCCTTGTAGGTCTGTGACCCAGAGTGGCCGGATCTTCTGATCATTGTACACAAACCCACCATCTTGATTTCCATGGAAAATTTCCTGATTTGTGAAATGGGCATCACGTTCTAAATTAAAAAAAAAACAAATAACAATAAAATGAGCCAAATCATGGCTTCCCAAACATAGTGTTTCTGCTGGTCAGATGTGACTTGTGGGCTGTGAGTCTGCAGCCTTTGCTTTAAAGCTTTGACTTATTTCTTTGAGCCCTAGACACAGAGCGCAAAGGACTTAAATGCTTTGGGGTTGCGTGGGTTGAGTGTTGGTGGCAAGTAGGAGTCTGGGATTCTGCCTTTGCCTCTGTCTTGGTTTTCTTTGTATCTGAGGTCAAGTGATTTCTCTGGGTCTCTATTTTCTAATCTGTTAGATGGAGCAGTTTCAGCAGCTCATGCCTGGTGTCCCTTTCACCCCTCCCAACCCCTCTATTCTGATTAGTTATCCATGTTACAGAGACTTGGCGCCATGTAGATTTAAAATTTATGTTGCTAGGTCCCATGTCATCTTTGAATGTTAATAACTGAAACCTCCAACCACAAGTTGCACTTGTCAGCTGTAGTCAGTTGCAATTTAGTTCACTACTAACCCCACCAGGCCTATGTGATGCAATTTGAAATGTTTTTTATTCCAGCGTTTGGCGTGGAAAATGTTTGCGTTTTTGGTCCTGCTCTTTATTTTGTGACTACGCCACATGCTGGGTTTTCTCTTTGAATTTAGGCATAAATGAAATCTCAGAAGATGTTTATACGGCCGTAGAGCACAGCGATTCGGAAGATTCCGAGAAGTCAGATAGTAGCGATAGTGAGTATATCAGTGATGATGAGCAGAAGTCCAAGAATGAGCCAGAAGATACAGAAGACAAAGAGGGTAGTCGGATGGACAAAGAGCCATCTGCTGTCAAAAAAAAGCCCAAACTGTCAAACCCAGTGGATACTAAAGAGGAGCTGAAAAGCACATCACCAACCAGCGAGAAAGCAGAGCCGGGCTCAGTCAAGGAAAAGGCCAGCCCCCAGCCTGAGAAAGACTTTCCAGAAAAAGCGAAACCCTCACCTCATCCCACAAAGGATAAACTGAAGGGAAAAGATGAGACGGATTCCCCAACAGTACATTTGGGCCTGGACTCCGATTCAGAGAGCGAACTTGTCATAGATTTAGGAGAAGACCATTCTGGGAGGGAGGGTCGAAAAAATAAGAAGGAACCCAAAGAACCATCTCCCAAACAGGATGGTAAGTGACTGCACCAGTTTCCAGTTTCTTGATTTGGTTGAGAATTCCACTTTGTGGTCATATTAGCAGTAGTATTATCAGACCCTTATACATCATGGAGGGGGGCTCAGCCATGCTTTGATTGCCTCCAGGTACCTCGCTCTAGTTACTGAGCATGACCAGAACTTCACCTGGGCCTTGCCTGCCTTTATCTGCTAGGGGACCCAATGTGGTTGGTTGACCTTGAGCTCAGAAAAATAAGTCTCTTAGAAAAAACAGCAGGTGATTTTAGCGGTCCAGGCATTTTTAGCCCAAGCAGACTAAAATTCTTTCCCAGCGTGCTCACTTCTTGCACCTAAAGTGTTTGTCAACATTTAGACATTTGACAAGACGTATATTCCTAGAGGTGTTTAGTTTGCAGGCCTTGATGCCTGTCTTTCCTCCCTCCATGCTGTTAGGCATCTTAAAGCCCATTTTATTACTAGAATCCAAGGGCATTTGGGGCAGGTAGTACCGGAATGATGCTGAGTGCTTTCTGTGGAACTAGAAATTAAAGGGCTGTTGTCTGCTGTCCCACCATATTTGCGTTTAACTGAACTGAGTCCAGGGCTTCTCAGTCCTGGCTCTGACGTTTTGTGCTGAGAAGTTCTTTGTCCTGTGATTAGAGGGCATCCTTGACCCTGCACACTGCCAGTTGTGGCTATCAAAAATATTTGACAGTGAAAAGCCTCTTCTGAGTTTAGAATTGCTGTCTGAGTCAAAGCTATTGTTCTAGACTGAAGCAGCACGGGCTCTGCCCTCCACCCTGCCACGGCCGTGGCATGTTGGCAAACTCTCCAGAAGGAACTTGTGAATGATTTGATGGGTCCTTCCCATTGACATAGCAGTCAGCACATTTTTCAGTTGGGTTGGCAAGTGGGTGTTGAAGGGCTTCCGACATGCCCGAGAAAGATAATGAAGAATTAATTGAGGGCCTGGGAGAAATACTGCTTAAGGACAAATTAAAGGTGGTCATAAAGCTTTGTAAGTAACTTCAGGGTGTAATTTTTGAACAGTGCCTGACTTGTGACAGGCTAATTTCAACCAAAACCTTGAGTAAGGTGTGAGTCTGTGCTGCCCGTGGGGATGCTTAGTCCTTTGCTTAAAGCAAGAAGTAAGTCAGGAATGAACCTTGAAAGTCTTTCTTCTCTGGTTATGTCAACCTGAACTGTTCTGGAACCTCAGTTGTTAGGAAGAATCCCTGCAGTTGATCACGAGAGTATGGAATATGTTTGAACGGTGCAGTGGAGGGGGAGAGCCATGCAGTTGAGTAGGCAGAAAGGAAAGACCAGACCGTCATCACTGAGTCATCTCTTAGGTTCATGGCTTGCCCTGAGAAAGTCAATGATGTGAATTGGGGTTTGAGGGACCTCTCCTGATGTTGCAGAGAGCAACAGGAATAGCATTTATTCCATGAGGTTTGTGGGAACATCTGGGTGCAGATTACAGGGTTTCTGTGAATGGTTTGTTTATACTCTTATGTTCTTTTGGGACCAGATCTTTTGATTGATTGGTTTCATGCCCCTTCTTCCAGAGAGAAATTGCAAAAGGTTGGAAAGATCTTGAAATGCAATGAAAATAAAGTATAAACTGAAGGTAGAATAGGAAAGTTCTGGGGGGAAGTTTGTGTACAGGATCATGTCCCATTCCAGCCTTCAGAGTTAGCAAGGTTGGGTTTCCATTTGGTCCTGAGCTTCCTAGCAGTCCAAACAAAAAGAGAAACATAGTTCCTTAAAAAAAAAAAACTCATGTTTTCTAAAAAATAAAAAAAACATTTCAGTTGATTAAATGAAGCAGAACTTTTCCCTACGCTGATGCCTGAAGGATATTTCTCTGAAAGACCCCAGGTGTGTGGTGGGTATTTCAGCTGAAGATGATTTCAAAATTAGTTAGAGCAGCTTCCCACGGTTTGGGGCAAGACTGACTCTTCTGGTCTTAAATCCAGAGCCCCTGATAGTGACTCGGGTCTTGAAGAATGATCTTCATGTCAAATTCTGTAGATCATCTTTTCACCAGTGCACTTTCGCTTAGGAGTTATTAAGCGAAGAACATTTTCCATGGTATCGTCCTGACCTCCAGCTTACCTTCAGCAGTGAAGACAGCTAATGCATAGAATATGAATCCTCAGGCAGCAAAGCGCCTTCTGTAGCTAGTGATCTCAGAACAAAGGCAAAGGGAGCCCGCTTGGAGACCTGGAGCTCTGCTTGCCCTGTAGCGCTAGTAATTTCCATCCTTAAAAAGTCCTCCTTTGATGTACACGAGAGTGACCAAACTCTGGAATGAGCCAAATTTGATGGTTTAGCTTCTGGAGTGCTGACCTTTAAAAGAGTCACTGTTTTGGGGGGTCAGACTCTGAACCCAAAATTGATTATAAACTCCAAGTTTCTAGAAAACATGCAAATTTCCTGTAACCTCTAACCCCGAAACCATCAGATTCCTCTAGAAACGAAAATATTTCCGTTTATAAATGCTAGCTCCCAGCGCTTCCAGAGCTTTTTAGGGTGTGCACTCCAGTTTTCATGTGGAGAAACAGGGCTACTCTAGAGAAGTAACCCATCTGCAAAACCAGCTGTTTGCTTTTGCAAATTGGGGGAGAGATGAGGGCCTTTTGGTGGGTTGTCCTTTATCCAGCAGGGGGACTAGGCAAGTTAATCAACAATAACAATCTAGTTTTTGGTCAGGGCAGAAAGAGGAGGCATTGATGGTACATCTGAAGGTCAGAATCTCCTGGGGGGCCTCCCCTGCTCATCGAAGGGCCAGCACAGACACCTGGAAGGGCAGCACCTGCATCCCCTGCCTGGCAGGTGGTCCTGGGATGGCTCGGGGATTCTCACTGCAGGAAGATCTCTCCTTTAAGCCTCCCCCTGTGCCCTTGCCCATGAACTTGGTTGAACTCTCCTCTCCAGAGGAGCAGGAAGGCCAGCTCTGGCAGGGAGTCACAAGTCAACCTGTCCTTCCCTCTCACTTTCCTTGGTGCCCCCAAACTCAGTTTACTGAACCCCCCTAGAATAATCAAGCTCACATCTCTGCTGGGTATGATGCTCACAAAAGGGTGTTAGTCAAGGCACACGTCAAGATGGGCTTTGGACTGGACTGGATCCTGTGTTTGGTGTTTGGTCCTGGGCATCCTGGGAGGGGTCGGGGCACGGGGTAAGGGGTTTCCCCCGTGGCGGGGGGTGGGATGTCTGTCCATTCACAATCGAGCATTCGCGGGGCCCCCCCTCTACGCTGCTCAGCGCTTCTGGCTCTAACCTGCCTCCTGGCCCCCTCACGCCTGTCCTCACTCACCGTAACGCTTTTCTGGATACGTCTTGGCTGATGCTCTTCCCCCAGGTTCTCACTCTTGCCTGTGGACTCCTACCCCGCCCAGAGCCCAGCTCCTGCCGGAGACATAACCCCTCAGGCAGCTTTTTCAAAATGGATGCATTTTTGGCCATTCCTAAGTCCTGCTTGTATATTGATTGGCTTTAATATTTTTATTTGAAGCAAACCCACTCTTTTACAAAAAACTCATTTTTGATTTAAACTTGACCACCACACCATGAGGTGGCCAGTGTCACAGGTGCTGTCCATGAACACGGTGGCGGGAACATGTCAGCAGCGGCTCCAGGACTGAGGTCCTTCCGTCTCTTAGGAAAGGGTCTGGCCTTGGGGGCAGAAACCCCTTTAAGTGTCAGGCGTCAAGGCCATCAGCACCACACCAATACCTGGGGACTCGGAGGGAATTAAAGGGTCACTTTCCTTTGGGGGTAAATGAACGTCCTGTAGTGTTTCGGCCACCAGAAAGCCTCTGGTCCTGAGGCGCATGCCTGGGAAGGTGCCCGGGCCAGAGGCTTCGTCTTCATCTCTGGGTTGGCCTTGGCTGGGTCTTTCTCAAAGTGTCTCGCCAACCCTGTTGGTAAAAACAAGACCCTTATAGTGATTCTGTTCAGTTGCTGCCTGTTCACTCGGTGGTGGGCAACGTGAAGGCAGGGGTTGGGGCTGCTTGGCCTCGTTCCCCCCAAGGCCTGGGTGTGTGTATCGGTGTGAGCAGGTGTCTCTGGGGGTGGGGTGCCAGCGGGTAGACGGCGAGGAAATGCTCGTCCATGGGGCGCACTGGCTGCACCGAATTGGTTCAGCATCCCCAGGGTGGTTCACCCCGACCTGGGTGTCCTAGACTCGTCTGGCAGGTGACCCTGAGTTAAATCCTATCTTTGTTTTTTTTCACGCATCGGCTTTAGTTGTAGGTAAAACGCCACCGTCCACTACGGCGGGCAGCCAGTCTCCCCCTGAAACGCCAGTCCTCACCCGCTCTTCCTCCCAAACGCCCACGGCTGGTGTCACGGCCACTACCAGCACCACGTCCACGGTCACGGCCCCGGCCGCCGCCGCCACGGGGAGCCCGGTGAAAAAGCAGAGGCCGCTCTTACCGAAGGAGACTGCCCCGGCCGTGCAGCGGGTCGTGTGGAACTCATCAAGTAAGTTTCAAACGTCTTCTCAAAAGTGGCACATGCAGAAGATGCAGCGGCAGCAGCAGCAGCAGCAGCAGCAAAGCCAGCAGCAGCAGCCTCAGTCTACCCAGGGGACGAGATATCAGACCAGACAGGCTGTGAAAGGTACCGAGCCTCCCCTTCTGTTCTCTGTGGCGCCCGCTCCCTTTTTGCCACATCGACAGGAGAAAACCATCGTTTTACTTTTTCAGTTGGTTTCCTGGCCGCTGTGTCCTGAAGCCTCCCATATTCCATTTGGCATTATTTTTAAATCTTGTTTTGTCACTTGAGTTTTTTACTTTTATTTTTCCCCCCATTTTCTAAACAATACACGCGAATGTTCTCCTTAGAAGGGGGGCAGGTTATTTACACAAAAGTCTGTTTTGTGCTGATTGTCATGTTCCTTCCTTTCTCAAAGGCCAGAGTTAACCATTGAAGCCTTTTTAATGCATGTATGCCCATATATATTTATACATGACTCCATAAAAATACCACTTTTTTCCTATTTTCTTTTTTAATACATAAAAATGGTACCATACTTGCTTTTTTTTCACCCATCAGCATGTTTTGGAGGTCTGTCATGTCAGTACGTATAGTTCTACCTTATCATTTTGGACTGCTGCATAGTATTCCACAGCTTAATGCATTCCCCTACCGATGGGTATTTAGGTTGCTTCCAGTTTTTCCCCATGATAAGCAGTGCTGCAAATGAATACCTTGTGCACATGTGTGAACCCCTCTCGGCATGATTTTGACTCAAGTATAGTGTGGGAAGCTGGTAGCAAAGATTTCCTTAGTAGTGAGGGATTAGCCACCTACGAAAGAAGAGCCGGCGTCAAGAACCAGTTGCTGGAGTTGTGGAATCAAGACTGCAGGAGGCTCCGCCTGGAGCTGGATGTGAGGTCGCACACAGTGCCTATCTGATGGGTACCAGTTCCCCGGCTCTGGTGAGCCCTGATATAGATCTTCTTCCTGGGGGACCCTGCAGCTAGATCCTTGAAGGATGGGCTCCTTGGCTGAAATGCACATGCAGTGAGCACACCCTAGTGAGTAGAGCTCTTAGGAGCAGGGCAGGATGCGAGGGGGCAGGTGGCCAGATCTTGATTTGGCCCCCATTGAAACCTTTCCAAGGTTGGGTGGGGAGAGGCGGGAAGACAGAAGACTGACAGGCAAAGTTGGAGTAAGCTGGATCCAGGGTCGATCTTGCCTTTAAACAGTTGGTGGGCAGAACTGAGTCTAGGATTTTTTTTTTTTTTAAGATTTATTTATTTATGCATACAAGAACTGGGGTATAGGACAGAGGCGTGGGAGGGTGAGAGGATTCACCAGAGACAGAGCAGGAGCAGAACAGGCAGACAGACCGAAAGCACTGCTGAGGGGAGCAGCAGGCAAGACAGGAGAGGTCTGCTCGCCATGTGGGTAGCTCCCTGGCTAGGGATCGAACTCATGCTGCAGTGGCTGCAGATAGTTTCATAGGGCTGTGTCTTAACCCGTTGCGCCACCAGGGAGGCCCAGAGTCTAGGATTTTGAGGTTGGGATTCCCAGTCAGTCTTCTGTCTTCATACCACCTAAGGCTCATGAGTCTCCCCTAGCACTGGCAAGAGGAGGTTCATTGATGGTCTGGTTCACAATCTCCACATAGCCTTGTGTCCTAAATGATCAAAGCTGGGCCATCTGGTGGTCAGGGCAGAGTTTAAATCAGTAACACACTATTGCAACAGGGAAATTCTATCATGGACTGAAGTCAGCTCCAGTTTGTACAGAGGAGCCTGGGATTTTAAAGGGAGACTGGGGAGGTGAAGAGGAGGCTGTGTGTGGACTCAGCAGTCAGGAAAGTGAAGCAATAAAGTGGGAAGGGCTGGTCCTCGTGGAGCTGTCGGGATGTGCTGGCCTGGCGCCTGTTAGGGTCGGATTTCTCCTCCCACGGAGATGGGGGACCCTGTCTGTCTTCGGGTGTCTCTAGAATACAGTCACTTCTTGACAGCCTTGAGTGTTCTCAGGCCGGTACTTTAAAGATGGATAAGTGCCCCCCGCCTGCCCCTCCAGGGCTGCTGGCCTGAGCTGTTAAGACCATGTCAGTGCTTGTTCAAGTCTCCGCAGGCCATGGCAAAGGCCTCACTGGAAAGGGAGGAGCCTGCCCAGAGTTTGGTCAAAGGGAGACTCTTGGTCACGTGAAAGTAGAAAAGCAGGGCAGGTGTCGGGGCTTTACTCCCTCACACAGCTTCGTGTTGGGGTGGCCCCACCCGAGACAGTGGGGTAACCAGACCCTTTGCTCTCCTAGCTGTCCAGCAGAAGGAGATCACGCAGAGCCCGTCCACCTCCACCATCACCCTGGTGACCAGCACCCAGCCGTCGCCTCTGGTCACCAACTCGGGGTCCTCGAGCACCCTCGCCTCATCGGTCAGCGCAGACCTGCCCATCGCCACCGCCTCCGCCGACGTAGCCGCGGACATTGCCAAGTACACTAGCAAAGTGAGTGCCCACAGGCCCACAGGGAGTCTGAACCTCCTGGCAGGGACACTGGGGCCATGACCTGGCAGGCTTCAGGCGCAGTGAGGAGAGTAGACCCCATGTTCACTGGGAACTTCCTTGACCAAAAAAAAAATTTTTTTTTTTTAAAGATTTATTTATTTATTTATTTATAAAAGCACTGGGTACAGTCAGAAGCGTGGGAGGGTGAGAGAATTCACCAGAGCCAGAGTGGCTAACAGAACAGCCAGACTGATGAAGTACACTGCTGAGGGGAGAAGCGGGCACAGCAGGAGAGGTCTGCGCGCCATGTGGGACCCTCGCCGGCAGCCGGGGATCGAACCGGCGCTGCAGAGGCTGCGGGCAGCTTCGCAGCCCAATGCTCAACCACTGCGCCACCAGGGGAGGCCCCAAAAAATTTTTTTTTAATTTTATTTATTATTTATTTATTCATACAAGCACTGGGTATAGTCAGAAGCGTGGGAGGGTGAGAGAATTCACCAGAGCCAGAGCAGGGAGCAGAGCAGGCAGAAGGACCGAAGTACACTGCTGAGGGGAGCAGCAGGCGGCAGGAGAGGTCTGCGCGCCATGCGGGACCCTCCTCTGGTGGCCGGGGAGCAGCCGGGGATCGAACCGGCGCCGCAGAGGCTGTGGGCAGCTTCGCAACCCAGCGCTCAACCGCTGCGCCACCGGGGAGGCCCTTGACCAAAAAATTTTTTTAAAGATTTATTTATTTATGCATACAAGATCTGGGGTACAGGCCAGAGATCTGGGGGTGAGAGGATTCACCAGAGACAGAGTGGGGAACAGAACAGGCAGATTGACGGGGAGCAGCGGGCGAGTCAGGAGAGGTCTGCTGCGCCATGTGGGCAGCTCCCTGGCCGGGGATTGAACCCGCTCTGCAGTGGCTGTGGCTAGGTCCATAGGTTGCATCTTAACCCCTTGCGCCACCAGGGAGGACCCCCTCCACCAAAATTTTAAAGTTTGCCGTAAGTAGAGAGATGTGGACGGATCAAATTTGTCCTTCTTTCTTTAAGAGAGCTGAGTTCTGACGTCAGTTCATAACAGGAAGATGACCCAAAATCAGTCATAGTTCCCCTGCGGGACCCAGGTCTCAGGAAGGACCCTGTCTCCTTAAGTGCTGGAGCAAATGACTGTTCCTTCTGTTAACGACACGCCAAGGGTTTTTTGCATTTCGAAGACACACGGGACAGAAGTGACAGCCCATGTACCAGGCGTGCTGGTATGGGGCCTGCACTGAGATTGTTCCAGACCAGGGATGGGTAGTTCCTCCCCAGCTCACTCTCCTTCTAGGGCATGGTGGGCAGGGTCCCTTCATTCCTGGACACTCTAGCAGTGCAGACTTGCTCTGGGTATTTGTGGGGTGGGGGGTGGGGAATCGCCTCCTCCAGGGCCTCGGTTCCCAGCTGGCTGTTGGCAGAAGTCGCTCCTCCGCTCCTTGCCATGGTGGGGAGTGATGTCAAGGTCCATCTAGTGTGTTCTACAGCAGCGTTCCAATTTGCAAGGCTGTGTTCCTGGTGGGTGTCTCCATCCCACACTTGTGGACGTAGCCGTTTTCACTGCAGTGAGGAAAGTGAACACGGTGACGTATTTCTGAGCTAATGAACTTTCCTGTCTCTGAGGTGACTGGAGCTGAAGCCCCAGATTCGTGTGTTTTGGCAGGAGGGCGTGCTTCACGCACAAGCTGTTCTCGGCTGTATTTGGAAGAGCCAAAGTCGGTTCACAGAATCATGATTTCTTTCAAATGGAATGTGTAGCCATTGCATTCCTAGTATATTGCATTTCGCCCACTTTCTGAAGTTTTCTTGCAAAGCAGTTTAGTATTTGAATATTTTCAGTCGAGGGGGTCGGCGAGTTGGCTCTGGAGGCCTGTCCGGGGTTCAGAGGGTCAGGCTGTGTGGGGCACCAAGTGTCTGCTGGCAGTGGAAGTCTTTACCTTTTCCTCTCTATTTTGGGATGAATTTGGGGTCACTGTTGGTGAAAATGAGTGGGCATCTTCTTGAGAACACCTCACGCTGTGGCAGGCACGGCAGGCCCACACCGTGCGCTTAGCCCTTGTGCACACCCCCATGGGGCACAGGCCCAGTCCTTGTGTTCTGCACGGGGAGACCGAGGCTCAGAGGGGAGTGAATGGGGGACAAGCCTCCCGCATCCAGAGGAGGCAGCTCTGGGTCCTGCCTTTTTACCGAATTGCAGCAACTACAGAACTCAGGGGAGACTCAGCAGCAGCCAGGCCCGGCCTGAAGGCCTAGTTTGGTCTCCTGCCCTCTCTGCTTTATCCTGAGAGGGCTCAGGGAGGTAGAAGGGAAACTGATCTTGCAAAGGTTCCCACTTCCCAGTGATGCCCCATTGCACGATGCCTCCAGGGGTCAGCTAGCTAAAGAAAAAGATGGGAAATGAGTGGGACAGGCCATGATGCCCTGACCAGGACCTTTCCCAGTGGCCTTGTGCGTGTGCGGACTGTGAGAGTCGACCTCAGAAGGAACGAGGCTCTGAGCAGCCGTGGCCCTCGAGGCCCGGGCAGCCTTCCGCCCAGGCAGAGGCTGGCATGAGGACCATGTCTGTGTTTCATCTCCAGGTGAAGCCGGACCACAGAGATAGAGCAGAGTCACTTGGCAGGGGCTGGGGGGTGGGGTGGTCATGGGAACTGCAGGGGTGAAGGCCGAGGAGCAGTGGGGTTTCTTTTTCCAGGTAATAGAAAGTCCTGAATTTGATCGTGCAGGGGATTGGCAACTCAAGTAGACTTAAAAGCCATTGAGTTGTTGGGAGTCAATGGGTGAACCCCATGGTGAATGAGTGACACCCCAACCAGACATTTTTTAGAGAGGAAAGAATATAAAACAATGGCAACAGAATGGTTCTTCCCTCGACTCCACAAAGCTGGCCAGATCAAATTCCAGTACAGCCTGGGGCTAGAGAAACCAACTGCTACTGTGAATGCCTTCCCCAAGCTCAGCTGGGGGACGGGGTGATTCCTGCCCTGGTTTATACCCAAGTTTCTCAGCTTTGCGTGAGTAACACTTTAGTCTGGAGAATTGTCTCTTCGCGGGGCGGGGAGGGTTCTGCTGGGCCATGGGATGTTTCATGCCTTCCTGGCCTCCGCCTGCTGGATACCAGCAGCACCCCCCCCCCCCCCCATCATGACAACCCAAGTGTCTAAGGTGCAGAACTGCCTCCCCTTGGAGAACTGTGGCTTCACACAGGTAGAATTTAGATGTATGTCTTCAAGAAAAAACTCCGGGGAACTGATCCCAGCGTTGTTTCTGTTTTCTCTTTCAGATGATGGATGCAATAAAAGGAACGATGACAGAGATATATAACGATCTTTCCAAAAACACTACCGGAAGCACAATAGCCGAGGTCAGAGATGATGCTGAATTCTTGCTTTGCTCAGAACATCTTACAGACTGTGATGAGACGGGCTTCTCTGGACATCCCTCTGGGATTCTGCTCTGCAGACGGTGGTCACTGGCGAGGGTGTTCCTTCCTTTAGTGAGAAGGCCGGTGCTGTGCAGACATGCTCTCTGCTTTGTGATCAGCCCGATCCCGAGATCGCCCTCTGGAAGGCAGTTCTTTCCGCTCTGTGTAAAACTGGCTCCTTGATCTTCTCCATACATTTGGACTTGCTTATGTCGCTGATCCTTGCCCAAGAATTGTATATCGCGTCTCCACAATTATGGCGATTCCTAGGGAGTAGAGTGGTTATAACATTAAAATGTCCACTTAGGAAGTGACCCCTTATAAAAATAGTCCCTGGATTTCCCTTCTAGTCTGCTTCGCTGCAAGCCTGGCAAATGAGGGAACAAGGGACAAGTGGCAGGGTGTGTTGAGGTCATTGAAAGGGAAGCTGGAGACACTGAGAAACCCATGCAAAGCCATGGACCTCGGACGACCAGGTGGGGTTAGATGGTCCTCAGCTGCAGAAGAGCGTCTCCAAGATGGTGCCCTGATGGGCCTTCACCTGGGAGCAGTGTGTGTGGGAAGGGCTGGAAGACCCCCGGGAGAAATCACTGAATCTTCTTGGATGATTTTGCAAATATGACCATCTGGAGGATTCTGCTGGAATGTCACACAGAAAGGGCAAACGTTACTTTAGAAATACACCCTCCCGCTACCTTCCTTCCTTTCTTGTTAATTTAAGAAATTGGCCTGTAGTTGAAAGGATGGATCCAGGACTTCTCACTTGATACCTTGGGTCCAGATGTGTGCTGGGATTTTTCAGATTTTCAAGAGCTAATTTGCAGGCCCCCTCCCACAATTACATACAACATGTCTGCAGTGAAACATACTGTTCACACTGCAAGGGGTGAACATGCTGCCAGGTGGTCCTCTGTGGAGTGTGTCCTGTCCAGTGTAGGGTGTTCAGCAGCATCCCTGACCTCCACCCACCAGATGCCAGTAGCAAGCCCTCCCCACACCCTGCTTGTGACCACCCAAAATACCTCCTGAAATTGCACTGTGATCGGGAGGAGGAGGAAGAGGAGGCAAATCCTCTGAGCTGAGAACCACAGATATTCCTGGACCATATAAACTGTCTCATCAGTTCAGTTTGAGTTTATTTCCCCCCCTCCAAATGTATGTGGCCGAAAACTTAACCCTCTTCTTAAAATATCCTTTGGTTTTCAGAGGTGTCAGGCTTTGGAATTTTAGGTGAATGACTATGGGCTCTACCTAAGATGTTAAATAAGCAGTGAAATAGAACTATTTTAGTGTAATTTTGATAGCGGAGGCCCACTCGAACCTCCATGTATTGTTTACTGTGGAAATCACCTTGTTGTCACTAAGTGGCTCTTCCTAGGGCCAGTGTTTGGGAACGGCAGACAGCTTGTATTTGGTTTTCAGAAACAATTTCTGTGAAGTTCACCCCTCAGCCCTGTGCCCTCTTCTTGGACTGTCCTGGGGCTCAGCACAGCCCCAGCCGCCCGCGCCTCCACTTAGCGTGATGACGTTGGCCCCGAGCCCGCGAGAGTGGAGAGCGCGGCTGCCGTGACCGCCCGACATGCCACCGAAGCCCTCTTCTCCCTCCTTACAGATCCGCAGGCTGAGGATCGAGATTGAGAAGCTTCAGTGGCTGCACCAGCAAGAGCTCTCGGAAATGAAACACAACTTGGGTAAGGCCTGGAGAATGGGTCAGGACTGGGGAAGGCTTGGGGTTGAACCTCTTGCCCCTCTGGAGTCCAGAGTGAACTGGGTCAAAGGAGGGAGGGAGGGGGTCGGCCCACTCCAGGGAGACAACAGAATCTGCGGAAACCAAGGATAAAAGCATTTGGTGTTGGGCGGGACTGCCCGTTGTTCATCTAAAACATCAATGCCAGCAACAAAACGACGACAGTAGTAGCAGCTCCTGCTTACTGACCTGACTGGATTCTTGTAGCATAAAGGGCTTTGTTACCCCAGACACTGGCGTGTTAAGCTGTCCCTGGTCACACAGTCCATGCTGGGCTGGGCACTCTGGCTGCAGGCTTTGCCTCTTAGTCTTTGTGTGCTGGGCATTTTAACAAATTCTTGAGTTGCTCCACTAAGTCGGGAAGGCCTTTTTGTGGGTCCCTGCATCAGATGGACTGTTGTGGCCGCCCACTCTGTGTAGACGTGGCTAAGGCCCCTCCCCAAAAGCTATGGAGATGCTTTCAGGTCCCCTCTCAGCCTCGGAGTGAGGATGCTGGAAACCTCACCTCTTTCATCGGGGAGGCACGCACAGGTGTGCCCCTGCTCACAGGTGAGACCTGTTTAACTCGCACGTGGCGTACGCAAAGCCTTGTTCTGAGCAGGAGAGCCGGCCGCTCCTTAGCTTGTTCTGTGCAGGAAGTTGATGGGGGTGGGGGTGGGGAGGTTTGTTGCTGCTTGCTTTTCTAGTAAGCTAAGGAATCTTTATGCAGAAAATCTCATTTTTAAAGAATTGGACGAACATTTGTAAAAAACACATGTTGACTGTCCAGAGCTGTGGGGTCGGCGGGTGCTTAGAGGCTCTTGTAAGTGATGGAGCGGCTCTGGCTGGAATGTTTTTGCCTTTGTTGTTGAGGGGTTTTCTTTCCTGTTCCCCCCACCATGCCCCCTTTCTCTTGGTGGGAGAAGGAGAGTGCCGCATAATTCTGGGAGATGGATTTTTTTTTAAAGATTTATTTATTTATACATGCACTGGGTACAGTTGGAAGCGCGGGAGGGTGAGAGAATTCACCAGAGCCAGAGTGGGGAGCAGAGCAGGCAGAAGGACCAAGTACACTGCTGAGGGGAGCAGCGGGCGGCAGGAGAGGTCTGCGCACCATGTGGAACCCTCGCCGGTGGCTGGGGATTGAACCGGCGCTGCAGAGGCTGCGGACAGCTTCGCAGCCCAGCGCTCAACCACTGCGCCACCAGGGGAGGCCCTACTGTATTTTTTTATTTTATTTTATTTTTTAAATATTTATTTATTTATACAAGCACTGGGTACAGTCAGAAGCACGGGAGGGTGAGAGAATTCACCAGAGCCAGATCGGGGAACACAATAGGCAGACCGATGAAATACACTGCTGAGGGGAGCAGCGGGCGCTGCTTTGAGAGGTCTGTCGCGCCATGCGGGACCCTCGCCAGTGGCCGGGGATCGAACCGGTGCTGCAGAGGCTGCGGGCAGCATTGCAGCCCAACGCTCCACCGCTGTGCCACCAGCGGAGCCCCTCTAGGAGATGGATTTTAAAGAATGAGCAACCATTTGTTTTTCTTTTATCTTAGTGTGCAGGCCGTGCCTGGGTACGCAGCCCATGGACTTACTGTTGAAAATAAAATTAGAGAAATCTCAGTAAACTGAGCAATTGGGAGTTTTCCTTATAGGGCTTTGATCAGCCATGGAACCCTACCTGGGAGATCCAGTCCCTCGCTCTTATTAGCTGGGTCTCAGTTTCTTCACCTGTGAAAGGGCTGCAAATAGCGCCTACCTCATTGGATGAAGGTTAAATAAGTTAATATTTATAAAGTGCCTAGAAAAATCGCCTGCATGTAGCAGGTATTTAGTTGATAAGATAAAAGGGCTTAAACTAATGATCCATTGCAAGGTGAATTTGATGCTGGTTGGTTTGAGGGTTTCCCACAGAATCACCCCACTGGGGTCACACAGACGGGCATCTCCAGGCAGGATTTGCACCTGTGGATTTGCACCTTTTGGGCCTGTAGGCTAAGCCCACACCCTGGGCGGGGCCGGGTGATGGAGCTGGATTCTGAATCTCCCTTCTAGAACTGACCATGGCTGAGATGCGGCAGAGCCTGGAGCAGGAGCGGGACCGGCTCATCGCAGAGGTGAAGAAGCAGCTGGAGTTGGAGAAGCAGCAGGCGGTGGATGAAACAAAGAAGAAGCAGTGGTGCGCCAACTGCAAGAAGGAGGCCATCTTCTACTGCTGTTGGAACACCAGCTACTGTGACTACCCCTGCCAGCAGGCCCACTGGCCGGAGCACATGAAGTCCTGCACCCAGTCAGGTATTGCCTTGACTGCTGGGTGTCGGACCCTGCTGGCCCTTGGGTGCCTTTTGCAGCTCTCAGCACTCTCACGCTCAGTCAGCTGTGTCTCCCACAGCAGAGAGCAGCTTGCAGACCCCTCCCTGGGATATGGGGCTTAGGTCTGGAACTTCTGGGCTCTTTGGTCTTGTTTCCGTTATGGGGCCATGACAATGAGTGGGAGAGCTTGGGAGTCCCGTTCACCCTGACACTGGCAGTGGTGCTTGTAAAGGAGAGGCTGCTGCTGGCATCTAGTGGGTAGAGGCCAGGGATGCTGCTGAGCTCCCTTAAATGTGCCCGCCTTGCTCCCCCCACCCCCAATGGAAAGTATTTGGCCCCAAACAGTAGTTTGGAGAACTACGTATATAAGAAATGGGGTACAGGCCAGAGGTGTGGGGGGTGAGAGGACTCACCGAAGACAGAGCAGGGAAGAGAACAGGCAGATCGACTGAAATACACTGGCTGAGGGGAGCAGCGGGTGAGTCAGGAGAGGTCTGCTGCGCCATGTGGGTAGCTCCCTAGCTAGCCGGGGGTCGAACTCGTGCTGCAGAGGCTGCGGATTGCTTTATAGGTTACATCTTAATCCCTTGCGCTACCAGGGAGGCCCCGAGAAGCCCTGCTTTTAAGGTAACACAGGACTCTCAGCTTGGAATAAGAAGGATTCCCATTTGTTCTGTGGAAGAACTTGAATCTAACATGGGGCAGTCTGGCGTCAGGGCGTCCGAGCAGATACACTGTTGAGCTAAGAATTCATCTTTTAAGTGTGATTTCTATAGTAAGCTTTTATTTTATAGCCTAAAATTTGGATCAAACTATTAAAAATTTTATTATTGCACAAAGTCTAGATTTCTGCCTCTGGCCCAGGGCCACAGGTCCCAAAGCCTCACAGTTGCTTACACGTGGTCTCTCCCCTGTGCCCGCAGCTACCGCTCCTCAGCAGGAAGCAGACGCCGAGGTGAACACAGAAACACTAAACAAGTCGGCTCAGGGGGGCTCCTCCAGCACACAGGCAGCCCCTCCAGAAACAGCCAGCGCCTCGAAAGAGAAGGAGACGCCAGCTGAGAAGAGCAAGGACAGTGGCTCGGTGAGTAGCCCACACCCTTGACCAGGGACACTGACCCTTTGCTCCTCAAGACCTGGCTCTGTCCACCACCCCAATAGTCCCTTGCTGTGGGGGTGCCGGCCTTGAGATGGTGGCCAGCCAGCGGGGCCGGGAAGAGCGCGGAGGCTGACATGTGACTTGGCAGCCCCCGGCGGCTTGCAGAGATCAGGGCAGCGCTGTCTTGCCGACCCCCGTCTGCTCTGCCCGGTGATTTAAACACAAGCGGTCCCGGGACTCGTGGCCGCATCCTTGAACAGCGGGAGGGTCCCCTTCTAGTTCCCGGGGTGTGTAGGTGGACGTGGGTGACGTGCAGATGTCATGGGTGGTGATTTCTTAGATTTTCAGTTATTATTTACTGTGATGTGGATGAGGAGAAAAATGTCCTTGTCACATCAGTAAAAATCCTTTGCTTTTATTGATTTTCTTGCCTTGCAAGGTGATGTGAAATATAAGTGAATATTATTTTGAAGTAATATACTTCTTTTTTGGATGAGGTAAAATTTTGGAGGGTGGGTAGGCCAGTAAATTGAGGAAATTGAGTGTTCCAGAGGCCCCAGCGCCATCTCCCTGGTGGGAGAATAGTGCACTGGTAGGGGCCACCGGCTGCCCTAGTCTCCCCAGGTGAAGTGCACCCCCCCCCCTTTCACCCCTCAGGCATCCCCCGGCTTCCCTGGGGGTTACACTGACCCCAGTACCTTGAGTCCTTCTCTTTTCATATTTCTAGACCCTCGACCTCTCGGGTTCCAGGGAGACGCCCTCCTCCATTCTCTTAGGCTCCAACCAAGGCTCGGGTATGTTGCCCCTGATGGCTGGTGGGCACTGTCACCCTCCCCGCGGGCAGAGGGGGACGTTTCTCAGGCAGACGTGGAAGCGTTCAGGGCAGCGGTTTTCAAACTGCTGTGGCACCTTAGGGATCCTTGCAAGGGTGCTGGGCGGGTTGGCGAGGGAGAGGCAGGCACTGACTGACCAGTCTGCCTGGATGTGTTTTATTTATCGGGTGGGTTGCTAAGAAGCCTGTTTTTCCAAGTTGCCTATAGATCAGTTAGGGAACAACAAGAATGTAAGTAGACGAATTGCCAAATTCTGGTGCCAAGGTCACAGTGCCAGGGGTGCTGGTTAGTCATGTCCTAAGGATGCCCCGTCCCAGGAACGCCTAAGAAATGCCTTCCAGTCTTAGTGCCTTTCTCACTCATCTGCCCTCTGAGCATGCCACCTGTTGTCCAACCCGCTGTTCTGGTTAAATTCTGAGAAAGTAAGTTCTGCTTTTGGACTCTACAAACCCACACATGTAGGGAGGTGTGTGGCCAAGTCTTTTCGCCACGGTGGGAGGGGAAGGTGGCCGCCCCATGTGGGCAGCTGGAGGGGCAGGCCAAGCCCTGCCCGGCGGCGGGGGCAGGCGCGCTGACCTGCACGCTGACCGCCTCTCCCGCGGGCTTCCCTCCGCAGACCACTCCCGGAGCAGCAAGTCCAGCTGCTGGAGCGGCAGCGAGGAGAAGCGCGGGTCGGCTCGCTCGGAGCACAACGCCAGCACCAGCGCGAAGAGTCTCCTCCCCAAAGAGTCTCGGCTGGACACTTTCTGGGACTAGGGACACGCTGCGGCCCGAGCCACCCACCTCCTGGAGGAAAAGTAAAATCAGGACCCCGGGAACACAGGAGACAGCAAACAGAGACCAGAGAACCTCCACCTTCAGACTTGAAGATTCCAGACCTTCCGACCCGGCCCTGGCGCCGGCTCCGAGGGACCCTACACTACACAGCGTCCAGCATTAGCGCCCACCGAGGACTGCTCGGCCCCCACGAAGCCTGTGCTTTAGGTGTAAATAATGTACAATTTGTGGATGTCACTGAACCAAGAGTCCCTTCCCCTTTTTATATTTGTATCGACTTTAACTTATAAAAAAGAAAAACAATTTAAAAAAACACCCCCAACAACAAAAAGAATGTTTTGGTGTTGGGGGGACAGTGGTCGGTCAGTCCGTCTGTCACCTGGGCCCGGGGTGCCCCGGGGACAGTGAGCTGTTTCCGTTTTCGGGGTGCACGCAGGGCACGCGGACCCCTCACACAAGCCATCAGCCCCTTCTAAGTACATCACTAGGCTATCGGAGGCAAGTCTCTGCACCCCAAGGACACACGGAGCAGCCAGTTGATTCTGGTGATTTCCACAGCAGCTCTCCACCTCCAGGGGTAAAGGAAACGCTGGCCTTGTTTACAGGAGACAGACGGACACCGGCCCCGCTCAGCTCCGCGGCAGAAGAGAACCTGGAAAATGCCCGCGTCGTAAGCTCAGAAACAAAGAGGACTCTTGGCTTCGCTTTGTGGTTCCTTTGGACACACTCACACGCGCTTGGTTGAGGCCTCGCAGCGCCGGCCGGGGGCATCCGGGCAGGACGCATGTGCAGGACCGAGCCGGCCCGGAGGAAGCATGTACGTATTATTTATAGGATGGGATTTTGCGTTTTTATGTAAGCATGAAACAAAGGCAGTGTGAGAGGAAGCAGGCCGCCCGCCGCGCTGTACACTACGTATGCTGTGCACCATTTTGTATGTTGTGTAAAACAAAAAGCATTGAACAAAGCAAAAGGTGATGTATGTATATGAGAAAATTAATTGTACGATATCATTCCAGTACATTTTGTTGTACATTTTAGTCTTGTTTACTTTCTCTTCATTGTTGATAAGAGGATGCGAACTGTACAGTTTCCAGCTAGTTAACCCATATTAGAGAAGAAATTAAGACAGAGTATTAGAAGGACACGGGAGAGGAAAGAGCGTTTGTGAATTGCAGTTGTCAAAAAAAAAAACCAATAGCCTAGCTGGCCTTATTTGTGAAGCATAATTGCTTTTAGCATATGGAAGTATTTTTTCACATTTTCTTTGTATGAAATTTGTATTAAACTTAAATATCTTTTTTGATGATGGTGTTTCTTTGTGACTGAGCCAGTGGACTCACACGGTATATGCTCTTTTGGGTTCCCCCTTCCCCCCCCAGTTTTTTCAGATTCTTCACCTTTTTTTAATTAAACTGTTTTGGAAAAATGGCTTGGTCGTCCTCGGATGTGCGCTTTTCCGTGGTCGGGATGGCTGGGGCAGGTGGGCGCTGCCCAGCGCAGGAGAGGGCCTGGGGCGGCCGAGCACAGCTGCAGGGTCGTGGCCGCTGAGCCAGAAGGGCCCAGGACGCTGCCCAGAGACCTCCAGCTCCTTGAGTTTGCTGATGTGCCCTGGAAGGGCCCCCCCGCCTGGGAACAACAGTGGGGAGCGGTGGGGCCGGGGTGGAGGCCGGGCCGAAGGGAGTGCCAGGCACATGCCGCTCATTTCATTTTCATGTGACACATGCTCAGCCACTCAGATGTCCACAAGACAGCTCAGGGATGGGCAAAATGCCGGCCATCCGGGGCTGGGGAGGGATGGTGTGGGCGGGCTTAGCCGGACCAAGGGGTGAAGCAGTTGCTATGGCCTGGGACCACGCCAGCCTCTGGGGAGGGGGTGTTTGGCTGAGACCCGAGGGAAGAGCAGGCCGGGCAGGGTGGACGAGCCTCCGAGACACGGGCCAGTGGGTGCCCTGGGGTCAGTGTGAGGCCTCGGTCCTTGGTAGGTGCAGTGGGGCAAGCCCCTGGGTGTTTTGTGTTCAGCTGATTGTCCCTTGGGCCTTGGGCGGGAGCCAAGTCAGAAAGCGCTGTTGGGCACTCTGACGTGACCCCCCGGGTGCTGTAGAAACAGGCGGGCTCTCCTCACGGCTGACCCCCTCGGATGGTGATGTGGCCCTGCGTGGTGGGTCGGGGTGGGCACCCAGGCGGCTGCTGGGCCGCCAGGCCCCAAGGGCTCCCTGGCACGGGTACCCCCACCCTTTCCGGCCTCCCATAGGAGAAGACGGCCGAGGAAGAAGGGGCTTACTCGCTGGTCAAGAACTGGTTCCTGCTTAAAAAAAAGGTGACTTAGCTGCTCTATTTACGTGACTAGTCATCTGTGACTAGTAATCTGTCGAGCCCCCTCCCCAGCTGGGGAAGTAGGGAGCCCCTACTTGGGACTCAGAGAGAGCCCACCTTTACAGACATGCAGAGGAAGTCCTTGCCCCCCCCCTTTAGGCCCCAGTGGCAACAGGTGACACCCCTCTTCCCACCCCTTTTTACTCGCTCCAGGCTGGCTTTGTCCCTCCTGTGGGCCAGTGTCCCTCGACGGTGGACATTAGATGGCCTCCGGATGCTGGTCACGGCAGGCAGACCTCCAGGCCGCTCAAGAACCAGGACGGCGGTGGCCCACGTCATCCCGGTGCCGGTCGGTGGCCAAAGAGGGACTTGCAGTTTCCAGACGGGGCTTTAGTGTGGGCTGAGTGTCTCAGATGCCCTCGACTGAATCAGTGAATGAGGAAGAGCGGGGGGGGAGGGGGGGGCACATGGCTGTGCTGGGCCCCTGCACCTTTCGCTTGGCATGGCAGGTCATGGGCCGGGCGGGCTGGCCCAGCCAGTGTGGACGGTCTAGGGGCGACCAGGAATGCAGCCGAGCACGCTCGCCACCTGCTGGTTCCCAGAAGAACTGCGTGCCCCAGAGGGCGCCTCCAGCGGGGAGGTGGACAAAGCTGTCCATCGCCTCCAGCTGCTTCCTGAGCGCTGAGCCAAGCACGAGACACAGCTGAGAGCGGAACAGGTGTGGCCTCTGTCCTCCTCCAGCTGACATCCGCATTGGGAAGCAGCCAACTGTGCATAAAAATGCAGTGTGATCCTAAGCAGACGGGTGAATAAGCAGGTAGGGAGGGTTGGTCCGCAGAGGCCGTGTTTGGGGGCAGCACCAAGGAGCTGGTCGGTGAGCAGGAACCTGGAGGAGGCGGGGCTCAGCAGAGTCTAGCAATTTGTGATGCTGACCGAACATTAGAAGCACCTGAAAAGATTTTAAACAAACCAATAAATGCCCAACATCATCCCTGCTTACCTGAATAATGACACCTGCCTCTCTGAGGTGGGTCTTGGGTACTCAGGTGAGAATAGTGGGTTGCCAGTTTTGAGAGCCACAAAGCTGCTTGGAAGACGATCCCAGGTAGAAGAAAGAACAAATGTAAAAGATCCGAGGTGGGGCCCTTGGCAGCTTTCGGGAAGAGAAGACTGGCCAGTGAGGCCAGAGTGGAGGCATTCAGGGTGGGGTGGGATGGATGAGGTCAGCGAGGGAGAGAGGTCGAGGTCAAGGTCAAGGTGGGAGACAGGCTCGGAGGTTAAATGAATTTAGAGGAGGGGTCAGGATCCAGTCTAGGTAGTTTAAGCGGGCAAGGGATTTATTAAAGGACATTAAGTGGACCCTAGTGCTCTGGGGAAAGTGAGAGAGGCCGGCCAGGAGACTACAGCCACGAGCAGTGTCCAGATCACCTTGCAGGACCTCTGCGCCTCTGCTACTGGGCCCAGACACTGCGCTCTCTTTAGTGACCCTGGGCATGTCCCTTCCGCTGCCTTGCTGGACTGGATCCCACACATCAGAATCCACTTCCCAAGCTCTCGCGTGTGGTGAATCTGGATTGGCTACGTCTAGGTGCTATGGAGGTGTATCTAGTTGACTGAGTCTAAGTACCATTTCGGTGTGTTTGATTGACTGAACCCAGTTTCCCTCTGGGCCTCTGATTGGCTGAGCCTGGCCTCTATCTGGGTCTGTCTGATGGCCTGAGCCTGGGCTCTAGCTGGGTCTGACTGGTTGCCTCTTGGTCAGAAGCTTACACGCTACCTACAAGGGAGGCCTGGGGAGTGAGACTTGCTGCTTCTGGTGCAGACTCCTAAGGTGGGAAACAGTCCACACAGAAGACTTCCTGTTGACAACAGCACCGGCAGCAGCCACTGCGGGGCTCTCTGGTCAGTCACCGGCCGCCAAGAGTAGAGGGACTTGGGTAGAGTCATTCGGCCAGTGGAAGCAGGACGGTTTCATAAGCCAACAGGTCTGAAGTCTGGACTGTGTCCACTTGGCTAGGCAGGAACTACGTTTCCCAGAAGCCTTCCCCTTGAACGGGTCAGAGTGTGTTAGAATTGACCTGTGTGCGATGAAGGCGGAAGGGAAGCCACGGCCTCCACTCTTGCAAGCTTGCTATGGCAAGACGTGGCAGACAGCCCCGGTCCGCAGTGGGCTCCTGCTTGTGCTTGCTGCCCCCGGGTGTTCCTCCCCACTCCTGGCCTGGCACCGGGCCCACCGTGCACACGTGGCTGCAGAGGCGATGCTCCTGTCCCTCTACCAGAGCCCCCTGCAGACTCACTTTGGTGGCTGTTGTGCCTCATGGAGCCTCAAGGTTCTTGGTCGGTGACCCCAGGTGCCCTTTTCAGACCTCACTTCCCTTCTCCCACCCCTGTATAACTCAATTATCCCACACTCCTGGGGTAAGAGCTGGCTGCTCCCCTCATTGAATCTGACAGACCCAGGAGCAGTACTGAAAGGACCACGAGGGGAGCATGGCAGGTGGCACTGTGGCTGGACACCAGCTGCAGGATCCGGAAGCATCGCTGCTGACCGAGGAGACGCGCCAGCGTTGCTGTGTCTCACCAGCAGGCTGGAGGCCCGTGTCCATCAGCTCCTCCCAGGCCACTGGTGAATGCAGCTGAAGGGTTCCTCGGTGCTGCAGCCCCTTGACTGCAAGGGAGTCTGGGGAATTGAGTTTCCAGCTTTCCACTCTCTTCGGTCCAGGAGGTGCCACAAAGTGAGGATGGATGGTTGGGCCTTGAACAGGGCAGAGATGTGGCAGGGGGTGAGAACCTTGGCTTTGCCATCTGGCTCAGGGCTCTACCTGCTCAGGACTCTTTTCGGGGAGTAATGCATGTCAACGGCCCCTGGATCAGTGGGCACTGGACAGCTTGTTATGACATTTAAGTACCGACCTTGGTTCACCTTGGTGAACTGAAGAAGGGAATAGCATTTACACAGCAGCTTCTGCATTCCAGGCAATTCACCACATTGTACCCTAATAATCTGCATATGGTTACTGAGGACATGAGGCCTAGAGAGATTGAGGAAGCTGCCTGAGGTCACACAGCTAGTCAGTAGCAAAAGGTGAACTTGAACCCAGTCTAATGACACCAAAAAAAAGTCCTGCTTTCAACCCTTAATGTATTTTTGTCATCACCAGAGAAGCTTTTGTGTAAAAGTCACTCATCCATTAATTAGACGTTCATCCTCAGTCAAGCAATTTCAGGTGCTGGCCACAGAGGTACATACAGGGCAGTACAAGAGGCAGGTAGATACAGGGCAGTGGAGGAGTTGTGAACTCTGCTCCCAGGACCAGGCAGCAACTAGTGAAAACAAGTTGGGGAGACACTGACCGAAACACAGTTTCTTTGCATATTAAATGTTAGAAGAGATTTGTGCATCTATTTTCTCCATGAAGTACATGGGCCCTTTGGCTTGCTTTTGTTTTTCCATTTTTTTAAAAAATGGAAAGAGCTGGGGTACAGACCAGAGATGTGGGGGGTGAGAAGATTCACCAGAGACAGAGCGGGGAACAGAACAGGCAGACTGACCAAAGTACACTGCTGAGGGGAGCAGCGGGCGAGACAGGAGAGGTCTGCTGCGCCATGTAGGTTGCTCCCTGGCCTCCTGGGGATCGAACTCATGCTGAACTCATGCTGCAGAGGCTGCAGATTGCTTTATAGTGCAGTGCTTTATAGTGCGGTGCTTGCACCACCAGGGAGGCCCCCCCCACCCCCCGCACTGTTTTTCCACTTTCGATAGAAAGGTATTTTCCCATTATGAAAAAAGAAAAGAACCAAACCAGCTCTTAGAGGTCTCTGAGGTGTGGCTCCAGCTGATCACATGCAAATGCAGGCCCAGCTGTGACTGCAGCTTTTTTTTAAAGATTTATTTATTTATGCACACAAGAACTGGGGTACAGGCCAGAGGTGCAGGAGGTGAGAAGATTCATCAGAGTGGGGAGCAGAACAGGTGGCTTGACTGAAATACAGTACAACAACGGGCGAGACAGGAGAGGTCTGCGGCTCCATGTGGGTCAGCTCCCTGGCCGGGGATAGAACTCATGCTGCAGTGGCTGTGGATAGTTTCACAGTGCTGAGATTTAACTTCTTGCGCCACCAAGGAGGCCCTGTAATTGCAGTTTTTCATTCAGTCACAATACCAGGTGGCCAGGAGGACCCCAGGACTGAGAGAGGAGAGCTGAGAGGGTGGGGGTTACAGCGGCAGGAAGACACCCTCCTCACCTGCAGCAAATACTCATTTGAACCAAATACTTAATAGCTGAATTAAAAAACAACAGCCAGTATTTGTCTGAAGCAGGCTTATTGCCACCCCAGGATGAAAACAAATCCCAACTTTGGGGGAACAATTTTAACCATGATACAATCACATCACTAAAATGAGAGCAACCGAGGTTGAAAGCTGGCAGAGGAAGGCGCACTGCCCAGCCCAGGGGCCTCTTGTTCTGTAGGCCCCACAGTGTTCCCCCGGGCCCTGGGCACAGACCCGGCCCTCTGCCGGGATCCTGCTGTGGCCACAGCACTCCACCTGTCCACTCCTGGGCCTGAAGACATCATCCACCAGGCCGCCATTTCATCGAAGCAATCCCTGGTCTGAAGGTGACACTTCTGGAACTCTCTCGGGCGCCTTGAATGGCGGATTCTGGTCCAACTTCAGGTGGCACCTGCGGGCAGCTCGGCTAGCTGTGGGGTGGCACTGCCCTCTGGTGGTCACCACTGAGCACTGCCTCGCCGGCGCCGAGCAGGCAATGGGAAGCAGCAGGAATATGGCACTTTTATTTGTGAGTGCTGAATAATTCTGTTACTCTAATTCTAAGAGTGTTCTAGAGAGCTGTACTTCTGGGGGTACAATAAAGGCAAACAGCCTATGGCCATGGAATTTTAGCTCCCCATAAGTTCATTAGCCACATATCCATCCATTCATCCACCTACCCACCCATCAACCATCCTTCACCTGACCATCCATCACGCACCCATCATCCAGCCATCTTCCTACATTCATTTAGTGTCACCTTTGTGCCAGACTCTTTTAAGTACCAAGTATACAGAGATGATAAAGATACTGGCTTTGTACCTGGTAGCTCAGAATCATCTAGAACTCAGGCTAAACCAGTTATATTACGGATTGTGGACTGCTAGCTTCTGTCAGCACCAGTCTTTGACATTTCATTATCACAACAGAGAAGCAGACCATCTTGGAGGTAAGTATCAGAGTTAAAGGGGGAAGTTTATCTATTTCACCTAAAATCTCTTTCTGTGTTGATGTCTGAAATTCTATTGATAGAGCCTCTAATGGAAGCCAACTCTGAGAAGTTATTTTTTAAAAGTATTTTATTCTTTGACTCTAAAACAGAAAATTACTGGCAGTGGGCTTTGGTGGTGGCAGGAAGGGAGAGACAGATAGAGCGTGATTACAAGTGGAGCCTGAGGGGCAGGGTGGTAAACAATGGGGAGACAGAGGATCCAGGAGTGTTCATATCACTGACTTTCCAAGGTGCTCTGCTCCCTCCAATATCTTTCTCTACTTCAACCAGAAGCCGGTTTACCAGTAGAACGCCACTCATTCTAAAAGCAATTTAAGCTGGTAGATAATAGTGAGGCTGACCCAAATGTGTTCAGCAATTTTAAAGATTCTTCACCTCCATCGAACTATTCATTCATCTGTCATGCCACCCTCACACCCACATGTCAGCCATCATATCATGACTATCAACTGCCCATCAACTATGAGTCATGTCACTCATCTACCATTCAAACAGCTACTCGCTCATTTATCCGCTCACCCACCATCTATCCATCTTTCTATCAAATCACTCAACCATCCACAGAACTGAACTACCATCCATCTATTCATGTCTCCATATACTCATTCGGTCATCAATTCATTCACCTGAAAATTATCCACCCGCTTATCCATTCACGTATGATCTATAGAACTATCTGTCCAGTTATCCTAACATAGTTACCCATGCATTCTCTAGCCACCCAGCAACCCAGCTACCTGCTAATCACTCAGCCATCCAATCAGCTGCCCATCCACCTCCCAGCTACTTAGCCATCCATCCATTCACTCATCCAAATGCTCACATCCTGCAACCCATCTGACTATGATTCTGATCATACCTCCATCCTTCTTTACAGCTCATCTATAATGGGGTTCGAATTTGGGTCAGTATCCACTCTGTGGGCTGATTACAAGCACCTAACTCTGCTTGATTTTGGGGATCAGAGCTAAAAACCAACTCTCTCTGCTGCCAAGGAGCTTAGCAGCTAGTGGGTGAGTCTATTTTATCCTCAGAGATGGTTTTCTATCCATCAGAAATTCTAGCTCTTAGACTCCATCACTAAGTCATCTCCTATCTTCACTAACATGGATACCTGCCAGTTGGTAGCCCTGGATTTCACCCACATGGGTAGAGGAAGGAGCCTATCTTAGCATCCAGTCAGAATGGATTCGGGCTCTGGTTGGTCCTCTGTGGGCACAAAAGCTGCTCAAGATGCCTTCAGAACTTGTCCAGATGTCCCTCCTTGTGCCCTACCCTGAATTCTTGGCTCATCCGCTAGAGAATAAAGTCCTATCAATGGAATGGAAATCAGTTATAGTTTCCAACTCCCATTTCCACCAGTTCTTTTAGTACCAGCTCACTGATTTTTTTGTTTGGGAGACCGATTCTCCCCAACGTTCTGTTCATGAGTGACTGAACCCTAAATCCAGCACCACAAGCACATGAATCAGGTTTGATCAATAAGACAATCCTGGGGCGTTTGTATTGTTTTGCTGAAAGATTGTTGGGGTATCCTGGTCACATGAGGAAGAGACTGATAAGTAAGCTGACCCTGGAGTCATGCGATCACCTGGATCCAGCTTTACCTGAAGATAGTTATCCCTTGAAATGCTGGAGTCACTTTTTTTTTTTTTTGGGCTTAAGCCAACTCAAGTTGGATTTTATTCTTCTGTGACAGAAAAGCTTCTGGGAAAGACCAACACATTTGGGAGTGTCAAGAGTGGTAATAAAGCAGCGACACCCGCCCCCACTTCAAAATGTAAACCTGGTTTTATTTAATGCCTTTGTTCCGTCACAAAGTACCGCCTCCTCCCAGGGTTCCCTCTTCCTAGAAAACAAGATGGCAGCATAAGGCACGTGCACTGTCCACATGACATCAGGTCAGGTCCTTAAAAACAAAAATAAGCAAGAATCTTCCCGACGCCCCGAATCACCTCCCTCACTAATGTTCAGAGAATGATTGTCCCCCCAGAGTACAACCTGGAGCAGAGCGCTTGATCAGAACTGTGCGCCACCCCGCATGCCAGTTTGAAGAACAAAACCAAACCAACGACTAAGAAAACCAACAACACAGGTACGAGAGTGTAATACCAGGGTAATGAGATCAGTCCATAAATTAAAAAGGAAGAAAAAACAATGAGCCTGTCCTCTCCTCGTCACTAGCCCTGCTCCACATCAGCAACTCCTTGCTTTTGTTCTGAGTCTTGTAGAAAAGTCTGGACTTTGAGCCAGCCCCTCTCCCCAAAGTGAAATATTCCAAAGCCACAGTTGGGTGCTCCGCTCCTCGGACTCTTGTGGGGCTGCAAGGACAGCTCTGGTCACCAGAAACATCCTCTTGGCTGTAGGGGCCCTGCCGGGTGTCCAGCATCTGGCGGGGAGGTGGGGAGGCGGGGAGGCGAGGGGCCCAGGTGGGCTCAGGGCCGGGGGCCGGGCGAGGCCGCTGGTTATAAGTACTCGAGCTCCAGCGCGTGCCGCAGGGCCTCCAGGTCGGCGTGGCAGGATATCCGCCAGAAGGGCATGTTGTGCTGCAACACAGAACAGGCCGCACGGTTAGGCCCCGCTCCAGGCCCCGCCACCCCCTGGACCCCGCACCTGCGGGCAGCCTGCTCAGGGGTCAAGCGGGTTAGTCTGGCGCGGGGGGCATTCCCCAGTCGGGAGGCGCGTCCCGTTACTGGCAGCCCCTGATCGGGCCGGCACCCACCGGTGTGGCCAAGCAGTGCCCACCGTTTCTGGGCCCCTGCGTGTCCGGCTGCGCTGGCCCTGCCCTCCCTGCAAGCCGGCTACCTGGCCTCCCTCTCTTTACACCGTGGTCTCAGGTGGGGCTGGTCTCAGTCCTGCTACTCCGAGGAGGAACCTCAGCCAGGCGTGTGTGTCCCCACCGCTCGCGAAGCTCCAGCGGGCCAGAGCTGGCCTGAGGGGGCGGCCGGGGCGAAGCGGGCTGCAAAGCTGTGTTCTCTGTGGTTTTGGTTTTTTTTCTTCACAGCAGGGGGTGCGTGCCCTGCCGTCTTGGCACAGCACGCTTTCAGTCTCACATGTGTGCGCTGATGGAAGGGAAGCATCAGAGGCTGTGGGCCCGTGTGGGCACAGCGGGGGTGAAGCACGCGGGCCAGGCATGATGATGCTGGCCGGGGAGGACCACTCAGGTGCCGGGAAACCAGCGAGGTGCTTCCCTGGCACAGGTGCTGCGTGCCAGGCTCTGCTGTCCCACCCCTGTGGGGTGGCCTCAGGCGTGTGCTCCTGCACACAGCTGTCATGGGCACGTGGGCTGGCGGGACACCGGGCGCCCGCCCGTGTTAGGATTATGTGTGTGAACACGAGGACATGTCTGCAGAACACAGGCCAGCGACAGGAAGCATGCACGGCAGACTGTGCGTGGACGTGGAGGGGTGAATCTGGGGTGTTCCCAGCAGTTTTCAAAATAGTAAGACTGTATTGTGAAGACAGAAAAATCACTAAGGCAGGCAGAGTGAGATGGCAGGGGAGCCGGCAGGAGGAAGCGGCCCCTTTTTGGGGGACAGAGAATGGTGGGGACAGCGGACAGCTGTCCTGTAGGAGGAGGGTTGCTGAGGACTGAACCCAGCGTGTCATGGCAGGTAGTTGAAGGGAAGGGGTTACACCGAGGGTGTCTGAGCCAAGGAGGATGGACAAGGATTCTGAGGTTCAGGGGGCTGGGGGAAGCATCATGCAGTGTGGAGCATGCGTGCGTGCGTGTGTGTGTGTGCGTGTGTGTGTGTGCACGCACGTGCACGGGGGTATAGGGATGGGGCGAGGGGTCCATGTGTCTGTCATGATGCTGTTTGGCTTTCATTGTGTAAGTCTGTGACATACAATGTTTTCAAGAAAGATCTTTCAAATCCACTTATTTCACTCCTTGAGCCAGACACGGTGCTAAGTACTTGATGTTTATCATCACATTGAATCACCCCCCAAAACCCCAAAAAACCAAAACTGAAAAACAAAACCCAAAACGAACAACAAAAAAACCAAGAAACAAAAACAAAACCACTTTTCCAAATGGGGGATGAGAAGAGAGAGAATTGATCTAGCCAAAGTGAAATTGCCGGCCGGCCAGCCAGTCATCATTAGGGTCATGATTGCAGCCATACTAAATCAGTAACACTTGCTAAGTGCCTACTGTGTGCCAGGCACTTTGTTCAACAAGTTATGTGCATCGCCCCATTAACCTGATTGCTAGCCCTCAGAAAGAGGCGCCATGTTCACTCACTTTACAGATGAGGAGACTGAAGCACAAAGGGCCATGTCTGGTTCCAAAGAAGAAACCTGACTATATTTTTATTCACTGGAAAATTTAACCACTGGCTAAAGCTGGTACCTACCCAGTACCCATCCTCCTTCTTTCTTGCTTCCAGAGCTTGGAATTTCTGGCTCAGATATGGGGGTGACTAATGATGGTCTAAGTTAGCCATGGCAACCCCAGCCTTGTTTTTCAGGGATTTGTCCTGTATCCTTGTGATCTGTTGAAACCAATGAAGATGCTGGTCGGGGATTTCTGGGGAAGGTTTTCTTCCATGATTAGAGAGAGGCACCTGAGAACTCCTTGGTCCTGACTATCCCTATTTTGGATGCTGTCATGTTAGTATGTGATGCCTGGAACCGTGGCAGCTGCTTTGAGGTCATGAGGCAAGGCATGAGGAACTAAGAAGCCAAAGATGTTTAGAAAAGCAGAGCAAAATGATGGAAATGGATGTTGGGGTTATTTCTGACCCACTGAAACAACCTAGGGCACAGCTGCTTCTAATCTTGTTAGGTGAGCACGTTTAAACATCATTACGAAGCTTTTCTGCTACCAGCAACAAAAAGATACTGAGCCTTCTTCAGTCATTGGCCTTCAATTATTTACTGTGGAAACATATGGTGCTTAATGAACATGATGCCTGAATCCTGGGGTAATGCAGCTACCTGGAGTAGAAGCTTCATGAATGTCCTTTGGTTCCCAGATGACCCCAAGTCCTTTCCTGATGGGAGCGCTGCACTTATTACTATGCCAGCTCTTTTTATCATTGCTCACCTTTACTTTCTGGTCTGTGGTGGGCAGAATAGTAGCCCCCACAGACGTCCACATGGCTAAAGGGATTTTGCAGATGTGCTTAAGGATCTTGAGATGAGAAAATCACCTGGAGGGTAGGGACTTTGTTCACTGCTGTGTCCCCAGAGGGGCCTTCTGCACAGGTGGCACACATGCACAGGGCTCTGAAGGGTAAGTGAATTGGTCAAGCTTTTTATGCCAGTAGCCTCTGTGGCTATCTTCTGCAGCCCTGATTGTCTAATGCAGGAGGCATTTGGGAGCTTGGGCTCGGGGCACGCGTATCTGATGGCAGACACCTGGAGAATGGGTTTGGGCATGCGTAAGTGGGCACACCTGAGCCTGGAGGCAGGGCTCTAGGGCGGCGTCACTCAGACAGGAGAATGGCTACGGGAAGACTGCTATGAGAGGATGAGCGGCGTGATTACAGAAGAGGTAAGACCATGAGAGAACGCCAGAGAGAGCCCAGAGAAAGAGCATAAAGATTGGGGGTGATTGGGAGGCTCAGTGCCCCACCTGCCTTCCAGCTCCTAGCCACCCCACTCCCTGCCCCCACTGGGCCCAAGCCTGCCTCCTTGCCTTCGGAGCCTCCCGCCCCCCGTGCCTTGCCGGCCTGCAGGCTTGGCACAACAGGCTCGCATTGGAGTCACAGATAATACACAGCGTGATTTCATCTCATAAGTGCCGGGAAGGAGATAAAATGTGGAAGTCGGGTAGAAATAACTGGGAGGAGGGACTGATTTTTGATAGCTGGTCAGGGGAGGAGTCTAAGGAGGGGTGACCTTTAAGTAGAACCCAGAGGATGAAAAAGTGGGAAACTTGCAAACAGGTTGGGAGGAAGCTGTCGAGGCAGAATATACAGCAAGTGCAAAGGCCCGGAGGTGAGTTCAAGCTTGGAAAGCCACGTTCATGGCTCTCTTGCTGCGGTCCTAGCACATAGTAGGTGCTCAAGAAATATTTGTGGGAGGGATGACAAGAGGACGGGAGGGGGAAAGAGGGAAGGTGAGTTTCTCAGGTGAAGTCCTCAATGAACACGTCTTTTCCGCTTTTCTCTCTTTCACAGAGGAAAGCAGAAAATTGTCCATTATGCGCAACAGACGCCATCTTGTGAATGCCTGTCAATTGCCCCAGTGCCTCATCCCTCCTCAACCCGGCCAAGCCTCCCTTTCTCTGCAGAGATGGATGCTGGGTGCTGCCCAGCCAATCCTGCTCCCCTTTAGAGTGGAATTCATTTGTATTTCTGGGAGGAAACGAGCAGAGGTAGAAGAGAATGTCTCAGCCACCCCCAGCCCAGGTCCGACGGTTCCAGAGTGCAGGTAGATTTATCACTTGTGGGGAGGCGGAGACAAATCACCCTCCGATCTGGAGACATTAACACCACTGTCAGCTGGAGCAGTCAAAGCCCCTGGTCATGTCACCATATTTCACGCAGCTCAGGTGTCGGGTGGCTGAGGCTAATGACTCCCATCCATCAGGCAGGAGCTGCCAGTGCTCAGCCTTTCTCACTAATGGGCGACGGCCCCCTCTCTGACCCGGGTGGAGCTGGATTTAGGGCGAATGTGCTCCCCTGGCGGCATGCTGAACCGGGCTGGGGTGTGCAGCCCACAGAATCTCTGGCCCCTCAGTGGGCTCCCGCTGGCCTCGTAGTGGAGTGTGACCCCAGACCAACAGTTCTCAAAGGAGGAACAGGCTGCCCCCTAGGGGTCATCGTGGGAATTTCTACAGGTGTGATTTTTTTTTTTGATGTCTTGGTGATTTGTTCCCCCTGCAGGTAGGAGCAGATTCCTCCTGCCTCATCCCACGCACCTTGGACCTGGGTGATTTTCAAATGTCTGGCCAGATACTCAAGTAAGTACAGACCTGTTCCTAATAGCCTGAGCTCTTCACTTTATAGGTAACATACAAATATGCTTTGCGTGTTTATTATAAAACCTGGAGGTGCAACCAGTGTGTAAACCAAGGAAGGTCTGTATTTTGCTTTGTTCTGAACCTTCCTGGAGGTTAGCAGCTTAGCAGCTGGGAGGGGCCACGTTATGGCAGCAGACCTGCTCCCCCGCGTCCCTCTGCGTTTGCCAGCCACAGCCACAGCGATGGCGTATTTGGGGCCGAGCACTGGGATTTGTGCTTGAACACTGACATGCTGAAACACCTTATTTTGAGTGTAAATGACTTTCCCTTTCTCGTTGACAGTCCATTCTATAGCTGTCTTTTGGACTGGATGGTGTTAGGTAGATTATATTATCCAATAGCATTTTATTTCAGTAAAGGGGGATCATTTTAAAACATTCGCTGTATTGCCCTAACCACCCTCTCTGCCTGGTGAGCAGGCAGGTGTGTGAATGTCCCTGTCATTCTCCAGATGAGAACCAGAGGGCAGGTACAGGGGTGCCCGGGGACTTAGGCCCAAGCTGGGTTCTCCACTCCAACTCTGATAGAAGCCAAGCTGTGTTCTGTCTGTGTCACTTGCTTAGGGCAGAGATTTCCATGAGGTCTGAACTTGGAAAAGGGGCGGGGGCTCTGACAGCCCCCTTGGGCCCAGGCCCAAGTGCCTTTGGACAGTCTGACCAACCAGACTGCAGGGGAGCTGGTGTTCCTGAAACCTCAGTGAGTTCATGGGATAATCCGCAGGTGTGGTCCTGTCGTGATGATCTCTGTCATTAATATTTTCCCTCTAAATAAATTCACTTTTAAATCCCAGAAATACACATTAAGAGTAAAAGCAAGGACTCTGGCAATGGCCAGGGTACCTGACCTGCCCCCAGCCCCCGTCTTTGCTCAGATGTCACCTTGCAGAGAGGCCTGCCTTAAACACTATCTATTCTTGCAAACTGCCTCGCCCATGTCCCTCTGTTTCTGTTTCCTGCTTTATTTTCCTCCAAAGCTCTTGGCACCTCCTGACACTCACCGCATGGGTTCATGGCCTGTGCCCAGGGTGAGAGCTGGGTATGTTCTGCACACTGAGGATCCCCAGTGACTGTAACTGGTCAGCACACAGTAGGTGCTCAGCTAACAGCTTACACACAAGCTGGAGAGTCAGTGATGGAGCCACTGATCATCAAGTCCTTCTTTTATGACAATCCCCCGAAGGAGGACTCTGGGCAGCTGGGAGGAGCCACGGGCAGCCTGATCCTGGGTCAGGGAATTTTTGCCTCTGGAAGTGTTGAAGCTGAGCTGAAGGGTGGGTCCCTGTGAGCCAGGGAGTGGGGGAGCCGGGCAGATGGAACAGTATATGCAAAGCCTTCTAAGCTTCCCTCCCGCAGCCCTTCCTCTTCTCGTGGGTGTTATCCTCTTAGACTCTGAACGTTTTTGCACTTCCTTGGAATCTGTTGCCAGGGAGGGAAGGGAGAAACCAGGTCCCCTAAATTAAGTCCTGTGACATTAACGACCCATTTCCCAGGCCTCTGGGTGGGGGTGACAGGCTCTCTGGGATGCTGTTGACAGGTCCAGACCCAGGTCTTTGGCAGCTGTTTCTTCTCCCAGAACAGAGCTGTGGCCACCAGAACCCCCTGCCTTTCTCCTCCTGGGCCCGAGATCACAAATGCAGGATTTTCTTTTTCATTAGCGTAATGCTGTCTTTATTAACTGGGAAGGGTTCCTGGAACATATGATCAGTAAGTATTAAATAAAACACACACGTGCGTAGCCCCCCACCGGCCTGGCCTGACAGGGTGCCTCTGGGCTCCCCGAGCAGTTGTCCCAGAAACATCCAGGGCGACCAGGGTCGGCAGCCAAAGGCTTGGAGGGGGATTTACAGAAGGAAATTACTCAGGATGCTTCTGCGATTTGCAAATGGGAGTGGGCTGGCCAGTGGGCTGGGGAGGGAGAGCTCCAGCCAGCAAGGGAGGTGGGGGGGGGACCCCAAGAGTCCAAGGGAAGGTCGGGGGAGGAGAAGCAGCAGACCAGGGAGGGAGATGTACCTTTTTCGCTCCCTGCTCCTCTTCCACGCCATCGCCAATCACGATGTAGACGGCTTTCCTGCCGAACCTCTGCATTATCCTCTCAAAGCAGCTTTCCTTCCCTGACCGGGCGTGGAAGCGGAAAGAGAAAAGACACGTGAGGACCCAGGGTGTGGTGAATAAAGCCCTGAGCTCCCCGCGGGCAGCCGTCCTCCTAAGGGCCAGGAGTTCGTCACGTTGTCCTCGGGCCAAGTGTTGAGGGGTGAGCTGCCATCACCCTCACGTGACTGAGGCCAGGGCTCGGGGCCTGCCGGAGGGACAGAGGGGCTTGAGGCAGCCTGGGGTCTCCGCAGCTGTCTGGTGGAGAGACAGACCCACTTTACAGAGGACATGAGGCTCTGAGGCATGAGTGATGTGCCCAGGACCCCAGGGTGCCGAAGGAGGGGCGCTGGGATTCATGGAGTCACAGGCAGGGAGCCCGGCACCCAAGCTGGCCCTGGTCACAGCTCCCCTGGGCGCTTTCTCTTGCTCCCTCTTGGCATTTTCCTCCGCCCAGGTGTCTGGGCAGCAGCGTACATCAGACACTGGGTTCAGATGTGAGTTCAAGCCGCTGGGTTAGCGTGTTCATAATGGAAATAACGATAACAAGTAATAGTCGGTGCTGGCTGAGTTTCCTATGTGCTCAGTCCTCTTCTCGGCGCTTACCTGTCAGGATTTCTCGGCCTCAGTGTTACTGACACGTTGGACTGGATAGTTCACTGCTGCGGGGGCTGCCCTGAACGCTTAGCAGCATCCCTGGTCTCCACCCACCCGAGGCCAGTGCAACTCCTCCAGTTTGAAAGTGAAAAACACCTCCAGGTGTTGCCAAAAGTCTCCTGGGAGGCAGAACCCCTGTGGACTCCTTCCCTGGCCCCAGTGGGAGCCAAGGACTTACTTTAATTAACAATCCCAGCAGTCCTTCCTCGCCGGGTGGGAGATGAGGAAACTGAGGCTAGGGCTGGTGGAGTGCCGTGAAAACGCTCACCTGTGCTTTGCTGGGAGCGGCTGAAGGTTTCACCCCCACCATGCAGCATGTACTTAGAGGCACTGATCACCCACTTTATAGACTAGAAGGCAGAGGAGTGAAGGCGTCCCTTGCCGTCGAGCACCCAGCCAGCCAGGGCGGGTCAGGGTGCCAGCCCAGTGTATGTCTCCTGGGCTCAGGCTGGAGCCGCGCCACTGTCCCGCTCCAGCTGGGAATCGTGTTGGCGGCTGTTCCTCCCTCCACGCCGGCTCCTCTGGGGAGCTGGGCTGGGTCAGAGCAGTGGGTCAGGACCGGGTGCAGCAATGACAGCGTCACAGAACTTGGCCCCGCCACTCCGCTCTGCAGGGCCACCCACGGGAGCAGGCCGTGAGAAATGTGCCCCGGATGCCTGCCCGCCCATGAAGAGGAGATACGCTGCGTGGAGCAGACCAGAGCTTGGAGCCAGGCCCAGCAGAGCCACAGCTGACTCGCCAGCCCACGGGCGAGAACAAAACAGGTTGTGGTAAGTCACCGAGAGTCGGGATTTTGTTAAGCACCATTAGAGGAGCAGGAACCTGACTATAGGGGAAAAAAAAGTGACTTTTTAAGCTAAACAGGGCACTGGAGGCCAATTCCTGTCCCGTTTCAGCTTTGATTACTCTCAGCTCTTGGGTCTCAGGCTCCCTGAGTGGAAAGTGATGCCTTTCACCACTCCCCTGATGGCATGTGATTCCTCTGACGTAGAAATAATACGTAGGTAAGAGGGACATTTTGGATTCGTCTGCGTTAGGGATTCCTTTTTAGAGAAATCTATATGAAAAAAGTCTGTTGTCATGTGAACTTTGTGTTAAAGTTTATCATAGGATTCAATGGAGTTTTTGATAGTCTCTTGTTCACTGAGTTTTCCCAACCAGCCTGACCATTGACTGAATCTTTTGCTCATGAATCCTCTCTAGAGAAAGGCCATTCTGGATCTTTGTTTCTCAAACACTCCAGAACTCCCTCCACATCTGAACCATTGTTACTTCATTTTACTTTTAAAATCAACTCATCCTTCTAGTTTTACTTAAATTACTATTTTTAAATTTTTATATATTTTTTATATCATAGAACCACTAAATTAAAAAGACCAGTCAGCTCCTACTCATTAGGCTAATACCTATAAAAAAAAAGAGCTGGTGAGGATGTGGAGAAACGGTAACCCTTGTGCTCTGCTGGTGGAAATGTAAAATGGCACAGTTGCTGTGAAAATATGGCAGTGCCTCAAAACATTAACAGTGGGACTCCCTTATGATTCAGCCACTGCACTTCTGGGCATATCCATCTACAGCTGAATGGATAAACAAAATGTGGTCCACACATTCAGCAGAATATTATTCAACTCTAAAAAAGGGACTTCTGATACCTGCTCAGTATGTGGCATGAGGGCATTATGCTATGTGAGGTCAGCCACTCATAAAGCAAAAAGTGCTATGTGCTTTCACTGACAAGTGGTCCCTAGAGTAGTCTAAGTCATAGAGACAGACTTAAGCAGAGGGGTGGTTTGGAGGGAGGGCAGGAGGAATGGGGGGTATTTGTTTCATGGGTACAGAGTTTCAGTTTGGGGAGGTAAAAAGTTCTGGAGAAGGGTGGTGGTGCTGGTTGCACAGCAGCATGAGTGACTTAATGCTCCTGAACTGTACTCTTAAATGGTTACCATGGTTTTTTTTTTTTTTTGAGAGCTACATTAATATATAATGTGCACATTTAAGGTATGACATACATTAAATGGATACACTTATATTGCAGTATGATTGCTACCTCAGCATTGCCATCATGTCACATAATTATTAAGATGGGAACTTTTTATTGATGTTTTACCAAAACTAAAAAAAAAAAAAAAAAAAGAAGACTTTCTAGATATACCTGCAAAGACATATAACTAGAGGTACGCAGGTGGCAAACAGGGTCCTGTTGCAGCCTCTTTAATGGCCATTTAGGGCTTGAATTTCTTTGATTTTTAAAATCAAAAGGCACTTTTATATAATGTTTGGACATAGGGCAGTTTCTGCCTTTATTGGCATTTTAAGAAAATGCTTCCTAAATACTGTCAATTGTCTTTTATGGTCTATAAAAACAATCTCTCTCCTTGCCCCCCGCCCCCCAAAACAAGGGCAGCTAGATATATTTTGCATTGTTATACATTTTTAGGTGAAATAAAAAAAAAAAAACCCAGCTCCTCCACCTCCACACAAAAGAAAACCATTATTACTTGCCCGATGATAAATGATGCTGTTATCTTCAGGTTATTAAATCTTGTATCTGCAGAAAGCTCTGAGCCTAAGGCTTGCTGTCTTTGTTAACAGATTAGCAAGTACTGAGAGGTGTTAAAGCCAGCCTAGTGCTAAACTGAGACTCCCCTGGAAAGAGAATTAACAAAACAATTTCAGCTCTGTGTGGTTCAAGAGCTAAATTCAAGGTTTTCTGATGACTTGTGCCATCTAAATTAAAATCACCTCAAGTACCATGCTGTGGTGGGAACTGTTTCCTCTTAAGGACTTGAAGTTCACCAGTCCCACCTGGGCTGAGAGTCTTGCAACTATGGACTACATTTCCCAGCTACTCTTGCACCTAGTTGTGGCCACGTGACTAAGTTGAGCCAATAGGAGGTGAGTAGCAGTAACGCACCTATTCTGAGTCTTGGTTTTAAAATGTCAGAAGTGTATTACTCCTTTTTCCCCTTGTCTCTGGAAGCTGGAATAATGATGTGGCAGGACTCTGATTTGACACATACATGAGCCTAAAACCATAGAGGAGGGTGGAAAAATTAAATGGGAAAGACCTGGCTTCCAGGGCGACTGAGAACATTGTCACCCCCTAGCCAGGATCGCTTACCTCTGGTCTGTTATTTGAGGGAGAGATAAGCTCTGACTCTGACGCAAGCCCCCATATTCAGGGTGTGTTGTAGCACATCTGCAGGGACCCTAACTAATACACTCTGGAACAGTATGGTCCTAACCAGTTTTCCTGGAAGCAAAGGTTAAAGCAAGTGGGTTGAAGGGCTTGTTTTGGGGCTCTGAGCCATGCCCACCCCCCCGTATCACCCCAAGGTCTGGGTGCCCCCTACCTGTCTTGGTTGCGCTGTAGATGTTCTCAATGGGGAACACGGAGCCCAGTCCATACAGCAGGACTTTGGCCAGGGCAGGAATTAGTTGAGTGGTGGTGACCAGCACGTTGACACAATTGGGCCTGAGGATAAGGGAGACTGTTGATCAGAACACAAAGGTACCACAAGGCCAGGCTGCCTCACCCTGCCTACAGCATGAGCCTGGAGCTGGTGGAAGGTCTGGTGGGCTTTGGAGGCCCTGGTTCGGTCATCTGTAGGACTTTTCAGCTGTTTCTTTTTTAAGCCTGAAGCTGCTGGACATGCTGAAATGTGAAATGGGTGTAATACTTTTCTTATTTAAAAACCAAATGTTTATTGCAAGGGCAATATGCACTTCATATTTATTGCACTGAAGTAACTCCAGAGGCCTACTGGTAAGGTCATTGTGTGCATGGAACAGATGTAGGACAACAGGGAGAGGTGGTGATTGGGGTAATCTGGAGAGCACATGCCAGTTCTTCTATTTTAAGAGAACCCAGAAACCTAAAGCTATGGATTAATATCCTGAGTCTTTGGGACAAAAAATGGATCAAAACATCAGCAGGATGGTCTCAGCTTATGGGATGCCATTTTGTAATTATGTAATGGGACACAATTTTTTGATGTTGGCATGGGTGGGTAATTTGTTGTCTGGCCCATAGGATCTCAGAACAAGAGGCAGTTTCTTGGGAGGCCTTCTTACCTCACTAGGTACCTATCAGATGATCTGTGCCATCCTATAAAGTGGTTATCAGAAGATGTTGTGAAGGGCAGGAGTTGTGGGGAAGAGAGAAGGGGACAAGATGGATACACACTTAAAGGTCTTTAGCTCTGCTGGACCCTGAGAAGCCTGTACAGCTGTTTGCTGGGCTCTGGTACAAGGAGTCCACCTCGACTTTATTAAGTGTCTGGAAAGTACAAGAGAGAATTTGGAGAGTCCAATTCCCTCGAGTGTGGAAACAGAGGCGCCACCACTCTTGAATGGGAGAAAATTCAGTGGCACGAAGGAAAAGGGGGCTCCACCTACCGGGAGTTGATGAGGTTTAATGCCTTCAGGGAGTGAGTCAGCCAGAGGTCAGTCAGAGCCTCCAGCTCCGCTCTGAGCTGTAGCCAGGTCTCTCTTTTGGGAGCTCCTATCAAGCCTATGGATAAAGGAAATAAAGCTGTGGTTGCTTTCATTGTAGAGGCCTGGGAGGGGACGGTTAGGGGAGTCTGGATATTGCCTCTTGAGCTTTCAAATCGGTGACACTCAAGCTCAACTTCAGTCCGGCTCCTGTTTGCCGGTCCCAACCCTCAGCTCTTCCTCTGCACTTGGTGTCCTCCACACCCTCCCCAATAATAAGAGCAACTCCTGAGACGTGCTGTAGACGCACCTTCTGTGCGTTAGGCACATCCTCCTGACATTTACCCTGTGAGCAGCACTGGCTCCATTTTACACATAAGAAAATGAGGCCTGGGGTCAAATCACCCAACTCATGGCCACACAGCACAGGGGGTGTGAAACCCAGCAAAATCCTCTGCACCCCACCTCTGCCCAGATGGGGCTGCAGTAAACGTTTCTCTCCACCCCGCACTCGCAGGCCTCTCTTCCAGCACGCCTTCTGAAACTCTTGGAATCCTGGGGTGTGTGTTGACCCCTCCCCTGACCCCCAGGCTGGGGGCTGCAGCCCTCTCCAGGCTAGTTCTGCGATGCAGAAACTGCAAGGGGGGAGGAGAAAGGTAGGGGGGCTGCCCACCGGCATCCTGCCAGCCCCTCACCTGTTGACACATTGGATAATTTCCCCTCAGTTTATGGGAAAGCAAAGCAGCCTGACAGAAGCCCTGGGCATTTCCTGGGGCCTAACGTGGATGGGGATCAGATGGCCTTCACTGGTGACTCCATCCTGTCCCCCCAACCTCAAGCACACCTGCTCCCCTCCATGCTCCATGGAGGGGCATGTGAGCAAGCAGAGACCCTGACCCCACACCCTGTGGTGGACACTGGATGTGAAGGGGGCAGAGCGGCCGGCCTGGGACTCCATGGTGGCTCTGTGCCTGGGCTGTGTGAGGCCGGGCAGGTTACTTCACCTCTCTGATCTCTGTTTCTACCTTCACACGACATGGATCATAAAAGCACCTCTCTCATAGGAATGATGTAAAGAGTAAATTAATTAGAAGAAAACTCTCTGAAACAGAGCCCGGCATAGAGTAAGCGCTCAATAAACATTCATGATGCCAGCACTGCGTTAGGGCCACGACAAGGGAGAAAATCTGGCCAAAAGAACCAGCAGTCTATGGGGCAAAGCAGAAGACAGAGGAGAAGCTGAAAACTCCCAAGCAAACTGTTAGGCCGAGGGAGAGGAGGTCCCGTGGGCCATGTCTCGTGCGTCTGTATCATCTACCACAAATCTCTCAGTAACCCAGGGAAACAGAACTTTCTACCCCCATCTCAAAGACACAGAGGCCCAGAGAGATTGTGTATCTTGCCTAAGGTCACACAGCTAGAACATGCTGGGGCTGGAGGGGGTCCCGTGCAGTTTGAGAACCTTAATCCTCCGGGAAACTACTCTTTCTGGAGGGTGAGGTGGCAGGAGAACGTAGCCCTGAAGCTTCTGGGGCCGAAGTGCGAATGGTGGGGACACTACAGCTACCCACTCAGACCTCTTCCCTTCAGGACCAGCAGCTGGTTCCAGAAATCGTGACACTCAAAACACCCCCAAACCCTCCCTGAGGGAGAAGCAATAGCACCTCCTGCTGATAAGCACTGGCCTGGAGAATTCTAGAAATTGTCATCTAGGGCTGGCGGTTACCAAGCCAGCATTGTCTCCAGCCCCCTCCAGACCTGTGTGCAGAGATGCACAGATGCCCCCCTACTGCTGAGGCTGTGGCTGCACCCTGGCTGCCTCAGAGGGGCCCTTGGGAGCACCGGGAACCATCCCGCAGCGCAGGCCGCAGCCAGACCCAGGAAGGCCCAATTAGAAATGCCCCAGGTGATTCCAATAGGAGCCAAGCACTTCTTCTACTTCACTGTTTCCACAAATCACCTGGCGTCTTGTTAAAAACGCAGCTCTGACCAGTTGCCTCGCCTCGGGTAGGGCCTGAGATTCTGCAATTCTAACAAGCTCCCCAGGGATGCCCCTGCGGCTGGCCCATGGGCCACGCAATCTGTGCCGAAGCCCCATCCTCAAACACCAGGAGCATCAGAACCGCCTGGAGGGTGTGTTTCAACACAGCGGGCTAGGCCGGGGGTTTAGATCTGAGGCGGGGCCGGGGCACCTGCATCTGTAACACGTCTCCAGGTGACGCTGATGCTGCTGGCCCGAGGGCCACACTTTGAGAACCACCCATGATTAAGACATGGTAGGGGAGGGTCAGCTCCCACCCCCACCCCCCCCATTTGCAGGACATGTACTCTCAAAGCAGGTTGAGAGTGGGGGTGATGCCCTCCGAGCACCCGCGGGCACAGGGTGTCCTGAGGTCACGCGGGGCGAGCCAGGGCTTCTAAGCCTCTGGGAGCAGAGGCAGCGCCACCTGGCCACGCGTCCGCCCCCCACCCCCCAGCGTAGCCCTCTCCCCGCACTCACCGCCCACGTTGTTCCTGTAGGTGTTGTACATCTCCTTCACCCGCCGGTAGCGGAAGGCCAGCTTCCGCATCCAGTCCACGCCGCCGTGCACCCCGGAACCCAGGCACAGGTTGGCTCCGGGGGCCGAACTGTGGAAGCCGTCGGCGGAGAAGTTGTACGTGCTGGGAGAGGGACGGCCAGAGGGAAGGAAAGAGACAGTTAGTGGGGGGGTGTAAGGGGCCGGACTGGGCACAAGGCAGGTTTTCTGATCCCATGCAGATCGGGTAAAGGAGGAGTCAGAGTCCTCAGTACAGGGGTGCTGGCTGGGGGCTGGGAGGCTGGCAGGCCTCCCAGCCCCCAGCAAGTCTTCACTCTATCTGGGCTCTCTAGCGTTCGTTCTGCTGCTTCTCGGCTTCTCTTTCGGGTTCTGCTGCTGCTGGCTGGGGCTGCTCGCGTCCCCCCGTGACGCCGCCCTTAAAAGCACAGTCTTAGCTCAGCTGAATCCCATCTACCTATGCCCACACCCTACTCCAGGTGCCCGCCATCAGGCATGCATTCAGGACAAGGATCCATCATCTATCCTGATGGCGGAAGGGCAGAAAAGCCTGATATTTTCTTTACCCTACAGGGGGCCTGGGGCTCTCCCCAGGAGACCGCAGGCCTGGCGTGACCGTGGCGCCCTCCTCGGACCTGCGTGGACCCTGAAAGCGCGTGGGTCTGTGTGGATGTGCGTAAGGGGAGCGGTGGGACCACAGCTTTCATCAGCTTCCCAAAGAACAGTGGCGTGTGCTACTCTGCTCTTGGAAACGGCACAATCAGCATCCATTTTCCTGTCATTGGTGTCAAGTAGCTTCTCTGTTTGTGGGGGGAGGGGGTAGAACGATCCCTGCCCCTGGCATGTAGTGGCCAAGCCAGGGCCACTTTCCCTCTCCCTTTGGAATCGAAAGCAAGAAGGAAATACCAAAAAACGACTGGGGTGGGCTCATCCTGACAGGGGAGTCCAGAAGAGAAAGTCACTGCCAGCGCGTTCCGAGCCCAAGGAGGAAGGCCCCCCGGCCTTAACCTCATCATGACCCCTCGTTCCAGGACCCACACTCTCAGTTGTCATGTTCCTTCCTTTCTGCCATAGATGTGTCCCTCTAGCTCCGCTGGTAGCTTCAGTCCTGTAGTTTTATTTCTAGGGTCTGTTTTGGTTTTGATTTTCTGGTTCTTTGTTTGCTTTTTTATATTCCACATGAGTGAAATCATCTGGTATTTGTCTTTTTCCTTCTGACTTATTTTGCTTAGCACAATCCCCTCCAGTTCCATCCATGTTGTCACAAACGGCAAGATTTCATCTTAGGGCTGATTTTCTTATAGCCGGGCAGTATTTCATCACGTAGATGCACCACATCTCTCCATCCACTCCTCTGTCATTGGGCATTTAGGTTTTTCCAATTGTGGATTTTTTTTAAGGATTTATTTATCTATGCATACAAGAACTGGGGTACAGGCCAGAGGTGGGGGGGTTGAGAGGATTCACCAGAGACAGAATGGGGAGCAGAACAGGCAGATGGACTGAAATACACTGCTGTGGGAGCAGCGGGCGAGACAGGAGAGGTCTGCTGTGCCATGTGGGTAGCTCCCTGGCTGGGGATGGAACTTGTGCTGCAGCAGCTGTGGATAGCATCACAGTGCTGATGCTTAATCCCTTGAGCCACCAGGGAGGCCCTGATTGTGGATTCTTGATGTGAGATTAGCATGAGGCAGGCAAGGCTCAGAGGCACCGCCTTGAAAGGGAAAGCGGTTCCCAACGATGACTTCATGGAAAGGACACAATCACCTTGGCCTGGGGCTTATGACTCCATAAACTGAGAAGTCCTGTCTGGCCCCTGAGCCTCGCCAGTCACCAGACCTGACTGCAAAGAGATTACTACGTGGTTAATTAAAATACAGCAGGCGCCTGCCCGCCTGTGACATCTAATTGTGCTGGGCTTTGAAAAGACTGGCAGGGCTCAGTAACAGAAACCTGACATCTGTGGGCGGAATACACTGGAAGGCACATCTAGGAAGCAGTGCTAAGTGGAGTTACAGCAGCTGGCCCCATAAACAAAACATTATTTGGTCTAATAATTAATATTTTTGATGGGTCTAGAGGTGTTGAATTATGCTAATTTTGGATAAGCACAGATTAATGTGCTTAAAGGGTTCCGTTTCTCTGACATTTCCCCAGGGGCAGGTATGGAACATTCCCGCTACATCCCTCTGAGAGCCGCCTCATCTTGAGTGGTTGGGCACCTCATTTCTGGAATCCATGTCACTTATTTTTTTGAGTATCAGCTTTTCTATCAAATAATATATGCATGCTAATTAAAGCAACCCAACATTTGAAGAATATATACTGTGAACTATTTTTTTTTAAAGTATAATCTTTAATGAGGATGCAAAATTCTTAATAGTGGTGATTCTGGGAGGCACATTCGGGGATGGTGTTTGGATTTTTTACAATATGCATGGATGACTTTAGGAAGCAGGAAAAAAACTATAGGGAGATTAACCTGAGCAGAGTCAGGGGCGATGTGTGGGAAGTTCAGCCTCAGGGATTTGAGGGGACAGGAAGAGGCAGGAGGATTAGATGTGAGTCCCAGTTCTGGCTGGAGGCAGGCACAGGGCCCTTCCAGCTCCCTGGCCCTCCACTTTTCCCAGAGAAGAAGGTACCCGATCCAATGGGACATTTTCCTACCTTAGGTCTTGGCCATTGTCATCAGATGAGACATCATCAACATGGATCTGGTCACAGTCCTATGACGAATTTGGCAAAAAGAGAAAAAGGAAAATCATGAGTGGTTAATCCCACACAGCCTTTCAAGAGTCGGTTTATCAGCGGAAGGGCGGAGTGAGCACTCGGCCACTGGAATCACAAGTCCTGAGTCTTAGTCCCAAATTTGCCACTTAAACATATCTTGTGAATTAAAAAATAGACCTTAATAGATATTTCTCAAATAAATGGGGAATTTGGTTTCTCGTGGAATAAACACCCTGAGTTTGTGGATTCTTTTTTTCCTTATGAATCCATGAACTTACTTTTAAAAGGTTGTCATTTTTATTGAAGTAACGCTGCTTTGCAACATTTCCTGAAGTAGCTGAGCACAAGGGTCTACCCCTAATCTAAAGACCCCACAGCTACACGGTCTAACCCAGTAGTGATGAGCCACGTGAGGTTTCTTATATTGAAATTAAATACATTAAAAAAAAATCCAGTTCCTCAGTCTAATTTCAAGCGTTCAAGAGCCACCTGTGGCAGGGAGTCACCAGAGTGGACAGTGCATGTGTCCATCAGCAGAGAAAGTTCTACTGGACAGCACTGTTCTGGAGGAGAAAGGAATGAAGCTGACCCCTTCCTTCTCTCTCTCTCTCTGCCTCCAGAGAGGGGACTTTCAGCTACTTTGGGAATTTACACTCTGGCAATGTGGGACTCCGATTCTTATACCCTGCCAGTCCTTAGCCTGGGCACCCCTTCCAGGGCCCCACTGCTTCACTGGGGTTTCTCCACTTTCCATTGCCTGCCTATGTGAGTTTGAGACCATGATCCACAGGCATCTTATAGAGATGGGGGGATATGCTAATGGGCCCATTAAAATGCCACGCTGACTTTACATCCCTAATCACAGAGATGAAAATGAATAGCAGATCACCCCACCCCTAGTCTCACTGCTTTGCCTGAAATTGGAAAAACGGTGCCCCGCAGTCTTTCCCTAGAGCTGGAAAGCTGCTGGGGGGTCAAGGGGTTCAGGCCCTTGCGCTGGGCTCCATGTGCTCCGCCTGATGTCAGGGGAATGGTATGTGGGGAGGTTCTGGTTTTCTCATTTGCAAGGGGATTGTTGGGGGCGCTAAAGTGTGACAACAGTAGCGATCACATTTCGGACTTAATAAAATACCATGACGCTCAGCTAGACGCTACCTCATACTCCACCAGCTGACCTGGATCGAATTACCTGCTGAGCCGCGGGCTGGCAAGAAAGGGAAGCGGGACAGTGCACGGACAGGAGGCCGGACCTGAGCTCCAGGAAGAGGTGCCTTGTGCCTTAGCTCTGCTCATGGGAGGCAGGCCTCGAAGAAGCCGGACCCCACTTTTCAGAGCCCAGGGTGCTTCTGGCCACTCCTGGGTCAACGTATGACTGTCCAGGGGCTCCCAGTGGGCCAGCTGCAAGGACAGAAGGGCCCCATGAACTTGACATGGGTGAGGCCACTGCAATTCCCGCTTCAGGGAATTTACACTTTCTGACCCAGCAAAGCACCTGCAGGGACTTGTGCCAGGGTGTCCAGCACCCCCGTGAGATGGAAAACACCTGAAGTTCCCTCGACCCCATCACAGCCAAATAAAAGGTGGGGTGTCCACTCTGTGGGACCCTCCCCAGCAGATCAGAAGGATGAGGCAGATTTTCATATTAAGCACATGGAAACATCCACGACATCCTACAGGGTGAGAAAAGCAGACCGGAGAAACATACATCCACTCTCACTTCATGCAGCTGTTTATAAAAACCCATTAAGCATGAAATGAGATATTTTGCAATGGATATATACATAGATGGAAAAAGAAAGCTCTGGAAGCTCACACCTCTGGCTGGAAGTAGCAGGTTCATTTGGGAAGGCCCTGGGGTTGGGTTCATGGTCAAAGGAGAAGTTACACTTACTGAAATGCTGGCTTGCTTTCTTTGAAATAAGGATAAATACACACACACACACACACACACACAGCTTTTGAAAAATAAAAAGAACTGAAAATATCTCACTGGGGAGGAGGCAGAACATAACATTGGGATAGAGCTGCCATGTGCAGGGGCCTGAGCTCACACTTACAGCATCACAGGACACCCCTGCACCACAGTCGCCCCAGCTCACAGAGGAGAAAACGAAGGAGAGGAGGGAGGGACAGGCTGTTAAGGGCTGAGCCACAGTAAGGAAAATGGAGAGACTCAGGTTCTTTCTCGCCTTCCTGCCACCTGCCTCAATGGCTGCCACCTGTGGCCTTCTCGTCCTCTTAGGTTTCGTTGCCCACATGTTACTGCCAAAGGCGCTTAGGAGCATGAGCACAGGGCACATGCACCTGTAAGTATGGACGCCCGGGAGCCATCACAAGACATTGGGAGAGAGGAGAGAAGCAGAAGGTGTGGAGGTCACAGCGGGGCTAGGAGGCTTGGTTGCTGCCTGCTGGTCTGCCTGGGGATGCAGTTCCCTGCTCCAGCATTAGCGGCCTGTCAAATTTACCGAGGGCTCCAGGATCCTTCATCTGTTTGCCCGAATCAGCCATGAACTGGTCTACCTTGCACCTGGTTGCCATGACAGCCGTGTCCCCTCAAGTGATGTCGAGGGGCTAATGCCCCCCACCTGCAGATGTGACCTTATTTGGAAATAGAGCCATTGGCAATGGTCAAGTTAAGACCAGGTCATCTTGACTGGTGTCCCAATCAAAGGGGAGTTTGGGCCCTCAGAGGGCTGTGCGCACAGGGCGGCCATGTGACAGTGAGGACAGAGGTGGGGGTGTGCCTGCAAGTCCAGGAATGTTTGTGATCACCAGCAGCCAGGAGAGAAAGTGGCAAGAACCAGATTCTCCCTCACAGCCCTCAGAGGAGCCAACTCTGCCCCCACGTTGACCTTGGACCCTTGTCATAAGACTGAGACAGTAAGTATCCGGGTAAGTTTCTGGGGTTTAAGCCGTCAGGTCTGTGCATTTTGTTACAGCAGCTCCAGGGCCCAAGACTTGTGTGCAGATGAGGCTGATGCTTTTTTTTCCCTTCAAGGAGGCCTTGTTCTTTTAGCAGATCTGGTGCTGGGTGTGCCCCGCCACAGTGGGCTCTCCCCACTTCTGGGTGACAGAGCAAGGTCTCCACTATTTTCCTTTTCAATTATGAAACATGGTTAACACAGCCACCTGCAGGTGTGTCACAAGGCACGTAAGTGGCAGGTCTACTGGAAGGCACGGATCGGAGCCCAGACCGTTCACCAGAGATCTGGAAACTGGAGCTCAGAGAGGCGCCGGGTGGAACTTAGAGTCTCAGGCAGGAGAGGGTGGTACTTGGGGGACGGCGCCATAGCTGTGTGTGTCTGTCACATGCTCCAAGTCCAGGATTACTTCCAGGATGATTCTAGTCTCATCAAATGCACAGAAAGCATCTGAGCATCTTTTCCTTTGCTCCCCGTTTGTGAGGGTGGGGTTTATCCTTTCTGTGCATATATACTGGTCTTTTTTTTTTTTTTAAAGATTTATTTATCTATGCATATAAGAGCTGGGGTACAGGCCAGAGATGTGGGGGGTGAGAGGATTCAGCAGAGACAGAGCGGGGAGCAGAACAGGCAGATTGAAGTACACTGCTGAGGGGAGCAGCGGGCGAGAGAGAAGAGGTCTGCCTCGCCATGTTGTATATTCCCTGGCTGGCCAGGGATTGAACTCGTGCTGCAGAGGCTGTGGATTGCTTCACAGTGTGATGCTTAACCCCTTGCACCACCAGGGAGGCCCTGGTCCTCTTTCTTAAAACCAACTGGGTCTGGTGGTATTTTGGGGGGAAGTACATCTTCAGACGCCATTTCAGTTTCTCATGGTTTCATTGCTAATTAATTGATTAGTTCATTACTTCCCCTGGGTTAATTTTGGTAATTTCTATCTTCCTGGAAAGCGTCAACTTCATGTAGGTTCTCAAGTTCATTGGTATGATATTGTACATGATGTTCTCATCATTAAAAACAAAGACAATCCTGGGGCCTGTAGCCATGGCCAGTGTTTACTGTGAATGTTGTTTATGGATTTCTTCTTCTTTTTCTTTCTAGTCCATGCCTGCCAAAGGCTTTTCTCCTTTAATTGTCTTTTCAGTGAGCAGTTTTTATTAATTTTCCTGTTTTTCTAACACATGGAGTTTAAGGCTGTAAGTGTCTGGATCCGCCGTTGCCTGCTTCCCACAGGTTTTGACACTTAGAATTCTCATCCTCGCTCCTTTCTTTGGTTATGAGTATCTATAAAAACCCATCTGATTAAGCTGGTGACAGCTGGGGTTTCCCCAAGCTGCCCTGCTGTGGTCTGATCTGCTACTTTTTGTCCTTGGCTGCCTGGAGACACCAATGCAGAAAGGAAATTGTTGACAAATTTGCTTTAGAAAAATGATTCTTGTCAGAGCCCAGATGGACTCCCGGCCACTCCTTTTCCTCCGAGGCAGGAATATTTTTAAAGTGAGATTGCTTAATGCCGCCTCAAGACGAGCCAGAGGGGCCTCCTCCCCGGGAGGGAAGCCCTGGCCATCCTTCTTGTGTTGTCTAAATGTTTAACTTATCTCACGAGCACTAAGAGGCTGCGGCCCGCACTGTATTAATGGCCAGTTGGGCAGGACGCCTTGGAGAGCAGCTCGGTGCTGACACGGTGAAATATTATTCTCCCTGATAGCTCGTGCAGAACCATAAATCAGACCTTTAGCAATCAGGCCCCAGTGTCAGGCAGGCAGCCATGGCCTGCCCAGGGCCCAGCGACTTCTGAGTCCCTCCAGCAAAGTCCTTGCAGTGCTCTGGCTGCCTCTGGACATGCTCCCCCTTGGCCCACCCGCCTGCCCGGCCTCTCCGAATCAGGCCAGGAGAGCGTCAGCTTCACATTTTTCCTTAGGAAGGACTCTTTCCCCCAGTCCATGCTGCATTTCTGTGCCCCTCGGAAGTCATCTCAAAACTCCATTTCCCATGAAGGATAAACGTCCCAGCTTAGAAGTCAGCGTGGCCTGTGGTCAGATCTCTGCACTGTTCTTAGATTCACGAGGCCCTGG